TCACTGAGCCACACCAGCCAGGCAAGGAGTGATTGCTCTTGATGGCCAGATGTGCCCACTATATTACTTGACACTGTCCCTGTGAATTTACCAGCCTCTCATGTGCCATTCTAAAGGGCTCCCAGTTAGAGTTCTCTCAGGTTTATGTGGGGACAGGATCTCTGGAATACACGATGGTGTGAATGAAAAGGGCTGCACAGACCTGACAGCTCGGGAAGCGACACGGCAGGTCTGCCAAGCTCAGTGATTGAAAGCAACCACACAGGGTGGTCTGGATGCCAACTCCTAAGCGGGCCAGTCATGGTGGGTAGTCATATCCCAGGCCTCCAGCTTCTTTAGTAAAAGGTTAATCTTTACCTTAAGGGAACCCTGCCTGTTGCTATTGTGCATCTGGGATAATACACCTTAGAAATGTCAGAATAATTTTCATTTCCCGATCCTTCAAAAGCGGACCCCTGGCAACAGAGCACAAAGACACCGAAAGTTCTTGTTATCTTGTTGCCCACATCCCACCTCTATTCACTGTAATTGCTAAATGCTCACTATCCTGTGACCACCAGTGTAAAAGATGTATCTCTCCATTTTCCTTTTTATTCAATCCTAGAGATTGCCCAGCTTTGTCTCCACCTCCTTATCTACCACCAGTAGATTTCACATACCCTTCCTTACTTTTTCTCCTTTCATTCTAAATGTATTTAAAGAACTATAAAACTGCTTCTTTCTCGAGCATTTTTTCATCCATTGAGACCTTGCTTCTGGACATGTCCTCAAAATTTTGGCTCAAATAAATTCTTACTAATGCTTTCTACAGGTTAGGATGTTTCTTTTGTCCACATTTACTGGCATCTTAATATTAGGTTAAAGCATATAAAACTACGGACATAGGACTATTTTTAACCTACAAAATCAACATTTATATGGGGTTGAGCCTAATGAGGTATTCTCAATACAGTCACTCTCTCCTGCTCTCAGTATTTCTTCAAAAACCTCATCTGTGAGATACTGAAAAATTTATGAGAACTCATCTTCTGCCACTTACTCCCATGTTTCCTAAATATTATAGCTATGAAATCTCAGGTCTTAGGGAGCATTTTCAGAGCAATTCCTAACAATTCATAGATTGGTGTCTGATACAGCTTCTCCCTGGACCCCAGAGAAATGCACCCCAGGGCTTAAAGCCTGCTGTGAGGCATGGGACAATCACAGGAAATTGTGAGGAGGTAAAACTCAAGTTAAGTCCTGGCAGCATCTAAGGAAATCCTAGGCTCAGCTGTGGTTCCTTCCCCCAGATTTTATAAAAACATGCTTTCTCAAGTCTTGCTGAGTTTGCTAATGTACCATGAAAAGGTGCCAACAGAGCCCTACTGGTCACCATCCTAGGCAATGGTGTTTTCATATAAAACAATCCCACAGAGGGGGGAGGCACACAAATGCACAGGCTTGCAGAATGCTCAGACTGCCCATTTGGACTCTGCCATTTTCCCCTTCATAAGCCAATAAACTACTATTTGGTGCTTTGGTCATCTCCAGGGGGTTATGGACACTAAATGAACCTTTGTGTGTGCATAAGAGCTCATAGCCATTCTCACACTAGACCACACTGTCCTGAGAAAGTTTGAGGCTAATATAGTGTGAATAATCATCTTATTGTATCGCACATGGAGATTTTAACGATTCCTCTTTGTCCTGGGGTTTCAACTGATTGCAAGAAAAGAGTTATGATTATCTGGAGATGTGTAATTCTCTATCATGCTCTTAGCACAGTTAGTATGTGTCTCAAATTCACCCGCTTCAGAGGGACTTTTTCCAAAAAACTTTGCCGCAAAATGATTTTCCATCTCAATGGCAATGTCTTTTGAGATGAATAATCTAAAATGAACATAGCAAAAAAAATGCAACCAGACTGTCATTTATTAATACAAATTTATATAGTGGCATATGCTATTGAAGAGATCAGAAATTCATCACACACAAATTGGTACTGGAAATACAAAAATCATTTGAGAGTCAAGAAATCAGGTTGACAGCACCACAAATATTTTACTCAGTCTGAGCAGGTGCGCAGTATCCAAGAATCACAAGAATTCCTACAGGACACCGAGCCTGAATGTCAGAAGGCTGTGCAAACTATTCCACCATGATTCCCCATCCACCAATGAGACTGCAGGAGTCCGTCAGGAGGCCCGGGGACAATGCAGGCAGAAAACAGCGGCAGACTCTTCTTTCTTTTAACCTTCACAGCCAGCCAGTGTGTGATAGCAAATAGCAACCCCCTGGGGGCTTTGTTCCTTCTTACCTAAAGGCATGCTGTAAGAGGTTAGTAAAACACACACGGGGCTTTAGTGAGCAAGTCAGGAACAGAAAGCAGAGTTGTGAAGTATAATCCCACACCAGCCACCAAATGGTCTGATCCCTAAATGAAGTATAAAACAAATGAAATACAAAATTCTGTATCAAAAGAGTCAATCTCAAGTTCACATCTCTTAACACTTTCCGTGTAATGTGTCATCCACTAGAGAAGCACCTCATTCAGGAACATGTATGTAGTGGGGGGAAGGGCTGAGAGGAAGGAGGGCGGGACTATTCCAAGGGCTTCCTTTCACATAGATGATTCACTACCTCAAGGTCTTCACAGGCCACTGCCCTGGTCATGCAAGACCTCCTCCATGGAGGCTGCTAGGAGCACGCAGAGATCTGTCTCCATCGCTTCCCAACTAGCTTCACCCTGCCACCTGTCTGCACTCTTCCCATGCACGTGTCCCCTTTGGTAGTAATGGAGAGGATGTGCAAGACGAATATCTGAGCAAATGGAAAGATGTTGCTTTAATGTGTAAGCATCTGGCATGAGGAACGATAAATAAAGGACCAAATCAAAGTTGCTCCTCAAATGACTGGCTTCCTGTCCTTGAAGAGTTAGCATGAGCCCTGTAGCTTGTTAGAAGAGTCTGCCCCTCTGGTGAGCAGGGAGCCATGAGACACCAATTCTGGATGTTTGTGAGGCAGGTACGTAAATTCTGCCCCAAATTGCCTGGTGTCGCAAGTAGCACCAGACCAGTCAGGCGTTTCCGGCTCTGGGCTCCCTCGATTCATCCTATCATGAAAACTTTACACTCATCGCAGCATGCTAAGTCAGACATTCCTCTATATGTCCTGCTCTGGAGACCAAGTCACAGTCTCACCTCCTGCTAATGCACTATTATGACTTGTCTGTTCAGTCCTCCTTAAAACCATGGCCAGATTCATGTCTACGTAAACTGGTGCTTCTTTGTTCCAATGAGATTATTTCATAATCCAAGTAGAAGCCAGTTTTTGCTTTTCTTTCTACTTTCCCTTGTGATATTGCCACCATACCCTCTTACCTCCCGTTTCTAAATTTATTCCCCTATAACTCACCTGTGACACCAGACATCTGTTCACTCAACAAATATTTCTGGAGTGCTTGTTATATGCAAGGCACTGCTGAATAATCAAAGTCACGGCTCACACAGGCCCTACTCTCAAGGGGCTTGGAGTACAGTAGAGATGCCGAAAACCTTTCAGAGTTCATTCTTTCTAGCTTTTAGTACCAAAGTGTTCCCAGTTTGGAATGTTCCAAAGAGCTTGGGTCATTCTAGTACAAATATTATGCAATGCAGGGGCGCTGTCATTTGCTCAGTGATTATGGTATGCCAGGCATCAGGAAGAGAATAATGACATGGTGTCTCCAGTTTAAGACATGCATGCTTATGGTTTTGCAATAAGGCAGGAACCAAAAAGAAACACAAAAGCAAGAGGTGTGAACAATGTGCAAAATCGTTAAGTTGCTATTTGAACACGAAATCATTTAAAAGCCAGGTGTTTATGGCCTTGTCATGTGCTGATATGGTAAAAATAAGTGCCTGAGCTACCAGAAAAGAACCCCCACAAAGAGAAATCCCTGAAATACGTACGGTACCAGGAATGGTGCCTTTATCTGCTGTGAGTATGAGTACTTTATCTGCTGTCTTATATTAGTAGGCATCTATTCACTGATTTCACTCTGGCCTGGGCTTTATCCTAATTTGCTTTATTCAAAGGAATCACTTACTTTCCTGAAACCCTAGCACAATAAAAACTCCACAGCTAGCAAAGCACATGGGCTTGTCTATTATTGGACTGGGCAAAGCCTGGGGTAGCAGGAAATGTATGTTTTTAAAGCATCCATGGCGATGCAGAAAAAGGTCATGGGCAGTGACCTTGTTTTATAGCATCCTTTGACAGAAAGGTGTCCTAACATGTCCTCGATGCAGCATCAACTAGTTGGGCACAAGGACATCTCCCTGGGACGAGGGTGCAGTGCAGAAACACGATAGCTCTGAGGTGCTTGCCAGGCCCCTCCTTTCTGTAGGTTTCAGCTCCCCCTCCTGCCAAGCCCGAGGTTTCTCCTGTGAGTATCTGGAGCACTTCGAACCCCCAGGTGAAAAGGACTTTGGAAATGGCAAAGTGCAATCAGAGGCCATGGAGTGAGTGCAGGCTGTCAAGTGGATGCAATGAGAAATACAACATTGTGCTGATTAGCAGAATTTTGAATGGAATCTGGGTGCCAGCCATTTGAACTCTGTTGTCCAGAGGCCCAGGAAAAGCCCAGGTGGAAGAAAGCTGGAAGTGGGGGAGGAAACCAAAGGCCTGAAGGTCACTTTCTGAGATGTCACTGTCCATTCCCCGTCCTCGGAACTGCATCAGCTAACCTAAGGCTCTACCTCCCGTCCTAACACTAACACACTTGCTTTCGAAGATCGGCCTTCCAGGAGTAACTGCAGCTACTGAGACTACTAAAGGGAGCCACAGAAACAGCGACTCCAGTACTCTGGGGGTTCTAGTGGTTCTTTGTTGAATGAGGTAGCTCATGATGCAAGTGATGTGTGCCTTCCCCTGCTCAAAGCTATAGTTTTCCCTTTTCATCTGCAAGATTATAAAAATACCAGTATTTCTCCCGTTTTATAAAAATGATTTTAGAAAAAAATACACATGGGTCTCCTCCATTAAACTTCTGTTCCATCTTGTAAATTGTTGTGAACTCTGACTTCCAGATTCAATTTTTTCACTTTAGCACCTTTGAACACGTACGCCCCCTCGGCGTCGCTCAGTATGTTGACGTTCCGCACGGTGCAGTACTGTCTGCTCACGTTCTTCTCCACCCTGTCGGGGCTCCGCTTGGGCACCTCCACCTTGGTATTCAGAGGGTATTCCTCCAAAATGTCCTCTGTGGGCGGTTTCTTCCTCTGTTTCTGGCACTTCCTGGTGATGAAACAAGCCACCAAGAACACCAGAAGCAGAAGCATGATAGCAGCGAGCGCACTGCCAATAGACGCCCCCGTTTGGGACAGAGAGGCAGCTACAACGGGCTCTTGCATGTCCAGATTGAGGGACTTCATATTGGTGCCATTCTTGACTTGGTCCCCTTCATTGTCATAGATGAGGGAATCGGCAAGGGCCAGCCGGCCACTGGGGTCCACCAGGTCCCTTCGGTGGCGCCTCAGAGGGGCTGTGAGAGAGCGCTGGACCCGGGGCCCTGAGAGGGTGTCAGGGCCAATGATGTAGATGACCTGGAGGTACCACTGGTGTCCTGCTTCCACCTGCAGAAGGAGGAAAACAGGAGACAAACCGAGCATGTCATTGCTGCCCACAGACGCCTCTGACAAAAGGAAATGGAAAGATAGTTGCCACCATACTAGTAAGCCTCCATGGATACATGCAAGTGATGCATTTCAAGAAAGGCATTTGCAATGGTTGGTGTTTACCATTAGAGAATTCAACCAAATATTATGGAGTTTATGGATTCCATTTTATTTCTAAATTAGGGTGATCCTGGTCCAGCTATTCACATTCTTTTTCTCTTTGTCTATCTGTGTATAGAATAGTCCTAAGAATTTATTTCTCTGTAGCTGATAAATGCTTATGATTTGTTGGTCTTCCTTGATTATAGAGAAGTAACAGTATTAATAACCACATTTATTCCCAGGGACCTTTAATTGTTTGTTATGCTAATTTACTATTTATTGATGAAGTTTAGCTAAAATAGTCATTCAACAAATATTCATTAAACACTCTGTGCATATTAAGCAGATACTTTATTCACTAAACACCTACTCTGTGCATAATAAGCAGATACTTGACAAAAATTTGCTAAATCTGAATATTCCCTGGACATCCCCTGAGCAGTTATAACATCCAGTATTTTATTGCCATGTCATCTGGCTCCACTGAAACCCTCCATGATTTTGAACTAACTTCCAAAGAGTGATAATAGTTCTAAAATCTAAGGTCATAGATTACTATTTGGAGACAGAAAAAAGTGGAATTTGATCTTGGAAGTTCTTGTTTATTACTGGGACTTAGAGAATTTTTGCTCATCAAATACTACTTATTATTGCCATTCTAAATTATTGTATTGTGTTTATGATTTGGTTAAATGTTTTCCACATGCTTGTGAAAATAGAGCCCAGAAGGCAGGCAATATAAAAAGTAATTAGGAAAAACTAGAATATGGTAGGCACCCGGATGCACACAATAACAAGAGACTAGATGCAAATTAAATAATTTTACCATTACTTTGTCGTATTGGAGGTAGATGGTAAAAATTTGGGGTGAATGATAAGCTTAACAACAATAAAAAGGACGTGCCAGCAAGATGCTGTATGAAGAAGCTGACAGTCCACAGATGATATGTCTTCCTCTTGCTGCCTTTAAAGTGGCCTTCTTCTCACACTCACCTTATAGAGCGCATCTACTTTCAGAGTAAACCCATCCACACCCGGCATGCTACTGACCACGTGGAAATCAGGCAATTCGGAAGCAAAGTGGGCCTCAAAGGGCACGTCATGGAAGTACTTATCGGTTACCTCTGGCTGGCTGCGGTCCTAGATTTTCAGGGGGAAAAAAAGAGAGATTTAGAAAGATGGGACCACTGGACTGGCCAGCAGCAGTCACTGGGAAGAGAAAGGTCCTCTCCACCTGCCTGGGGTTGCAGTCAGGAGAGAATGCACAGCAGAAGCCCTCTCCTTGGGTCGCCTCTGGGCACCACCACCCTCTCCAAGGGAGGACACCTGGCGGCCTCTGTGATCTCAAAACACAGAGAGCGGGGCATCCTAGGCAAATAACTCTCAAGCTATTTGGTCTCAGAAACATTTATACACTTAAAAATCAAGGACCCCAAAAGCCTTTTGTTTATGTGGTTTGTATCTATTAGTATTTACTGTATTAAAGTTAACACTGAAAAATCAAGAAATACTATTTACGAATTCATTTTAAAATGGCAGTGAAAAATCCATTACATATTAACATAAGGAACATATTTTTTTAGAGAAAATACCTATATTCAACCCCACCTTCCCCCAAAAAGAGCTGGCATTGCTTTATATTTTTGCAAATCTTTAGAAAAGAACTAGATTCTCATAACTCCTATATTCAGTCAGTTGTGCTATGTTGTTTATATGAAGAAAATGACCTCACACAGCTACGCAGTTTAAAGGGAAGAATATTTTAATAGCTTTTATCAATAACTTTTATCAATAAGGTGATAAGTGCTATTTTAAAAATATTAGTTACAATGTGGAATCTGAAATCATATCAATAAACCTTTCATGCTTTCTACTCTCATGAAGGAATGAGTGTGAAAAAGGCAAGTGTCATCATACTGTTAGGAACGTAGTTTTGACCTTGTGGACTCCCTGAATGAGTACTGAGGATGCTCAGGGTCTCTGGACCACACCTCGAGAAACACTGCGCTAGACTTTCCTTTTCCTGGGACATTAATAAAAGCTTGTCTGTTACCCACCATACCATCAGATCTGTACTAGAATTCAGCTGATCAGAGAGAAGCAACAACAATAATATGTATATATATAATTAGACACACAAATATATAAAACCATAAAGAGTGGAGTTCTATTAGCTTTAGACAGGACTCAGAGCTGAGAAAATCTACTCAAGTGTCATCTCTTTAACATGAACAGTTACATACCAGCAGCAAGAATCTGTGTTTTAGGTGTTTGTTTGGCTGAATGCACCCATACTGTGGCCCTTCATTGTAGATGGTCCCCGTGGGATCAAAGAAAGGCACATAGCCATCCTTGCCAGTACAAAGATAGACTTTCTCCAGCTGGAGTTTGTAAGCAGAATTAAGGTTTTGTTCTGGATTCCAAAGTACTCGGCCATAAAGGATTTGACCTGGAAAGATTGAGCAGCATTAATTAGGTCAGACTTTAACGAGAAAGAAATGTCAAGGGTAGAAAGGATTTAACACACTCTCTTAGAGACAAAAATATCTTTCTATGAAGAGCTCTATGAATCCACGGGCTTCTTTTATTCAAAATGTATTAATTAAGCATTTAAGGTGTGCCAAGCACTCTTTTATGTGCAGGGAATACAAAGGTGAGTGAGATGTAGCTGAGAGAACAGTCATAATAGCTAAGTAATAGCTAAATAGCTAACATTTATCAAGCTTATACTATTTGCTGGGTACTGAACTAAGTCCTTCCCATGTAAGAACTCATGTGGTACTGGCAATTTCACAAATGAGAAAATCGAGGCACAGAGTGGTTAAGTGACTTGTTGAAGGTCACAAAGTTAGGAAGTGGGATTCAAAGTCAAGGTACTTTGGCTCTACAGCAGTGATGGCGAACCTTTTGAGCTCGGCGTGTCAGCATTTTGAAAAACCCTAACTTAACTCTGGTGCCGTGTCACATATAGACATTTTTTGATATTTGCAACCATAGTAAAACAAAGACTTATATTTTTGATATTTATTTTATATATTTAAATGCCATTTAACAAAGAAAAATCAACCAAAAAAATGAGTTCACGTGTCACATAGGTTCGCCATCACTGCTCTACAACCTACACTATTAACCACCACAACTCTATGCTGTTGTCAACCACAATAGAGGAAGGTACATGATGTTAAATAAGCATGTCGCTGAGCAAAGAAATCTGCCTGGGGAGAGGTATGAAAGGTTATAACAAGGAGACGATATTTGAGCATAATCCTGAAACATGAGTAGGTGTTTGTCAGATAGAGCATTTGAGATGGAAGGAAGAGGCAGGGAGAGCATTCTAGGGGAAAGAAACTCCAGTACAAAATACTGAATGCTGGAAGGGTATGAGTCCCAGGCACTTAGTGCCTGATGTGGCAACAAATTCTTCAGCTGCACAGTCTTATTTAAATCCTCCCATGAGCCCAAAGAGATAGGTTCAATTATTACCCCTGTTTAAAATAACTCATCCAAGTTTTCCTGTCTGTGCCATGACACACAGGAGTTGAGCACAAATCCATCTGCCTCCAAACGCTTGTCCAGAGCATTTGCTCTGTGGTAGGTCAGTGTGATTGGATTGGAGGACGAGTAGAAGCTCCAGCAGGAGAGACTCCTGTGAAGATAGACTCATGGTGCTGAGGATTTTGGAATTAAGTATGTAAGTAACAAGGAACACTGGGAGGTTTTAAGCCTGGGCATAATGTCAACACACCTGGGCTTCAGAAAACAGAATGGAGGAACCTAAGAGACTTGAGTCACAGAGATCAGATAAGGGCTATTTTAATGCTCTAGTGAGAGATAGCTAAACTATAGCTGAGAGGCAAGGGGGTGGATTCAAGCAATGTCTAGGAGTTGGATTCCATTCATTTCACTGATGGATGGGATGGGGAGGTGAAGAAGAGAAGGATAACCCTGAGGTTGTTTCCTGGGGCACCTAGAGCATGGGGATGTGGTCAGCGGGGCAGTGGGTAGGGGAGAAGCACTGGAGGGAGATAAGTCCAGCTCCAGACATCGCTAGGTGTCTGAAAGACAGCCACTGGAGCGGCTTGGTGGTTCCAGATTGCACGTGGAAATGAGGAATGAAGCTCAGGCGAGATCAGGAATAAGGTCACTTTTGTGGAATGGCTGTGGAGTAGTAGGACTCTACCAGGTTCAGAGTAAACAGATGGGACAAGCCATGGGGATGGCCAGAGGTAGCACTGAAGGAGAACAGAAGGAGCCAAGCAAAGAACATGGGGACAACAACACACACAGGGCAGAGAACAGAGTCCCAGGGAAGGAGAGTGAGAAGTGGTCAGAGAGGCAAGACCGTGTCAGGTGAGGTGGTGAAAAGGAAGCCAAATAGAAAAAAATGTGTCAAAATCCATGGACTTAGTGTCATCGACAAGAGAGAGTTCTGAGTGGTGGTGGGACAAACCCAGCCTGCAATGGGTGGCCGGAGCACTGACTGTGAAGAAAGGCCATGGAGATAGTGTATGCTCACCGCTCCCTCAGGAAGTTCCTCAAAGAAAAGAAAAGAAGGTTTGAAGTGGAGGTAAGGTTGAGAATTTTTTTTTTCCTGCTAAGGGCAGGACTTGAATGTGTTTTTAGGATGAGAGAAAAACTCAGATATGAGGAGAAGATTAAAAAAAAAAGGCAGAAGGGGTAATTGAGAGAGGAAAGGCAGATCTTGTTTAATTAATTTATTCATTCAACAAATATTTATTGGGCACCCAGGCACTGGTGGTATGTTATGCAAATTTGATCGCAGTCTCTGTTCTCAAGTAACTTACAGTCTACTGGTAGAGATAGGCAACAAATATGGAAATAATCCTATATAATAAAGAAGTAATATGCAAAATGACCCTCATGCCCTCACAAGATGGCTGCCTATGACCAGGCTGGCAGGGCGGTTAGTGAGGGACGACCAAATGACTGAACAAGCAGGCTGCGTGGGGTGACCAGGCTGGCAAGGGAGGCAGTTAGGGGCAACCAGGCTGGCAGAGGGGGGTAGTTGGGGGTGACCAGGCCAGCAGGGGGGGGGGCAGTAAGGGGTGACCAGGCTGGCAGGAGGGGCAATTAGGGGTGATCAGGCTGGCACGCAGAGGTAGTGAGGGGGGATCAGGCTGGCAGGGAAGGGCAGTTAGGGGCGACCAGGCAGGTGAGTAATTAGGAGCCAGCAGTCCAGGATTGTGAGAGGGATGTCCAACTGCCGGCAGTAGGACATCCCCCGAGGGGTCCCAGATTGGAGAGGGTGCAGGCTGGGCTGAGGAGACCCTCCTCCCCATGCACGAATTTTGTGCACTGAGCCTCTAGTATATATTATAAAATATTAAAAATGTGACAAGCACTATAAAAACTGAAGAGTGTTCTGTGAAAGTGCAAACTATGAAGGTCTCTGTTAGACTGTCCAGTGTGGTCAGGGAAAGGCTTATTGAGAAGATCAACATGTAAGTAGAGACCCGAAGGAAGAGAGAGAGCTAGCCTTTTGAAAAGTCAAGGGAACCATGTGTGGGCCAAGGAGGGGGCAGAGGAACCATTACAAGCAGAGAAAGCATGATGGAGAGCACATCATGGTTGGAAAGTTTGGCATATCTTTGAGGCTGGCAGGCAGTGGGGGTCATATTGCAATCTCTCTGAGGAACTGAGAGATAAAGCAACCTGCCCAGAGTCAGTGTGTTAGAATCTGGTTGGAAACTCCAGTCTTCTTACCACTCAGACCAGTGCTTTCCCACAGTGCCACACTGCCAATGACTATACTGCCAAGTGTGTGATCTTATTGTGAAACTAGAGGCTTGGTGGATGAATTCTTGCAGGGGTGGGGTCCAGCCGAGGCCGATCGGGAGCAGGGCTGGCTGGGGGGAGGGGCCACAGGCTGTTGGCGAGCTGGCCCAGCCCCTCCCAGTTGAACTCCTGGTCAAGGGGACAATTTGCATATTAGCCTTTTATTATATAGGATGACATGAAGGAAAAACACGGGTCTGTTCCTTTGACTACATGCTGGCTGCACAGGCATCCACCCTGAGGGAATCTTCACTGGCAAGTTGACTGAAAGCTGATGAGCAGAGATGCTGGTCCAGGGGTTTACTTGAAAACTTCTCGCATTCAGCCACGGTCTCTTTGTGCAGGCGAAGGGAACAACTCACCTTTTGAGAAGGCTCCTTTGTAATCCATTTCTGCCAGTGACATATCAGATGTGTTGGGATCCATCAGAAACACCTTCTCATTATTGCAGAGCTGAAATTCAGTATTGAGAGAATACACAACTGGCACAGGGCGGTTGGTCTGCTGGAACGCGATGGGTATCAGGAATCTAAAAGTGGGAGAAGAAACAAGAGCTCCTTGAAAGCAGGTCAACTTTGCAAAGGTCATTGGAGCTGTCCTCCCCTCCCCACCCTTCTCGGGATTGTGAACAGTGCTTTGTTGCAGGTGCTAAATATTTACTGAATGAAGAGATGTGTATAGGAGAGGAACTTCATTAGTTTTCTTTTGTAGTACTGATCATGGTTTAATATTTTGGTGAAATGTGTCACTATCTGACTGAAATCTACTTCATGGCCCATATCTATTTGCTCACCATTGTATCTTCAATGCTAGCCAAGCTCCAGACTCACATATTTGTTACAGAGTAACGCATGCACGATGATTTTAACGCTTTACTCTTCCAATAGAGCCCATCTGACTACTCCTTACTTTTATCGAAGGTGCTCCAGTGGGTAGATTTGAAAGGGTTGGAGAAGGAACTTGGGGTATAGGAGACACCCACACAAGCCAGGGCTGCCCCTACTTCAACAGCTTTGCTATAACCATTAGTTGCACTAAGAGCTCATATATCTGACTCAGGGAAACCATTTTTTCTTGTTAATAGTGGCATTACCAGAATCCACATAGTGCCAGGGACATAGGACACTCAATAAATCTTAATTGATTAAACAGAAGGAACAATGGACTCGCGATGGTGATGATGACGATGATTTATAAGGTTAGAATGTTTGACAGAGCTCACAAAATTAGGCATAATATGAAACACAATTCTTTTGAATGAAGTCTGAGTTCCCTGAGTCTGTCTTGATTGTTTTTGTGTTATACTTCTATTGCATCCACATAGAGCCATAGAGATGACCGACAGCAAGGTGAGGACCAAGGAGAAAGTCACTCTGGGAATAATGGGGAAGGATTTCCAACCCCGAAGCCTCAGTATACTCAACAACACCCTCCCCTGCAGCCTCCCTCACCCACACGGCGCTGAGCCTGCAGACAGGCTGGTGTCTTTCTGCTCCTTTTGCCATTTTCACACCAGTGTTCCTGTCTTGTTTTACACACAAAAAAAATCCAGCACCTACCCTGGAGAAAGAGTTCTTTCACATATACACTAAAAGACACATATCATATCCTTTGTAATAGAGAGAATCTGGAATTACAAGCCAAATAGAGTGGTAAACAAGTTATGGGATATTCCTACAATGAATACCTTAACGCAATGAAAACCAAACCACAGCTACATGAACCAACACAAATGTAGATTCACTTATGAATCAACATATGATTCACTGAGCCAAAAAAAAAAGCTGCAAAGAGAATTCATGCAGTCTGAAGTTATTTATTTTTTTATTATTTATGTATTTACATATATTTTGAGAGAGAGAAAAAGAGAAAAAAACATGTCGATGTGAGAAACTTCCATCAGTTGCCTCCTGCCTATGCCCCGACTAGAGATAGAACCCACAACCTGGGTATGTGCCGAAGATGCTCCAACCAACTGAGCCACATTAGCCAGGGCTGAAATTTTTATATAGAGTTTAAAAAACCCCACACACACATCAGGTAAAACCACATAAAAGTAAATATGAGGTGAACCATGAAAACCAGAGAAGAGAAATACAGCCTCAGGCTAGCAGTTACCTTCGTGGTAGGGGGAGGGAGTGCAGTTGGAAGGGGCACTGAGGGTATTTAAAAGCTACTGGTAATGCTCTATTTCTTTTTTTTTTCTTTGACTCCATTTGTTACAAAAATGGAAAAAACAGTGTCAATCTTGTGGGGGAATCACTGTAGTGAGAATTAAACGTGAAGAGCTTAGAGCAGGCCCACCACCTAGTCCACACTCCACACATGGTCATTAATGTCACTGGTAGTTAGTATCATTCATTTTATCATCCGTATCACAGCCCAGGGGATATTCAATTCGCTGCAGTTGCAATTCACATCAGGTAATGTTCTATTTCTTGAGGTTTTATATATGTTCTATATATGGTGTTCTGAGTATCTAAAACATTTCACAATTTAAAAACTTTAATATATGAGTAAGATTCCCCAGCATTTGTCATGTTTGCCCTTTATTGCAGCCAACTACCACTTTCCTGGTCACCTTCCCGCCCACATTTGGCTGACTATGTGCTCTCTAGCATCGCTCCTGGTGATTTCAGTTTCCAAATGGATGAACCATCTAACGTCCCAGCCTCCCAGTTCCTGACGTCCTCACCTCCAAAGAGCTTGCTCTTTGAAGACACCCATGCTTCACAGTCCTACTATGCACCACCTCCAAAATCTCATTTTCAAACTCCTCACTTCTCTAACTAGCACCTCCTATCTTTCCTGCTCTCCTCTTCTTCTACACACCCTCACTAATCCTGAAACCACACGGAGACCTCCCTGACCACTTTCACCAGGGTGCAGGGGAACTAGAACTCTGACACACCCATGAGGGAAATGGACACACATTGTTACATATTTGCAAACATTTTGGGAAAAGTGTGGCAGTTCCTTAAAAAGTTTAACATTCATGATCCAGCCATTCCATTCCTAGGCATTTACACAAGAAAATAAAAAGCATATGTCCATATAAAGGCATATACATAAATATCCATTGCAGCTTTCTTTATCATTGCCACAACGTGGAAACAACCCAAATGTCCATCAACCCATAAATCGACAAACAAATTGTAGCATATCCATGCCATGGAATACAATCCAGTAATAACGGGAACAAAATACCGATATACTAACACATGAATGGATCAAAATAATCATCCTGAGGGAAAGAAGCCAGAGAGAAAGAATGTGTACTGTATGGTGGCATTTATATAGCTTTCTAGAAATATAAACTAATCTGTAGGGACAGAAAACAGGTCAGTGGGTACCTAGGATAAGGAATGGTTAGGTGTTGGGAAGCATGAGACTTGGTTGGAAAGTTTGTAAGGAAGACATTCTTAGAAAAGGGAAGTGTGCGGAAGGCTGCCTGCCCTATTTATCAGGATTCCAACTTAGGGGAGTGCTGAAGGCGGTGCCCCTAATTATTCCTTGACCTTTCCAAACAAGTCTGTGTACATGCAGACCCCCAGGTGTTTACTGGAATCCTTATGCTTAACCTTTGGGTGTCCTTGCTTAAAGGACATTACAAACACGTGTCCTCCCAAAATTACTTACCCTACTGATTGTATCTAAAAGATAAACTTTATCTCAAACTGCTGCTACAATAAAAGCCTAATGAGGCAGGCAAACGAGGCTGCCTGGTTCCTTTAGCCAGGCAGTCCCTTAGCCCTCTCTTTCACAGCAAACATTGTGTGGGAGTAATTCATTCATCCCTTGCTCAGGGTCTGCTGGTCAGCCCCGGCAGTTAGGGTGGGATGGGAGGGAAGGATTACAAAGAAGTATGAAGAAACTTTTGGAGGAAATAGGTATATTTACTATCTTAACTGTGGTGAGGTGTTACAAGTGTATGTATAATTGACCTTGAACAATGTGGGGAGCGGTGCTAACATCTGCCCAGTCGAAAATGTGCATATAACTTTTGACTCCCCCAAAACTTTACTAATAGCATATCGTTGACTGGAAGTCTTACTGATAATATAATTAACATGTATTTTGTACATTTTATATATTATATATGCTATTCTTACAATAAAGCAAGGTGGAGAAAGAAAAAGTCAGTAAGAGGATAATTTGAGAAAATACTTCCTCTTCTCTCCCCAAACCTCAGAGCTCCTCCTGGAGAAAATAGATCCAATCAAATATGTACTTTGTCTTCCTTACCCTCCCAAGCCACGAATCCCCCTCCACTTGTCTCCGCGGACTGCCTGCCTTCCTCTTTCTGGTTCTAGCGAAGGCCAGCCTGTCCTGGTTCTGCCCCTGTCTTACTCCAGGACCTGGCTCTGCAGATTTCCCCCTCTCACAGCCATCAAATTCCCCATCACAGACCGATAGGGTTATTCTTACCAACATACAACATCCTGAAATACTTTTCAACCTAAAACACAAACAAAACCCTCCATTGACACCTCATGTTTCTAGCCACTGCCTCTATCCTCTGCCGTCCTTTACTCACTGTTTTTTCCTGTTGTCCCCACGTTGTTGCCTCTCCCTTGAACACACTCCAATCAGGCCTTATTTCCCTTAGTCCACCGAACCTGCCCTTTGTCATCAATGACTTCCACATCACCAAATCCAATGGCCAGCTCAGTCTCTTAATTTGAAAACCATTCCAAATTGTCTCCTCTTAGTAATAATGTCAAATTCTGTCCTCAGCATCTTTCCTTAGAAATGTTTCTAATTCACTTTGCTCCGCTCTTAGAAAGGGGGCATCAGGTGATAAACTGCCTGAGAGCAGAGGTTCCTTTAATCCCTGCTAGAATGTTCAAGTCCAGGCCAGAGCGAAGCACATAATAGCTGAGTAAGTATTGGTTGAATGAATGAACATAGATATGACTCAGTCTCAGGTCTGAGGTGGGTATGAGCTGATGCATAGTTGATTCTCTTTATTTGTGGTAATAATGGTCTGTGAAGTCACAGTGAACACTGAGTTAGTGAACACTGACCCTGCTCCCGGGGGGAATACAGGACAGAGTTCCTGCAACCTTGGGCCCAATATGGTCATCAACTGATTAACAGCTGACTTGTCTTATGCGTGTTTCTGCTTAAAGGCATCTTAGTACATATTGGTGATTCACTGACATAGAACTCACGGCACCAGCACTGAAAGTCACACCTGACATCCCCGAGGCACATCACAGCCTTCCTGCACTTAGGAACACCAGACGGCCCTTCTGCACTCTACTTGAGAGCCATTTTAAGTGTTGTTGTTTTTTTAAAAATATATTTTTATTGATTTCAGAGAGGAAGGGCGAGAGAGAAACATCAATGATGAGAGAGAATCATTGATCAGCTGCCTCCTGTACACCCTCTACTGGGGATGGAGCCTGCAACCAAGCATGTGCCCTGACTGGGAATCAAACTGCAGCCTTCTGGTTCATAGGGCAATGCTCAACCACTGAGCCATGCCAGCCGGACAGGAGACATTTTAAACAAGGAAATCACCCATGAAAAGGACAAAAATTCAAACATGGCACTAAACAAACTGTGAGAAGGACACCTGTTTGCAGTATGGGAGCTGAAACATGACAGCGGACAACTGCCTTGCTCAGCCTGAGCTGGGAATGGGTGTCAGGGGACTCGACATTTTGCCACTGTGCATGTTCTTAAATACCATGAAAGCACCCCCACCTCCCGCCAAATTGGTTTTGGGATTACAAATAACTGTTATCCAGTAGGCAAATTCATTAACAATGAAGATCGACACTATTTCCCTACCTTTCTGGGGCATGTGCAGTGCAGGCCAAAGGCTTCTCTCCTGGGTCAACCCACGGCTGTGTGGGCTGCACGGTGCAAGGGATCAGGAAGATGGTGTACTCCCCTGAGTAGTCCTTCCTGGAAACATGCAGAGCAGACTGCAGTTAGAGGGAATAATTTACCGATTGCTCACCCAGAAACAGTTTCAGATGGTAAGAACTTTATGAGTCTGCAAACACAATTTTCAGGAAGTCATCACTGATCATTCTAATCTTCAGAGTATCAGCCAGCTGCTAAATAGAGCTACTTTAATCTATTCAAGTCCTTTTCATGAGGAAAGCTAGAAAGACACACTGTTTATAAAAACCTAACAGGCTCAGGTGAAGACAAAGTAGAACTGGCCACTTCCTATAGATTCCCTAAACTTGTTGGACAATTTCTGTTTATGTTTCCTGTTGACTGACAACCCTAGCATCCTTAACTGCAGAAGCTTTATTTATTAACACATAACCATGTCGGCTGCTGCTCTCACGGAAGAGGTAGCAAATGCCTACCTACAGAAGAAGCCCCGAACTCCATTTCATTAGCATCCAATCCTCTTCCAAACTACAGCCTCATCACTTTCTGAAGTTGGAGAACAATATCACTTCTCATAGGAGACTACTCGTTGGGAATGGCCCTGTTTACGGTGGGGCACAGGATTCTGCAGGTCACGACATGGAGGACATGGGCATTTGCACCCTCGCCTACTTCATTTCCCACACTTGCCATAGAGTAATAGTCCAGCCCTGGCAGGTTGCCCGGAAGGCAGCCAGACATCCAGAAGCTTCCAGGAGATTCTTCAAGGGCCTTGGGAGGCTGCCATCCATTGACAGAAGAGTGCAGGCCTGTGAATCTTAATTTAGACTGCTGGGCGCAATCTGCAAACGGTCCTCACAGCCACGTGTTTATTCTTTCACCGTTTCTTTTGTATTCTTTATATCTATTTAGTACTGAAGTGCTAGCAAAGATTTGGAAATAACTAACTAACTAACTAAATAAATAAAACTTTTATAGGTCATCCTGGGATCAGATTAGTGGAATGGGCCTGGGTAGAACACGGGAGACAGTCTAAACCAGGGCTTTGCTTTGCCTCTGCTTTGGTTGTATGATTTTATTTATTTATTTATTTTTATTATAAATTTTTCCATTGACTTTTTTAGAGAGAGTGGGAGCGAGGAGAGATAAGGAAACAGCGATGTAAGAGAGACATATTGATTGGTTGCCTCCCACATGGACCCTAACTCGTGTGAGATCAAGCCTGAAACTGAGGTATGCGTCCTTGACTGGAATTGAACCTGAGTCCCTTGGGTCCTCGGCCTACGCTCTAGTGACTGAGCAAAACCAGCTTGGGCTGAATGTTTGTTTTTTGAATATTTTATTTTATTGATTTTACAGAAAGAGGAAGGGGAAGGTATAGAGAGATATAAACATCAATGAGACAGAAATCATCTATTAGTTGCCTCCTGCACACCCCTACTGGGGATTGAGCCTGCAACCTGGGCATGTCCCCTGACCAGGAATCAAACCATGTGGTTCATGGCTGGGTTGACGCTCAGCCATGAACCACACCAGCCAGGCTGCTCATATGATTTTAGACAAACCATGCAAATTTTCAGGGCTTAGTTTCTAGGGCCGTTCATGCCCTGCCCTGAAAATATGTATGTCTGTATGTCCACAGTTTTCGCATCTTCCTGTAAAGCCTGGAGAAGCAGAAAATGAAACTTTGTACACCATATTTGAAAGGCATGAAAATTGACATGTATAAGGTGAATAGCAACCCTTAATTAATAGAAACGCCTAATTAGTCAGAACTCTACTTGCCTGACCCTGGCTTTCAAAAAGTCAGGCCAGACTTTTGCTCAAACCCTGCAGTGGTTCACACTAAAAGCCAAGTCCACACCCTGGCCTACAGGGCCCACCCCTGGCCCTACCCCATCTCCTTGCTTCTTTATTGCCATGACCTCAGGGACTTTGTCTAAAACCTCTTCCCCAGATAATCTGCTGAGCAAGCCCCTTCCCTCCTTCAAGTCTCTGTTCAAATGCACCTCCTGTGAGGCCTACTTTGAACATCCTAATTAAAATGACATTATCCCCTTCTCCTGAGTCCCCTTACCCTGCTCTGTACCATTTATTTCCCACACCACTCACCACCTTCTAACATGTTAATACTTATATTTGTGTGTTATTCCTACTCTTGTGTCTTCTTACTCGCAGTGCTGCATGCAGGGATATTTATTTTGTTCACTGACACATAGCAAAGGCTTAATAAATATTTGTTAGACAGATGAATGCAGATAAATTTCATGTTCTCTCGGGCTCACAGCCCCACTTTTCCCCATCCTTAAATACCATTTAGGTTAATTTCTTCACTATCCTGCCAATATGCCAAACACCGTCCTAAATGCAAGTCTTTAATCATACAGCTTTTTCCCCCTCCTTTGTAAAAACTAGACATTTCCCACATCTAAACCTGCAGTACCAGTTGGCCCACCTCCCCCAGGAAGCCATGCTCAGCTCCCAGCCTATCTTGGGCTCTCCATTCCCTGGACAACCATGGCCTTGGGCTTCAATGTCTCTCACCGTGCACAGAGCACAGAATTTGTGGTGTTTTTCTTCACTTTGAAATTTTTCTATATATTTTATTTCCTTACTGCAAATAGAATCTCCTATGGGATGTTTATTCAGGACCTACATGTGCTAAAACCTACAGTTCTGGGGATTCAAGAGAAAACAAACATGTCTTTCCCTTGGGAAGCTCACTATCTAGTGGAAAATGAGAGTCTATTTAGACTATTATAATATAACTAGAGGCCTGGTGCATGAATTTGTGCACCAGTGGGGTCCCTGGTCCTGGCCTGTGTGATCGGGCCAAAACCGGCTCTCTGACATCCCCTGAGGGGTCCCGGATTGCGAGAGGGTGCATGCTGGGGAGGGATACGGGAGGTTGGCCAGCTGGGGAGGGACCGTGGGAGGGCTCCAGGGCATGTCCGGCTCATCTTGCTCAGTCCCAATCGGCCAGACCCCAGCAGCAAGCTAACCTACCAGTCAGAGTGTCTGCCCCCTGGTGGTCAGTACACGTCATAGCAAACAGTTGAGGGGCCTTAGCATATCATTAGCATATTATGCTTTGATTGGTTGAATGGCTGACTGGTCAACTAGATACTTAGCATATTAGGCTTTTATTATATAGGACTAGAGGCCCGGTACACAAATTCGTGAACTGGGGGGGGGGGGGGTGTTCCCTCAGCCCAGCCTGCACCCTCTCAAATCCAGGACCCCTCGGGGGATGTTCGACTGCTGGGATAGGCCCGATCCCTGTGGGGGCGATCGGGCCTTCAGGGGAGGGCAGGTTGGGTGGACAGGCCTGTGGGATCGGGCCTAAACTGGCAGTCAGACATCCCTCTCACAATCCGGGACTGTTGACTCCCAACTGCTTGCCTGCCTGATTGCCCCTAACTGCTTCTGCCTGCCAACCTGATCACCCCTTAACCACTCCCCTGCCAGCCTGGTTGCCCCTAACTGCCCTCCCCTGCAGGCCTGATCCCCCCCGCAACTGCCCTTCCTCCCCTGCAGGCCCAATTGCCCCCAACTGCCCTCCCCTGCAGGCCTGGTTGCCCCAACTGCCCTCCCCTACAGGCCATCTTGTGGCAGCCATCTTTTGACCACATGGGGGCGGCCATCTTGTGCAAGGGTGTGATGGTCAATTTTACCTCTTTATTATATAGGATGAGCTGGGTCATAGTAGAAGCTGAAACAAAGTGGGAACAAGGGGGAGGAGCTTCTAGTACTGAAAGGGAGTCAGAAAAGGTGTCATAGAGGGTCAGCATTTGAGTTGTGGCTCAGAGGAGTTGGAGTTTTGTAAGAGGAAGGAAGGGGGAAAGGCAGAGGGAACTGCAGAGGCAGGGGGTAGAGATGGAATGTGGGTTTAGGGCTTGGTGAGATATTGAATATGGTGAGAAGGCTGGATTTGAGATGAGGCTAGAAGGGAGGGGATGGCCTTGTACCTTTAAAGAGTTGGACTTTAGGAGGTGGTGGGGAGTCAGCAGAGGATTTAAAGAGGACAGTTTCTTGGCTATAAATTGGGAAAATTACATGCATAATCTCATGATAATGATTTCAAAGGAATCATTACACACAAAAATACCTGACACAAGACCAAAAGTTTATGGCCCCAGCCGGGTAGCTAAGTTGGTTAGAGCATCATCCCAATAAACACAAGGTTGTGGGTTCCATCCCCAGTCAGGGTACATACAATGACCAAGCAATGAATGCATAAATAAGTGGAACAACAAATCTCTCTCTCTCTCTCCTCCTCTCTCTCAAAAGACCAAAAGTTTATAATTAAAGAAATCTTTTTGAAAATAATTCTGACACTTCTTTTTTAAAAAAAATATTTTTATTGATTTCAGAGAGGAAATGAGAGGGAGAGAAAGATAGAAACATCAATGATGAGAGAGAATCATTGATTGGCTGCCTCCTGCACACCCCACACTGGGGATCGAGCCCACAACCCAGGCATATGCCCTGACCGGGAATCGAACTGGTGACCTCCTGGTTCCTGGGTCAACGCTCAACCACTGAGCCACACCAGCTGGGCTGACACTTCTTAACTATAAAGCTAGAATAACATCTCCATGGCAAATATAGACCTTACTTTCACAGTCTATAACATGGGGATAATATTATTTAAGACAGACTCCTGGTTTCCCACTATTCTTTTTATGGTAATACTTTTAATTTTGATTTTCCTATTTTTCCCTTTTACAAATGAGATAATTTACTGTATCTATCCAATTTCTATTCTACCTCTGTGTTGGGTGTGGGAAGGAATACATATTGTTATTTATTTTATAGAACATTGGGCCATAAGGAGTGACATGTGGACCTAATAATCAGGGATCCTGAATTGTCCCTGCCTGAGGCAATTGGAATGAAATTCCTTTTTTGCACTAAGGTTTTAGTTGGCACATTCCCCAGCTTCCCTTGCAGGCAGAAGAACCATATAATTAAATTCTAGCCAATGGAATGTGAGTAAAAGTCATGTATGCTCTGCCTGGTCTTACCCTTAGAATAAGGTGAGTACTTCCAATTTTTGTTTTGTTTTGTTTTTCAAATCTGAGCTACATTTGCTTTCTTCTCTATTAGCCAGTGTTGTTTCTATACATCCTCCTTTTAAAATAGAAATTAGATGATTGGATAAAAAAATGTAGTACATATCCACCATGGAATACTACTTAGCTAACCATAAGAAAAAATGAAATACTGCCATTTGCAACGACATGGACAGACCTTGAGAATATCATGCTAAACGAAATAAGTCAGAAAAAGTCAAGAACCATATGATTTCACTCACATGTGGGATATAAAACTGAAGCAACAAATAAACAAACAAAAACTCACAGACACAGACAATAGGTATAGTGGTTACCAGAGGAAGGGAGGGTGGAGGTAGGGTGGTAAAGGGAGACAGAAAATGATTTGACTTTGAGTGGTGGGCACACAATACAACATACAGATCATGTACCATAGAAATGTACCTTGAAACCTATAATTTTATTAACCAATGTCACCTCAATGAATTTAAAAAGAAAGAAATCTAGCCTTTGAAGAAAAGCCCTATTTCCCAAGCTCCTGAAAGGATCTGCAAACATGTCAGTCCTACCCGGTGAGTGCCTCTATTCACCTGTTGTAAGAGCTTGTGGCTCTCCAGAGTTGATAAGGAGAGTCAAAGGTCTGAGCACTCCACAGTAGCTGCAGGCCAAATTCCATTCCTCCCAGGTGGTCTGGAGTCATTATGAAAGACTTCACATCTGGCAGGGTGTGGTGCTCCATCACAAACTGTCCTATTTAAAGGGAAAGCACATGCTTACTTGTGAGCTTTATTGTACTTACAGAGATGTCCTACACATCTTAGAACTGAATTAGTAGTCTTCAATCAAACAACTAAGGTAATATCCACCCTCTCGTCCTTAGAATATATTCTACACTGGTGGGACAGCATAGCACCTCCTCTCAGTCCATCATCCTACTTGTGATGGCCATTATGATCATAGTTATTATATAGGATGAATGTGCCTTGTGGAAATGGGGCTAATGAGTACATCCATAATAGTAGGGGTCCTTATGTGATAATCCACATTGAATAAACTTAGCATTGAATTCCAACCAACATGTTTCTTAACCATAGAAAGGTCTCAGTGGTTTATAAATAGAAATACCAAATTTGGGTTAAAAATATCTTATTTAGCACCACTCAAGTCCTTGGTGGAGGTAGACAATTATAAATTTGATTAAAAAGGTAAATGTTACTCAGCAAGGCACCTCTATTCTTTAAAACTGCAGTCATATGGTGTCATGAATAAACAAAAGTAGGGAGACTATTCTAGATTAAAAGAAACTATATTAAAAGACATAACAATTAAAATGTAAGATGAATCTTGATTGGATTCTTCCTTTTATATAAACAGATATAAAATAAATATAATCTCATATAAAAACAAGTAGAAAAGACATTTGGGGTACAATGGGAAAATATGAACAGGGACTTGATATTATTGGATCAAGTCAAATATCTTGGATGCAGTCATGCTATTGTGATGTGTAGGAGAATGTCCTTGTTCTCAGGAGAGGGCTGCTGAAGTACTTAGGGTAACCTGACATGCAGCCTGCCAAATGGTGCAACAAAAAAATGTGTGTGCATGTTTGCATGTGCACACACTCATAGCAAAAGGTTAACAACTACTGACTTTGCTTTTAATTGTTCTGGTCTTTAAACTTTTCTCTATATTCAAAATGTTTCTTAATAAAAAGTTGAGGAGAGCCCTGACCAGCGTGGCTCAGTTGGTTGGGCATTGTCTGCTTCCCTGAAAGGTTGCTGGTTCAATGCCCAATAAGGGTTTCAGGCTCGATGCCCTGTAGGGGGTGTGCAGGAGGCAGCCGATAGATGTTTCTCTCCCTCTCTCTAAAAGTCAATGAAATTAAAAAAAAATACACAGCACACAACTAAATAAAATAAAATAAAATAAAATAAAATAAAATAAAATAAAATAAAATAAAATAAAGTTGAGGAGAACAACAGCCCTGACATTACCTCTGAATTTGGCATGGGTCTTGAATTCAATGACGAGTCGGCCATCCTCTCGAATATAGATTCTTAATATCTGAAGCCTTGCAGAGAGCACGCTGTCTGTCTGGATTCCTAGGCAGGCAACCATACACAAAACATCCAAGTTAGGGTGTGGAGAAGACCTCCCAGACAGTAACTTACATGGAAGTTTTCCCAGTGACACCTCTAAGTAGATAAACACAGTTTTTGAATGTAGCTTAAGGAAAAAATTATATATTCACATAAACATAGAATCTATTTAGAGACATTTGCCAATTAAATATCTCTAAACATCTGGACAGTTCATTCTACTTTGTTCTTTTCCACAGTTCCTGTAAATGCCACTGGCCCAGATGCAGGGCCTCCAGCCCAGGGCTCAGAAAAAAGTGGTTCCTAAAACGTCTTATATCAGCTTTCCTCCAGGATGTGGTTACAACACATCTGCTTCACAGTATATTTTCTGTTCCCCACTGGGACACCTTTTAGGACTTAACAAAACCCTAAACAAAGTCATGGTGCCTGTATTCAGTATTCAGGCCAATGAAGAAATAAAGGTGAGCCCAGAAGGCCAGATACAATGGCATGACATGAGCAAGCTGTAGCTTTAGCAAGTGCAGCTGCAATCATGACACCAAGGAGTTCAGTTTGACCAAATATTAACGAGCAACCAAAGGAAGGGGAGAAAATGTTAAAGAAAACAAACCAAAGCTCAAGGACTTAACTAACCCAAAGTATGAAAACTTCCTGAAGTTACTTTCCTATGAGAAATATAATGGAAATAAATGATCTGAGCTTAAAGCATTTACAGAAGAAAGGACTATACTTTCCAAGACTAGAAATGAGGCCCATGTAAAGAAAGCTCCTCAGATCTGCCTGCCTCAGATCCAGTAAAATCACTGCTGGGAAGGCCAGAGGGAGAATGAGAGCAGGAGAAGGAAGGGAAATGAATTGGGGGTAATTTTTGAAGTCTAGGACACTGAAAATGGAAAAGGGCAAAAAATAATTGAGACCCACTGGAGTGAATGGAGGGGGGATCATGCAGTTTTAAGGGGCATTCACGTGGTGGCAGTGGGAGAAGGGGGGTGGGGGAGACATGAGGAAGGCGTGAGCTCCCAGCTGAGGGGCTGTCACCAATGCAAGCCTGAGGTGAAGGTCATTTTAAAAATTCAGCATTGAAATCCCTGAAGTAACAGTAGGATTAAAGTCTTTTTTTTTTTACTTTTAAGAGTGCCACAAAAGAGCAAACAAACTCTAAGCCAGACAAATAAAGTGAGCTAAGTTGCTTTTGATATATTTTTTGATTTCCATGTATCTAATTTGAAGATTCCTCTTGCTCCTTAAATGTGAATCCCACCATTTTTTAGCTAAAAAGAGAATGAACATGATTATGATCCAAAAGAACCCACACTCCTTGGAACCCCTAACGGGCAGGACAGGACCCATCTGTCACTTGCCATCCTCTACTCTGGGCCCCTCGCTACCTGGGCCCAATTTCTCACCCCTGGAGGTCTTCTAGCATCAACATCCACATGGATGGACCTCCTTCTTTTTCAGGAACCACAGATCTACACTTCCCAGACTCCAGGCAGCCCTCCTTGGACTGGACATAGAACAGGATGAAGAATGCAGCTACTATTAAAAGTCAGTACTTATTTTTTCTTTGAATCTTGCTGGAGCATAAGGTAGGAACAGTGAAGGTGTCAATGGGTGTACCTGTTCTCCAGAGAACAGTGTCATAGAAGAAGGAAAACTCCATCTCGGTGTGGTGCTCCAAGGAGGCCCAGCCCCGGGGGGCCGTCACGTAGATGTAGGACACATAGAGAGGCACGTGCACGGTCAGGAACGACTGGGCAGAGTCTCTCACCTGCCAAGCAAACGGAGTGCACACAGGGAGGTTATTTCTTCCCTGGGACAAAAGGGCAGACGGTCATCACATCTCAGCTCCACCTTCACTCCCTCCATCAGTCACTCACTCAATCACTATTAATCAAGTGCCCACGATTGTGGCAGATACCAGGCTAGGAGCTGGGCCCTCAAAGTGGAAAAGCTAAATGACTGCCCTTACAGAACCTACAGTCCAGTAAGGAAGATACGTCAACTTAAAAAATAAAGAGATGGAAGTGGCCAGGGTGCTTCTTACGCAGGGTAATCTGGGAAGGCTTTTCTGAGGAGGTGGCACTTGGACAAAAACTCTTAAAGAGCGAGAAGGAGCTTTGTTTCCCCTGTTCAATCACTGAAAGCCTTGGCTGAGACTTGACAGTTTCAGTTATTCCTAAAGGGCTGAACACAGACCTAGGATGTACTGTCAATACACAGCAGCCCCTCACTGACCGTACTTTCCAGTGGCCGTAGGAGAGCCTGAATTAACCCTACTCGGGAAGATGCCCAGGTCTGGATCCCGGGGATGAATGTGTGGCTGACTTGGATGTTTCAGTGAGCACTCGCAGCTCATTTATAGGAAACTTACCGACGGCTCAGAGCTGCGTATGCTTGGATAATTTGCCATCTCATACAATGTTGTGTTGAAATAACTTTGAAAAGGCAGAACATCGTACTTCCTAAGGGAATTCCTGTTTTCATTTTACTATGCAATGAACAAAAACTGGATGGAGAGAGAACATGCGCAGAAGGCTTCACGTCGAGGCTAACTGTGTACATGTGTGTATGAGTGGGGAGTTGGTTTATTCATTTTAAAATGTTTTCTATTTTTCTTCATAAATACATCTTTTTTTTAACAAAAAATTTAGTCTAAAACAATTTTATTTTTTTTCACTGGCCAAATACACTGTATTTCTCTTTTTAGGGTTGAAAATACAAATGTAGGGTGTTTCCATGCGTAAGTAAGGGAAAGAGCCAAATGCTTTATTATTTAGGACATCAAACTTTATTTTTCTAAAGTATTTTTTCATATTCAATGTTGTCAGGGATTTAAAATTTGGCACGAAATTTTCCCAAAGACTCTACTAATTCCATATTCGTTTAAAAATCTCTGATATTAGAATCTCCATAACTTCTTGAGTTGATGGGCAAAATTAATTTTTCCTTCTCTGTTTCTGTTTATTCTCCTTTAACCTTCATATTAATTAATAATTTTAAAAAAGAAAAACATCCCTGATAACTATTATTGTATACCTATTTTATGCCAGATGTGTTAGATGTCTTCTAATATTGAGATTATTAGTGACTATTTCAGAGGGAATTCAGAGCGGTTATGTCTCATTCAAGCCTATTGATATTTGACAAAGATATGAAGTAGGGCTTGGTTCTAAGTTCTATAGTCTTTCTAACATATATCAGCTGTTTCAACTATTTGTAAAGAAACAGACAATGGCCCAGCCAGTGTGGCTCAGTTGGTTGAGCATCAACCTGTGCACTGAAAGTTTGCTGGTTTGATTCCTGGTCAGGGCACATACCTGGGTTGTGGGTTTGATCCCCAGTTGGAGAGCATATGGAAGGCAACCAATCGATGTGTTTCTCTTTCTTTCTCTCTCCCTTCTTCCCTCTCTCTCTAAGCATGTCCTTGGGAGGATTAAAAAAAGAAAAAGAAAACAGACAATGATGAAGTATTTCTATGTATATATTATTTCTATGTTGGTTTAAGAAGTGGGACATATAAGATCCTTATCTTTGAGATTTTCAAGCATAGTCTGAACAAAATAGCCTGAAACATAATCAAAGTAAAATCATGGAGAATACTAACTTTTGAGGGGCCTGGGAGGAACCAATCATTCAGTTTTGCATTTTCAAAAGTGAATGGAGGGTATAGATTTGCAGTGATAAAAAGAAAACCTAAGAATGCCTTAAAATTCTACTCAGCAGAGGGCAGTCGTGTACACAAAATGAGTTAACCAAAATGAGAGGCATCACAAACAAAACAAATTTGATTCAAAGGCACTTTTCCAAAATGATTAGTCTAAGTCCCTCTACAAGTTCCCCCTGTTAGTGTGGTTAAGCCTGATTTGAAATGAAGACCACATGTAATTTTCAGTTCATTGAGAAATACTTTAGAATTATTTTTCCCATGAGGATGCATTAGTCTAGTCCCTTTGATATAACTGCCCCCCCAAGTGGCTTCTTGCTATAAAATTTTCTTTTGTCACTAATATTTAATGACTATCAAAAAGGGTCTATATTTACAAGGGTTGTCCGTTTTGAATAGATATAAAATCAAGGTGTTTTAAAAAATTATCTCTCCCTTAGTCTTAGGATGACAGTGTTCTACTTACCTGTCATTTTGACTCATTTCCCCAGGTGGGGAAGGGAACACTCTACCATAAAATATAAATCTTTTTGGCTTTCCAAAATATACCCAGAGGAAAAAAACATATATACTCCGAAAAGCAAGCATTAGATTTTTATATAAATGACTGTGCCAGACAGTAAGCTTTTTCCACATTAATTTGAACATTTTCCCTACCACGCCTCCAATTAGTAGATTTAGAGGACCCTCTGGCAGGACTACCGCTGAGGTCTCACTTGAGGGACTGTACAGACTCCCTTAGTTGGTTGGCCCCGTTCTGGGAGCCACTGGATGCAAAGTGTTAACAGAAACGCTTTAGGACCAAACAGGTTTCACATGGCACCCAGTGCACAGCCTTCAGACAAGCCCCCGGTGCACCCACCTGGAAGTCAGCAGTTACGGACCCCCCACAGACGTCAATTAACTCGGTCATGTCGTAATAGGCATCAAAGGTCCAGACACAGCTCTTCAGGTTGAGGTGTTTGTAGAGCTGGATGGTCTTGTGCTCCCGGACACTGGGGTCAAACTGGAAGGGGCGGTCATAGCCAGGCCCCATGGCCGTGCTGTCATAGACCTTGTCGTCTAGGAACCCTGCCTCTGTGGGGGACGGGGGACAAGAAACAGTAACCCAGTGTGCAGACTTGCCCCCGCTGGCTGCCCAGGAGCTGGGTGGGGAGAAGGGAGACGTTCCTCTGAGACTGATAGAGTTTTCCCTCCATCCGAGACTCTATTAATAGAGCAACCCAGGGCTCCCAACACACACAACAAGAAGTGGATGGGCATTGGTTAGCTGCCTGCTGCCTCATGTTAGAGTGCCTGGGTTCACAGACGCCTCTACGGGGCTGCAGGAACCTGAGAAGGGGAACAAATGCTACCGGAAATGAAGACCTCAGCTCAGTGGCCCTGCTTATCTTGGAAAAGAAAGCACATTGAAGCTTTGCCACAGCCGGCAAGTCTGGTTCTGTGCTTCACAATCAGCCCTTGAAGACATGGGTTTACTATATGGATAATCTGTTGATGAGTTATTATTTTTCTAAGACCAATTTTTTAAGACTGATTTTTATAAAATAGCTTTTATGAAAAGCCAACAAACATCTGTCTATGCCTTCCCCACCCCACAAAGTTCCTGAACTCTTGGGGAAAAAAAACTTAATTGTGTGTTAATGAGTAAATAGCTCGCTAATGATGCTTGACTAAAACTTCCCTGCCACAGGCAAAAATTATTGGATCAAATGCTGCCAAGCAACTGAACTACTTTAAATTAAGGAAGACCTTTATGCCATGGAGGGCTAGACACAGATACAACTTCAGAATATTAGGGTTGAGATTTTTAGAGTACTAAAAGACCTCTAGTATTCTGCAAAAGTGGATGCCTTTTTTCAGCACCCAACCGTCTGCCCCACGAGGACTAGGATCTCAATTCACACGTGTTGAATTTAATTATTTGAGTAGGAAGAGGTGCAAACGTTCAGCCTATGAACATAGTATGTTTCTTTCTCTAGCTCTGTATGTGGAGCGATTAAGCTTTCATGTATAGCTCAGTGACTTGGGAATAATTTACACTCAACTAATTTCACTATATGAAGACCGTCACTACGCAAAGTGATGCTTAATGCATATGAAAGAGCATATGAATGCTTTTCTATCTTCAAAAACACTGTTAAATGGCTCATCAGCGTGAAGGCAGGAAGAGCGCATTTAGTGAGCACTTGCTAAAGTCAATGGGAAGGGACTGGATCCTTAGTAAAGTAATGTCTGCTGTGGGAGAGGCACCACCCCAGCCATCAGCTCCATAGGGTCTGTGTCAGCCACAGAGCCACTCAGCCGAGGCCATGCCCTGGCTGGGGCACCAGTATCCAGTGACTGAGCAAGGCGGGTAGAAGGTCTGTCCCTTGGGGCTGACAATAGGACAAGTCTGACTGGTGGGCTCTCTCCAAAGCTCCTGGGAGAGCTAGCTAGTCCAGGCCTCATCGGGCTGCATTGCAGCTGGACTTCTCCCTCTGTCCAGTCCTGCTTCCTCTCCTTCCCGTTCATCTTGGCCCCTGACTCCACCTCTGCTCCTGCTCCTGGAGAACCCATCCTAGAACAGGTAACATCTGCACGTGAGCTTCCTAAAGAGGCTGTGATAATGCGATTTACGGGCACAGATCATAACATGCTCACTTAGAGGGACGGGAAGGAACGAAAATGCACCATAGGTGGCGCTTTAAAAACACCAGTGCATTTACGTCAGTCAGAGAAAGACAAATACCAAATGATATCACTTGTTTGTGGAACCTAAAGAATAATACAAACAAACAAACAAAACAGAAACAGACTCCTAGATACCGGGAACAGACTGATGGTTGCCAGAGGGGAGGAGGCTTGGAGGACTGGGTGACGGGATTGAGACGTACAGATTGGTAGTTACAAAATAGTCATGGGGATGTAAAGTACAGCATAGGGAATATAGTCAATAATATTGTAATAACTACGTATGGTGCCAGGTGGGTACTGGAAATATCAGGGGGAACACTTTGTAAAGTATATGATTGGCTAACCACTGTGCTATACATCGGGAACTAATACAAAATAATATTGACCGCAAACTAAATAAAAAAATAAGTGAATAAATAAAAATGCTAATGCATTTAATCCTCACCTTCACTGGTATCAATTGTTTCCTCATGTTGTAGGTAAGAAAAGAATGGCTTGGGGAGGTCCAGCTATTTTTGTTCAGTTGTATAGGTAGTGGACTAAGGATGTGAATCTAATTCAGTTTGATTCCGAAGTCCCTGGTTTTTCCTATTCATGTCCCTGTCTGAGCTGCTTAGGTTCGGTTGCCTGCTAAGAGGGAAATCCACTAATCATGCGTGTCATGGGTCTGGGAGAACATGAAGAGCAGGGTTCACTCAGTCGCACCCCTGAGGGCCACTGCGCTGTGCGGACCGGGTGAGCCAGCACGGAACGCATCCCTCACCTGAGATGCCTCTCAGATCGCGGGTGGTGACGAGATTGGAGCAGATGTGCTGGTGTCTGTAGATGGACTCGGATAACAGGAAATGCAGGTTGTGCAAGGGCATGGTGGAGATGAGGGGCAGCATTCCATCCTGGTGTGGGATCTGCACCGAAATGTGGATTCTAAGGGGGGAGAGGGCAGAACAAAGTGTTTAGGTGCATGCTATTAGCAGTTCACAGGGTACATTTCTTTCTCCAAACCCCCTTTGTCTTCACCAGTGAATTTCCCAATTGTTTTTTGTTTCCCAAAGCTTTCCATGTTGTAAGATTTCTCTCTGAACATGAGGGTCTGATGCACACGTGGGGTTGTTTTTTCTCCCAAGAGATCCTTCAGACTCAGGACTGATAGCAATCAAGAATTATAGATTTTTTTTTTGTTCAATACAAGAAAAGATAACATCGCAACCACAAATTACTTTAAAGCTTTCTTTTGCTTTGAATGGAAGCTTTGTTTCCTCATGAGCCAAAGCTGAGTGACAGCTATAGGTGCTGACGGCTACAGGCTTTCCTTCTGTCTCAGTGAGTGTGTGGGGGTTGGGTGGGGTCAACACTCATATTTCTTTAAAACATATGTTTTAAACATAATTTTTAAAATAAAAGACATCATGGAGCTCTTACACGCTAAGGCCAATATCTCCAAATATCTTAGGAGCAGTAATATCCTACTCCTCATCCCGTGCCTCCCCAGCTGAAAGACCTTCCGTCTCCTCAGTGGCCTCAGTGGGCAACACGCTCTCCTGTGATCTACATCCCCCAGCCTCTGAGTGCCTTTCCACCAGAAACTCTGTAACTTACTTATACTGGCTGCTATTTCTTGTATGTCTCCCTGCCTCCCCACTCTGAGGACCAGACCATTTCCTTCACTTCTTTTGTTTCTCTAGAGCACGCAGCATACAATTCTAAATAAAATATAAGCCTAATAAATATTGGTTGAGACTGCACCACAGTGGACCTGTACTTATAGGCTGTGTGTTTTTTCCATTGTACCAAGTTTAAATTTTCAGAATGTTTATTGAGGTGCATTTTGAGTTTTACAGCTTATCTGTCAGAGCAAAGACCCACATTTATAAGAGGAATTAGAATTCTGGGATATGAACAGGATGGCTCTTGGTCAGTAGTGCCCTGGGTACTTCTGTTATTGCTTTTTAACAAAGATAAATTTTATTCTGTTAGAACAAAAGAAGGATTTGCCTATTCTTAGCTATATATTCAAATCTGTTTTTTTTCCATGCAAATGAGCCCCTTTCCCTGAACTCAGTTGCTCATAAAGGCACACATATAAACACTGTGAGGTTTAATGAATATGTACAACATACATAAATTCTTTTTCTTTATTTGCCATGCAAAAATGAAAGTATTCATCTTCCATCAAAAATCAGGTGGCACAGGAAAACATAAAAGCACATATATCCTCTGGGGAAGCACTGTCCTAGGCACAGGGGATACAAAATAAACACTCATGGTCCCTGCCCTCACCATCCACTATCACAGCGGTTCTCAACCTGTGGGTCGCGACCCCTTTGGGTGTCGAACGACCCTTTCACAGGGATCGCCTAAGACCATATCAGATATTTACATTACAATTCATAACAGTAGCAAATTTACAGTTATGAAGTAGCAATGAAAATAATTTTATGGTTGGGGGTCACCACAACATGAGGAACTGTATTAAAGGGTCGCGGCATTAGGAAGGTTGAGAACCACTGCACTATCGGGACAGAGAGGGAATGAATAGTGATAATGCTCAGAAAGAGGCACATGGGTGCCAGAAGAGCTAGAAGGAGGCTCTTTCCAAATGAAATTGGAGGAGATGATGAGAAGTTCTTAGAAGATATGCTCTGAGCTAAGTATAGTAGGACAACGAAATCTAACTACACTGCGTGGGAGGGGGCGGGGGTTGGAGTCAGGAGTAGCAGCATGGCGGGTCATGCCACCTAAAAGAGTTTGAAGCCCTGGGGAAGTTGCAGTGATTCTCTGTAGTGGACTGGCAGGTGAAAATGTCAAGGGGAGAGAAATGAGGCTAGGAGAGGCAAGAGGACAGAATGTTTTCCTGAAGCATGCCTCACCGCTACACCTGTTTTGCTGAAGCATCACTCTTAGACCCGCCCTGCCTAGAGGACACACACAGAAGAGCCCTCCGCCCCGTCACTGTGGAAAGCACCACCAGCCTGACCTGTTCGGATGCTCCTTGTGTTTGACATCCAGGTATTTCAAGGTCGCGATGAAGGACTGAGCCTGGAAGCCTCTGGCTGTCCCCGCCACGACGGGGGTGTGGCAGATAGCGCTGTCTGTCCCGATGGTAACAATGTTGCTCCTTAAGGGGGTCCCCACATGACCCACTTTGTCTACAGCCTTTGCCACACAACGCACATGGAACCTCCGGCTGAAGTAAATGCTATCCAGGACCTACCAGGAAGAATAAAACACCTCAGACAAGTGTACACTACTTAAACAGCTCCTTCAACTGTATCTTCCGGATGATATGACATAAGTTCCTGGTACAAGATAATCTGTGAAGACAATTCATCATCCATCCATCCACCCACCCACCACTTCAGTATGACTCTCTACCAGGAGCCAGGCACTATGGACAGATGGTGAGTACTTACAGCCTAATTCAGTAAGTCAGACAATGAGCAAGTAGACAGATGTGGAGCAAGAACCAGAGATGACTGGTTCCGAGGGCCATACTGTTCTCTTTATCTGTTAGGTTCTGCATAAGAACCTCTCAAAAGGTTTTCAGCCCTTCTAGCAAGAGTCATTGGCCTCCAAGTCAAGTTTGTTTAAGGCTTGGTGCCTGGATACAGAGGAGAGATGCTTCCTTCCTAGGAGTTCTTAGTTTTCTTCGTTTTCCAATTCTTTCTCTCCTGCAACCCCCATCTAACGACCACACACATAGCTTAAAGCTGGGAACTTGGCTACTGACACCAACTGGCCTTTGAAGGTCTTTTTACAGATTCTTTCATGCTCCCAGACATACAGAAGCCACAGAGTGCTCAACTCCATCGATGCAGAGGCAGCGTGGTCACCAGGACTCTTAGGTTATGTGCGCATACAGATGGAGAAGCAAACAACAGGAATAATTAATTGGTAGTCTTGTGTGCCATAGACCTCCCACAAAGCAAACATACAAACTTATAAATTCTACCCATGAAAACAATTTTCACTGAAGTCTATTAAAAATTAAAGAAGATTTTCCCATTAAAAATTTTAATTAGCTGCCAATGCCTTATTTGTTTATTTATACATGGACTTAGTTCAGAAGGGATTTGAGGCAGCTTACCAAAATGCATAAAATACAATGATATTAAATAAATAATTGAAGAAATAAAGATAGAGCAAAGGGAACTGGGGTAAGAGTATTAGTCACCAATTCGTTGCAAGAAGAAAAACTGAAATATAAAGTAAAATTACGAACTTGGTACCTGTTAAAAATATTTGGCTCAAATCAGAGCAAACTCCCTTCATGGTTTCGTTGAATGGAGAATTAGATACTTATGAAACAATACACTATAAAGGCTTGCCATTTAAAGTTCTTAATCATATAAAATATATTTTAAATTTGAGCTAGGTTATGTTGCAAATGACTTAACCTTCTAGCCTTTCTGAATAAGCTGTGCCAAAGCACTGGGCATCAATCACCTCACTTTATCCAAGCCTCCCATCTATGTCTAATTGTTCTTCCACTAGTATCCCATTGAAGTGATGCACTTATTAAAGTGGGAACAAACTGTGGTTTGAATAGGAGAAATGGAGAGAAATTCAGTCTGAAATAAATTTCTAATTTCCCAGATAATTAAGTGCATAATTTCAGTACAAAATCATTGAGTGCTTACTATGTGCCAGATATGGGGCTGAGCCTGCATCCCACTGCTTCCAGCTCTCTCTCTGAAGAGATGAAGTTGGCTGGTGCGATGAGCAGCCCCTGTTTCCTCGGCCTGGGAAACCATCTCTGTTCACCGCTCTCTGGTGGTGGCAGGGGTGTTGGTCCGGTCTCCTCTCTCTTTGAGGACAGCAACTACACTGTGAACTTGCTTTCATGTTTTCCCACAAGACTTTGTACAATGCTGATCACTCAGTAAGAATTTTATCTTTTTGTTTAATAACTGGTCCCTGCTGTGTGCCATGGATGTGCTAGCCACTTTGAAAAATACAAATGTGGTAGAACTCTTGGTCCATGTCTTTATAGAGTTTATAGCCTACTTCAGTGGTCGGCAAACTGCAGCTTGCGAGCCACATGTGGCTCTTTGGCCCCTGAGTGTGGCTCTTCCACAAAATACCATGTGCGGCGTGCACGTACAGCGTGATTGAAACTTCGTGACCCATGCGCAGAAGTTGGTATTTTGTGGAAGAGCCACACTCAAGGGGCCAAAGAGCCGCATGTGGCTTTTGAGCCACAGTTTTCCGAGCACTGGCCTACTTGTTGAACGATTAGAGAGATGTGAACAAAAAGTGATCTTTAATTGTACCTAACTGGAACCTTTGACTTACTATACCATTTATAGGTCACTTTTACATCTGATTTGCCAATGACCTTGTCAAGTGGCTAAGTGGAAGAGGTACAATTTTGCAGATCAGGAAACTGCGACTCAGAAAGATGAAGAATTATTTGGCACAAATGTCAAGAGTGCAGAGGATGAGAAATTCTGTTCCAACAGAAGAGTAATACCAAACCTCTCAACATCACATAATTTAAAACAGATAGAATTAAGATTTGTAAAAAGGTTGTTTGAGTACTAGCTTAGTTCTTTCTACTACACCATGTTACCTTCCTTATATATAAGAATAAAAAGACTATGTGTACCTGCTCATTTGCTTAGTTTATTTATTTATTTATTAATTTTTAAAAAATATTTTTATTGATTTCAGAGAAGAAGGGAGAAGGAGAGAGATAGAAACATCAATGATGAGAGAATTATTGATAGGCTGCCTCTTGCATGCCCTCTACTGGGGATCAAGCCCGCAACCCAGGCATCTGCCCTTCAGTCCATAGGCCGATGCTCTATCCACTAAGCCAAACCAGCTAGGACTCATTTGCTTATTTTATTCCAAATGCCATACATGGACCTTAGGGAGCTTGACAGAGTCTGAGGAACAAACAGAAATATCAGTTCTTTCCCTTCGCAACCAGGCCCAGACCCCAGACCTACCATGTGGTTGACGCTGGTGAACGGTGTGTTGTCGGTGATGGTCTCAAAGGGAGACCGGGCCCCGTTGCCATCAGTGGGGGCGGCCACTTCCCAGCTGAACTGCACGGACGTCTGGTTGATGCCAGCCTCGCTGCAGCGCTCCCTCGTGATGGCATACTTGGGGAAATGAGGGTCGCAGGGGGTGACACAGACCAGCGGGTAACCTGGGGAGGGAGATTTCTTGACTCCTTCCTTGGTAACCTCTTCCACGTGGTCATAGTCCGCAAGTGTGACAACCTGCAAAGGAGCAACAAAGCTTCAGCCCTGGTTAGGTGTCGGGAAGGTCTGAGTACTAAGGCTCTAAAGCAGGGGTGGGGAATGTCTGGCCCGCGGGCCCTATAAGGCCCATGAAATCATTTGGTCTCGCCCTGCCAAGGCAAGCGCAGGCAGGACTCAAAATTCAATAAATCTAGGAGCTTTTATTCATAGTAACCTAAGTTTATGTTAAGTGAATTATATTAAGCAAATTATGTTATAAATATCCAATGGCCCTTGGCAGAAAATAGGTTCCCTACCCTCACTCTACAGGATTCACAAGATCACTTAATTTCCAGGGATTCTTGAAAACATAACAGGAGTTTACAATGCTTTACAAAGCATCCCTAAAAGATAATGCAGACCTTAGGCGGTGGAGAAGATCCTCCTACTGGTCAGCTAGAAGCTTTATTATCTTATTAGCATTATTCATAAAGCAGAGCTCTATCACTCATGTGGAAAATACTTTTATTTTCCTGCAAATACAATATTTTCCATGATATAGTAACTGAAGCTATATCATGAATGGCAGTTACTAGTTTAAAGTTGCCTTAAATTGTAAATGGTATGCAGTAGTGCATTCAGCAAAATAAAAGTAAATAAAGGTAGTGTATTTCTTCTATGGTCAATCAAGAGACACATTTTGAAATGATCCTTCTAGTATGAGACTAGTCTGGGGAGGTTGGAAGACTTATTCTGACTGCTTCTCTACTATGGGTTGGAATTCCTTTGGCAACCTCCGGGCATTTCCTCCTAATTGCAGAGTCAGTGCATTCATTCTTTACACCCCCAAACTGGGAATCATGGTACTACATTTCTACAGATACTTAATTCTACATGTGTGGCCAATAGGTAGAATAATAGATATGAGATTGCATCACTTTTTTTTTTTTACTCTTTTAGGTCCCACCAAAGAAGTGAGAATATCAATTGTATTGTACTTTCTGTCTTATCAGACTGAGGTATGGGCATGGTTTGGTCTTCCTCTTATGTTGGAGCAGAATTTCTCATCCTCTGCACTCTTGACATTTGTGCCAAATAATTCTTTGTCATTGGAGCTGTCCTGTGCATTGTAGGATGTTTAGTAGCATCTCTGGCTTCTACCCACTAGATGCTACTAGCACCTACTGACAGTCATAACAACAAATAATGTCACCAGAGATTGCCAAATGTGCCATGGAGGTGGTGGCGGAGGGTGGGGGCGTTGCGGAGGAGGGGACAGGATTGCTCCTGGTGAAGAACCACTGTGTTAGAGGAATGAAGGAGTATATAGCACTGGAAGTCCTACTTATCTCAAGTTCTCATCTACTAGTCACTAAGACATACAAGCAATCCTTCCCGTCAAGCCACTCACAATGGGTGGTGCTGGCAGTATGAGACTCCCTGCTGCCTCCTGGTCTAGGATCGTCACTGTGGCAGTGGTCACTTCACCAAGAACTGCTTCCACCGGCTCATCTGGGCCAAGGACTAGGGAGAATGATTCATGCCATTCCCGGTCTTCGTTGGACAGGATCTCGACTTTAAAAAATATATGATCCACACCTTCGGCAAGGACAGAACACAAGGACAGCAGAGGTCCCAGTTAGGTGACCGACCTAAGACAAGGCTTCATGTTTAAGTATACCCTTTCCTTTTAAGGGTTTCCTATGACTGCAGTGGCTGCTGGTCACGTTGGCCCCATCTCAAACAGGGAGTCTGTTTTACAGACCTAATTCCACCTGTGGTGGAGGCTCAGTATTGCAGATTTACTGTTCTACACCATATGAGGATTAATGGCCCCTGCCTGACACTAGTTGGCAGTAATAAAAATCTATGATCCAAAACGCACTCCACCCTGGTTATGAGGGGTTTTCTTGCTTAATTTTTCTTTCCCCTTTACACTTAGGCATGAGCGCCTGTGAGGCTGCCAGTGCTTGCACACAACACCCTTCAAAGCTGTCTCCCGAGAAGCAATAGCTCAGAGGCCAGTCTCTGCCAAGTCGAGAATGTAGTTTGTAGGCCTTAAAGGGGAGGGGTTTGAATCTCAGAAACCCCCTACCTTTTCCTAAAATGATTCTCTACTCAGTTACTTCTAAGACCTGTATTTTCCCCAGATCCTCATGCAGAAAATGAAAAAGTAAAGGTACTTGGAAGAGAGGTCCTTGTGCAAGTGTGGAGGAAGGGCACCTGCCTTCCCAGCAAACACCAACCAGACACACAAAGGACAGAGCCGAAAGCCCTTTGAAGCTTCGAGGGCATGAGAGAGACACACAGAGACCCCCAAACTCACTTCTGGGAAAGTCATTTTCTCCCTCCACTTGCCAACACATCTCTGAAAAGACCTTCTAACACTGTTGCCCACTTCTGGCTACATTACAAATGGTGCCATTGTCTACATTCACCTTTTCACCTTACACTGTTCCAGAAAGTTCTGTGGAAAAACCTAGCATATAATTCAACTCCTTCCCTGTCTCACTCCTCCTATCAAATTAATACATGAGAGCTGTTTGTGACTTCAATCCCATCTTCCTCTCTTCCCTGACTTGTCTCCATTGCTCTCTCTAGGATAAACCTATGTTAGTTGTTAACCAGAGTATGCCTTCTGGATTTTAGTCACCCTGGCCTAAAGGGCAGCACAGTGGTTGGCACCAATGTTTGTTGAATGAGGGCAGTCACGTACACTTTTTAAAAATCAAGTGCTCATATTAACCAAATCACAGGCCAACAACAACAACAACAATCCTTTTAAATGAAGCAAAATGCCAAGGATGTTCTGAAGTCAGTGCCCTATTCCCCCTCCCCCATGCCATTTTTACTAATTAAAAATTATAAAGACTCCTTCCATCTCAAGTGTGTGCTTAAAAAATACTTTATGCTATTGGAAAGTTTTCCTCTTTTATTTTTCTGCTCATTCCTTTCCTCAAATATGAGATATTAGGTTCTCTACTCAGTAAAACCCACATGTGGGGATTGGCATTCAGTTACCGGGACTGAACTTCAAGACTCGGCTCTTCGGGTAGTAATCCACACCGGACTGGGCAGACCCGTCCCGCGTGCTGCAGCGGATCTTGGACGTCCTGTTCTGATCCCCTCTGCGGATCACCTTGATGTTCAGAATGGCCGTGGCATCGGGCCCCGGGGGTTCCCGGACTTGGTACGCAGCTTCTTCAAACTCAATGGTGGGGGCTGAGAAAACATGGTCAGGGAAACAAGAGCAAGTCAGAAAAGCAGGAAAGATTCCGACTCCCATGGAAACACCTGCTAATGACAAGAAGGGTTTTTCACAGTTAACAACACAAAGACAAAATGCCTTACTGTTATGAAAATCAATCAGTATTTACCCCTAAGCAATGCTTGGGAAAAAGAAATTTATTTCTGATTTTATAGAAGTCATTTCTTATTCATTTCTTATTAAAAACAGGATAGTGAGGGAAATATTTTTAAGGACTTTGGAAGCACGATGTCCAAGTTTCCATCAAGGCATCACGACTCACAGAATGTTTTAAAATGTGCAGGCTTTATCAAGGGACTGAGCCACAGTAAGCAACTGATAAATTTGTATCAACTGATTGCATGAACCAACTCCTTTTCATTGATGATACATGAATTTCTAAGGTTAATAATTTACCTCATTTATATGTAACTTAATTTTACCAAATGCATCTCTCATCTCTGGTCCTTTGAATCCTCCTGCCGGGAGCTCTCACCTCCCCCGACCCTCAGCTTTTCCTAACGTCTCACAGGTTGTTCAGTTAAGAATGGGTGGTTTTAGTGACTGACTAAAACAATACTTCAGGAACGGAAGACTTCTGAACACATTCTGATTTAACGTATTATTGTTATTGCTAGGGTACGGTTAATGATATAGTGACAATTCTTAGAAAAATATCAAATTATGCCTTTTTTTCGATATATTCTATGGGGAAGGGCAAAGTGGTAGTGGTAGAGAGAATAAGACAAACAATTCAGAGCAATTACAATTGTATACCATTTTTCATATATAAAATTTTGCAGAAATTTCTAGAGTCTCTGTGTTCATTTCCCACTCAGAAAGTCAATTCTTTCTAATTGTAGAAGATAAGCCTCATTTGAAACAGCATAGTTTTAAAAAAGAATGTTTTTTGAAACTTAGGCGTGTTGCTGCAGCACACTGTGAATTTGTTACCCCTCTGAGCTTCGGCCACTGGCTTCTCTGTGTGCCTGGGAGAGGATCACAGCAGGGGGAGAACCCGCGTTTCCTTGGGTAAAGGAGTAACCCAGCTCCCAGGCTGGCTTTTCTTATTTCACCCAATGTCCAAATTACTCCCTGATTTTATATATGTGAGGATGAACAGTGGTATAAATATTAAATAAAATTGCCATTACTATGTATAATGTTATTATCCATTAACTCATTAAAATATCAATTTTAATAGAACAATTATGTCTCAGTTTGGAACAGATTTTGTTTTCCCTGGTGCATGGGGCACTCTTTACTACAACCTGACTAAAGAATTTAAGATTTGTTTTTTTAGGTTAGTAGGCCAAGTTAATGGAAGAAAAGAAAACTGAGAAATTAGACTTTTCTAATTTCAGTGTTTAAATCAGTTCATTGGATTCAACTCATTCTGATTGTATTTCCAATTTTGCTCCAACTGCAGTGATTTAAATAGTCTTATTCTCTGCCTGTCTTAGTGTCTCTGTCCTAGCCTTTAACCTACTCATTCCTTTCTCTTGGCAGTGTGGTAGGGAATAATGAGATTAAAACTACCTATAGCCCTAGTAAACTTATAGGAGCTTTGTAGACAATGATCATTTGCTGCCAACATGTTATAAATATAACGCAGGACTGTTATCAGTAGGAATTTTTGTAGCCCTTTCATTTTTCAAGACACTTATAATTGCATGGTTAGTAAATGTGATGTACAGCAAATGTACATTAGTGTTGCGGTTACCATCTTCATCATTGGATATGGTGATGGTGGCCATGCTATTCTTTCCAACTCTGGCTCCACTCCAGTGATTCCCCAAGGGGATGGCCGAGGAAGACCCTGAACTGTTCCTCAGGCTCAAACATCGAGTCATCATGGATGGAGACAGTGCAGTTCTTCATCTAGAGTCAAGGGAACAAGATAGAGTCAAATTTGCATTGAGATGTCAATAACTTCCTTGATTTTCCTAGAAAATGATCGTTCTTCTTTGTAGCATCAAAGAGTCAACACATGGATGTGAGGGCGATCTGGCTGCGACATCTGTCACCCCATTGATCGCCAGGGTTGATTCGGCTGATCTGGCTGGCTAGGCGGGTGTCCCCCTCCTCCCTCACCGATCCATGTGCGTCCCTCCCGAAGCTGCGCGCTCGGTCGAAGAGGACGACCTTCCCCCCCGAGGAGAGGACCGGTCTTCGGTCAAGGGTATACGAGTAGCTGCGCTCCCCTGCTAGAACCTCCAAACAAGCTCTCAAAGAGTCAACACAGATTCTAGTTAAAATAGAATGTTATCTAGGAGTTCATGCCTGTGTGGGACTTACCTATATGTGGAGCCTTGTATGAGAACATTCCAAATCATTTGAATTATTGGTGATGAGTTATGAAAAAAAGATCAAATACAGAACCCACTAATGATCATGTGTAGAACATTTGCACGCTTTCCCACATTTTGCCTGGGCTGATCAATACACTGATACATGTTATAATAGGTAGATTTCTGATGTTGGAGTTTAACAAATGGATTAGACTTCCTGAAGAGCTGAACAATGTTCCTTGACCATTGTAAAAATGGAATAGTCTTATAAAGAGCTTAGAAAGGCTTCCTGTTAGGCTAAGGACACCTTTAAGTGCTGCCAAATTCTCAAATGTGCTGGCAAATGTTGTCTCATCTGAAAACTTCTGAGTATTGATTGAGTCTCAGAATATAACCTAAACCCCTGTTTGATGCAAAGAAATAGTGTTTCTCAAACTGATCATTCTCTACTGGGGATTGTGTCCTTGAGATATGTAAAATAAAGTCACAACATTTTGGAAGACGGAGCAGCCTCAATGGTGGCTTCATGTGATAAATGGGGTTATTTTTAGTTGAACCATTTAAAATCCACTATACTACCGTATTGCATAGACTATGTGGGTGTAGAGAAGTTTCATTCTCATACTCTCTAATTACACTAAGTGAAAGGAGAGCATGCCTGTGAACATGATATGTGGCTTGCTAACCCGGTTTTAAATCCCTGAAGAACGTTCCTTTTTTCCCCTACCACATCTTTCTTACAATAACATTTTTTTTATAGAAAATATGAATTTAGTAGTGAATCTTCAGGATATCTTTAAAAGAAGACATTCTAGTGAATGACAAGTTCCAAAGACATATTGCTTAGTAAGCCAAGAAAAATGAAGATTCCCAAGTGTGCTTATGAATGATGATAGATAGATTGTCATGTGGGTAACATTTAGACTATTAGACTATATTTCTTTACAATTTTATTAAATGACAAACTGTCTCTTGGATAGGTAGAGAATCCTTTTTTGAACTTAAAACAAATACAGACATGTAGACGCAAAGATTAAGATTGCATCTATAGTATTTGTGTGTATTTTTAAGTACATGCTTCAACCTGCCACCAGTAAAATTCTTATAAAATACATAACTGAACCAGGCTTTTCTGTGTCATAAATATGTAATAGACTGAGAGTCCCAAAGAAGAAAGCTATCACTTTTATTAAATATGAACAGAAAAATAATCTGGGGTGAACTGGTATGGCTAAGGTCTTCTTATGCTAAACTTCAAAAGGACTAATCATAAAACCAAAATTATATACATTAGATTGTATCAAAATCAAAGACTTCTGTTCAACTAAGAACATCATGGTTCAAGGTAATAGATAAGTGACAGAAAGTGAAAGTATATCTATAATATTTAAATGTCTAACTGGTAAGGAATTAATATTTAGAATATTTAAGAAAGTATAGCAGATCAGTAAGAAAAAGACAGCAATGTAACAAAATAAGGAACAGAGAATTAAAATAATACATTTTTGCCCTGGCCAGTTATTTCAATGGTTAGACCATTGCCCCATGGACTGAAGGGTCACAGGATCAATTCCCTATTAAGGGCACATACCTTGGTTGCAGGTTCTCCAGCCCTGGTAGGGGTCTGTTGGGAGGCAACCAATTGGTGTGTGTGTGTGTCTGTGTGTGTGTGTGTGTCGATCTCTCTACCCCTCCCCCCTCCCACTTTCTCTAGAAATCAATGGAAAAAATATCTTCTAGTGAGGATTAAAATAATAATAAATTTCAATAAGTGAAAGTTCAGTAAGTTAGTAAGTGTATAAACCACCATTAATTAGAAAAATGAAAATTAAAACAAGATGTAACTTTACACATATTAGATTAGCAAAAAGTCAAAAGATGAATAATGCTGTGTTGAAGAGGATGTTGGGTTACAACAATCCTTGTGTATTGCTAGTGAGATTCTGGAAAGTATTCTGACAATATTCCTTTTTTTTAAAAATTAAGCACATGCATGCCCTATGGCACAGCAATTTGCCTGCTATATATGTATCCAAAGAAATTCCATCTCACATCTGTGAGTGAATAAGAATGAGTGGATCTGTGAGGAGTTGACTGTCGGCTATTTCTATGGTTCCTCACTGTCTATTGCTGAGTTCCTCACTGTCTATTGCTGAGAACAGGTGGGTAAAAGGTAGTAGATGCAGCCCTAGCTGGTTTGGCTCAGTTGATAGAGCTTCAGCCTGAGGACTTAAGGTTGCCTCCTGGGTTCAATTCTGATCAAGGGTACATACCCCAGTTGTAGGCTCCATCCCCAGGCCCTGGTCAGGGTGTGTGCAGTCCCTGACTCTCCCCTTCCCTCCTACTCTCTCTCTTAAAAAAAATAAGTAGGAGATGCAGCCTGCAGGTGTGACTCAGTGAGTGTTGACACCAGGAGGTCACTGGTTTGATTCCCAGTCAGGGCACAAGACCGAGTTTTGGGCTTGATCCCCTGGGGGCATACGGGAGGCAGCAGGTCGATGTTGATGTTTCTCTCTCATCGATGTTTCCATCTCTCTCTTCCTCCCCCCTCCTCTCTCTCCAAAATTAATAAGAACAAATTTTTAAAAAGGTAGTAGATGCACATCATGAAAACTATGCAATAGTTTGTAGCAACTGATTAGATGTACACATCAATGACATAGATGAATAAAACATATTGCTGAGTAAACACAGTAAAAGTTTGAAAAAGATACAACACATAGCAATTTTATAAAATAAAAATTATGCACACAAAACAAGCATTTTTAAAGAACAAATATAAATTAAAAGGTATATATTAAACACAACAGATTGATGAGCTCTGAGGTGAGGAGGGGAATGAGGAGAAGAGGCATAGAATAAAAATAAATAAACAGAATAAGAGAAGGGCCTTGAACTAACCGACCAGGGCTTGTGCCTTGAATCAAGGGGCACAATTGAATCAACCATCTGCAACTGAGATCCAAAAATGGAGAAATGTGAGTCTCATTCAATATATATTTTTGGCATACACTGAGTTTGATGCAGCCATACTTAGTGACTGGCATTTTTCAGGAGTTCCCATGCACTGTGCATTGCTATTCAACTGACTTGCATCTGCTCAATGTCTTCTCATCTGGTCCTATTCTATTGGTTCTATTAGCATGTATGTTGCCCTAGGACAGAGGCCCAGGTATTAGAGTATTGTCTATTCCTCCTTTACATGTAGAATCTCTTCATCTCTAATGTTTCAAATTAAGAGGAGCCTTGTTCATTTGATTCTGATAAATTCCTAAGACATTACTCATCACCTACATTTCCCATCTCAACCAATGATATATGTGTTTGGTTTTAAGTGAGAGACCCAGATAGCCACATAGAATGCATGATATAACTAAAAAATATTACCAATTAGTAAGAAATATCCTAAAATGTTCAGAATTTACCTAAATTACTTCACTGTGAACAAATAAAGGCATCAAGGACGAAGAGAATCTCATCATTCAGTAACCACAAATCCACTTACTTTCTCCCCTTTCAGAAACGTAATCCTTGAAGAGTCTGTATTTCTTCTCTCCTCAAAGTCCTCTGTGACCTGAGCTGAATGGCTCTGAGTATAGCACCTCACCGACGACTCATAGCTCAGGTCTCCACTCCGAATGATAGGCACGTGCAGAACACCCTCCTTCTCCTTCACTAGGAGCAAGTCCCTGGCAAACTGCATGCTGGGCACTGGGGAGCAGAAGGAAAGATGGAGGCATCGTTAGAGGGAGTTATAGGGAGGTGGCCACAGCCCTTGGCAGCTCTCAGCAGCCTCGTGGCAGGAGGGCTTCAGGAAGGGCCACCCTAGGCTGGCCGATCACAGGCGGTAAGCAGATTTCAAGGCCTGATTGCTGCTCTCAGGGCCAAGGAATTGCTTCCACCGTGAATGTGGTTCCAATAAAATAGAACAAGTCAATTTTGCACCTGTTTTTGCCCAGCTTCAGGGTATGGTCACCATCTCAAATGCAGAAAAGCAATTCAGTTAAAAAAATGGGCCAGGTATAAGAAAAATTTTGATAGAGACTTGAGTACTCAAAAAGTTCACTTCCCTTCTAAGGCTACAATAAGGCAAACAGCAGTGCAAGCCTACTGGTAAGTGGCCACTCACACTGGTCCAGGGGCCAGGAAGACAACAAGGAGGAGTTGGGACATTGGTAAAGAGGGAAGAGCAGGCCTTGTTTAAAGGAGGTTGACTTGCTGCTCCAGTCTTTTGTTGGCAGATCTTCCTATTTTCAAACAAAGCAAGAACTCTTATCTGGATTTTTATGTCATATCTCCTAAATTTCAAAATAAAAACCCATTAAAATAGGAAAAAAGAAATTCCAGGTAAGTCAAAACTATTTGGGCCAAATAAAACATGCTGAAATGTCCAGTGGGCCCCCAATCTGTGACCACTGCTGGAGAGTTACCTGTTCTCATAACTCACAAGGCCTCATTTGACTTTAGGGAGGGACAGTAGCCGAATGTGGTTAAAAGCAAAGGCTTTGGAGTAAGCAGGCTTGAATTTCCATCCCAGCTCTGCTACTTATTAGCTGTATGATATAGAGCAATCTACTTAGGTTTTATGAGACTTGGGTTTCTTCAATATGTAAATTGGAAATGTTAATATCTAACTCATAGAATTATCACGAGTATTGAATTTAACAAGATTGTATGGGCATGGTGTTCAATGCAGTATCTGGCACACAGTGACACTCAAACTTTGGTAGGGGTTATTATCATATGGTTTATATTGGCCCCAATTCCAGGCTCCTCTATACGAAAGGTCATTTTTTCCCTCCTTACTTCCTACAGTGCCCATGGTAATCCTCTGTATTAAGACATGTCCCTTTCCGAGAACATTTTGTTGACTGTAGGTTATTAATTTCTTAATAAAAAATACAGAGGTAGTCCCTCCAGTCATATGCCACATTAGTCTTTGGGGCTGCAGGAAGCTGACCCTATAGCTATAGACACCTAGTTCCTGGCTGGGTCCTGGGTGTGCCTTGCCAAACCTGAAAGGAGAAAACAGGAAGGGTGAGCACACCAGCATTCTGCAAGTCCACTTGCAGAAAGCTGCTTGCCTCCAACCTGCCCTCTGCTCAGAACTGTTGGCATCAGCAAAATAACACAAAACCATAAGCTGAACTAAGCCTAACAATTACCATTTATTACTGAGAAAAACCCAGAATACCACACCTAAAGGAAAATGAACAACTTTAGCATTAGGCTCTGAACAATTACCATTTAGGGCTCTGTCATCCAGTATAATGGTCTGTGCTATTAGGGAGTAGGTGGCAATGACATGACCTAGCACAGGAGGACAAGAAGGAAGCTTGTTGCCAACTTAAAAGTAACACAAGCAAGAAAGCTTTTCTGCTCATGGCAGATTATCTAATGCTTTGGATTGATTTTTCTTGCTGGCCTGACAGGCGTCAAGTCAAGATGAGAGTTAAAAGCTAGAGTGGTTGTCTTTTCACTTTGTTGATGGTTTCCTTTGCAGTGCAAAATCTGTATAGTAGTCCCATTTGTTTATTTTTCCTTTTGTATCCCTTGCCCCAGGAGAAATATCAGAAAAAATATTGCCACAAAAAATGTCCAAGATTTTACTGCCTATGTTTTTTTCTAGGATTTTTATGGTTTTGATTCTTACTGTTAAGCCTTAATCCATTTTTAGATTAATGTATATGGTGTAAAAGGTGGTCTAATTTCATTTTTTTGCATGTATCTATCCAATTTTCCTGACACCATTTATTGATTGGATTATCTCTAGCCCATAATATGTTCTTGCTTCTTTTGTTAAATATTAACTGACTATAAAGGTGTGGGTTTATTTTGGGGTTCTCTATTCTGTTCCATTGATCTATACATCTGTTTTTATGCCAGTACTATGCTGTTTTGATTACTATGGCCTTGTAGTATAGTTTGATATCAGGTAGCGTGATTCCTCCAACTTGGTTCTTCTTTCTCAAGATTGCTGTGGTTATTTGGAGTCTTTTGCGGTTCCATATTATTTTTTGGAATATTTGTTCTAATTCTGAGAAATATGCCATTGGTATCTTGATAGGAATTGCATTGAATCTATAGATTGCTTTGGGTAGTATGGGCATTATAATGATATTAATTCTTCCTATCCATGAACATGGTATTAGCTTCTACTATTTGTATCTTCTTCAATTTCTTTCTTCACTGTCATATAAGTTTTCAAGAACAGGTCTTTTACATCCTTGGTTAAATTTATTCCTAGGTATTTTTTTTAATGCAATTGTAAATGAGATAGGTTTTTTAGTTTCCCTTTCTGATAGTTCATTATAGGTGCATAAAAATGCAGCTGATTAATGAATATTTAGTTTGTATCCTGTTACTCTACTGAATTCATTTATCAATTCTAGTATTTTGGGGGGGAAATATTTAGGGTTCTCTATATACAATATCATGTCATCTGCAAATAATGACAGTTTTATTTCTTTGTTTACAATTTGGATGCCTTTAATTTCTTCTTCTTGCCTGATTGCTGTGGCTATATTGAATAACAGTGGTGAAAGCAGACACCCCTCTTTTGTTCCTGATCTTAAGGGAAACGTTTGTGGTTTCTGCCCATTGAGTATGATGTTGGCTTGGGTGTGTCATATATGGCCTTTATTATGTTGAGGTATGTTCCCTCTATTCCCACTCAATGGGAGAACATATTCAACAATGACGCATCTGATAATGGATTGATATCCAAAATTTATAAAGAACTTATAAAACTCAACACCAAAAACAAACAAACAAACAAACAAACAAAAAACACCAATCCAATTAAAAAATGGGCAAAGGATCTGAATAGACATTTCTCCAAAGGTACATACAGATAGCCAATAAACATATGAAAAGGTACTCAACGTCACTGATCATCAAAGAAATGCAAATTTAAACCACAATGAGATATCACCTCAGACCTGTCAGAATAGTTATCATCAATAAATCAACAAACAAGTACTGGCAAGGATGTGGAGAAAAGGAAACCCTTGTACTCTGTTGGTGGGAATGCAGATTGGTATAGCTGCTGTGGAAAACAGTAGGGGGTTTCTTCAAAAAAATTAAAAGTGGAACTGCCTTATGACCCAGTGATTCCACTTCTATGGAAAGTGAGCATGGTAGGGTAAGCATAAGATTGGACTTGGATAGAGTGGATCTGGGTTTTACAGATCCATCACTTCCTCTCTGTGTGGTCTTAAATTATTTAACCTTAGTTTCACAATTTGAATAGCCAGTGAGATCTTTCTGCCTTAGAATGTGCACATTGAAGGGATTCAACAAAAGTTAGTACTCACTAGGAAGAAGGATAACCAACTTAAGTAATTGCTGAACACTACAATGGGTCACTGAAATAGGTTTGGGGATTTCTTTCTTTGGGATAAATTCTGGACTGAATATATATTATTGTAGTCTTCCTGAAAAATTATATATATATATATATATATATATATATATATATATATATATATATATATATATATATATCATATTCATTTTCTAAGTTTGCAATCCTAATGCCCATCAACAAAAGATAAAAATAATCTAAGTGGAATCTTGTATTGATCAGAGTACAATGAAGTTTATAGTTTATGTGTTACTGGAGTCCCACTGGCAAGTATAATAAATTATAGGTGTGTCAGGAAGAAAAGAAGTTAACATGTAATAAAATCTACTATGTGCCTGATACTATGGTAGGTATTTTCACAAATTTTATCTAATTTATTCTTTACAACAATCTTGTAAGGTGGGTATTTACATGTTTTATAGATGAAAAAAATGGGGCTCAATAAACTTAAGGCTGAAAGAGCAAGGAAGTGGTGGGGCTGGCATTAAATTTTAGGACTTCTGATTTTGCATTCGCTTTCTACTTTATCAGAGGGAAATTGGCTATCTTTTCATGCAAAAGAATAAGGAGACTTTTCAAGAATAAAAGAAATAAATGAATTTCCTTTTTCTTTCTTTTTTTAACTTCACTGAGGAAAAAAATCCCACAGAGTCTACTGTTGCACAAATAGAACCCTTTAGTGTTGGATAAGGACAATGGGTTTGGAGCCAAAAGATCCAGAATGTATGCTGGTTCCTCCACATACTATACTTGGTGAATGTTTCTTCCCCAATCAGTCTCATCTACAAAACAGAAGTAAAAGTGAAACCACTGGATTATGAGCAAATGAGATAATGTCTAACAGATCACTCTATAAACTCTGAAGTAACGTGCAGTATAAAGTAGAGTATTGTTATAATCTTGTTCATGGTTAAAGTTACCATTTTGTGAATCACAAATCTAATTGCAAAACTTAAAACTATAAAACTACCAGGAGAAAACATAGGAGAAAAATCTTTGAAACTTGGGTTTAGGCAAAGATTTCTTAGATACAACACTGAAAGCATGATCAGTAATAGAAATATCAATAAGTGGAATGGCTTCAAAATAAAAGCCTATTGCTCTTTTAAAGACATTGTTAAGAGAACAAAAAAAGAAGCAGTAGATTTGGATAAACTATTTGCAAAACACAAATCTTTGTCCAGAGCCTAAAACAATACAATAAACAACCCAATTTAAAAATAGGAGTGTTCTACAATGCTTTGCCAAAGAAGATATATGGATGGCAAGTAAGCACCTGAAAATATCTCAATGTCATCACTCATTCACTACCCACCTACTGGAATAATGAAAACACTTCATAAAAACTGACAGCACCAAATGTTGGTGTGGATGTGGAGCAATTGGAATTCTCACACACTGCTGGTGGTAACACAAAATAGTTACAACCACTTTGGAAAACAAGCTGGCAGTTTCTTAGAAGGTTAAACACTGACCATTTGATCCAACAACTCCACTCCTAAGCATTTACTCCAGAGAAATGAAAACATATATTCACACAAAAACCTATATGCAAATGTTATAGCCACTCTGATCATAATTGCCCAAACCTGGAAACAGCCCAAATGTCATTCAGCAGGTGAGTGGATAAACAAATGGTGGTACGTCCATGCAACGGAGATTATTCAGCAGTGGAAAGAGTGAACTACTCTTATGTGCAACAATATGGATGGCTCTCAAAGGCAGTAAGTATTCTGATGGAAAGAGCAAGACTCAAGGTGCTCATATTACTGGATTGCATTTAGATATTCTGGAAATGGCATAACTTTGTGGATAGCCAATAGATCAGTGGTTGCCAGGACTCAGGATGGGTAAGAGGTTGACTAACAGGGGCGTGAGAGAACTTTGTAGGGTTAGAACTGTTCAACATTTTAAAAAATAGTTTAGTGGTTTTTAGAGGAATGAAGAGGGAGAGGGAGAGAGAGAAAAACAGTAATGTGAGAGCACATCAATCGGCTGCCTCCTACACGCCCCCTATGGTGATCAAGCCCACAACCCGGGCATGTACCCTGACTGGAAATCGAACTAGAAACCTTTCTGTGCACGAGACAATGCCCAACCAAATGAACCATACCAGCCAGGGCTATTCAACATCTTGATTGTGGTGGTGGGCACAATACTGTCCATTTGTCAAAACTCATAGAACTGCATACCAGAAAGGATAAATTTAATTCATGTAAATTAAACCTTAATAAACCTAGCTCTAAAATAATATACCATTTTTTTTTGCCTGGCTGGTGTTGCTCAGTGGTTGAGTGTCGACCTATGAACCAGGAGGTCACGGTTCAATTCCTGGTCAGGGCACATGCCTGGGTTGTGGGCTTGATTCCCAGCAGGGGGCGTGCATGAGGCAGCTAATCAATGATTCTCTCTCTTCATTGATGTTTCTCTCTATCTCTCCCTCTTCCTTCCTCTATGAAATCAATAAAAATATATATTAAGAAATAAAGTAAGATACCATTTTGGACATATGCATATATTTCTTTTCTCTCTTGAAGGCTACACAAAACAAAAAAGTGGTTAAAATGGTTGTTTCTAGGGAGTAGAACTAGAGGATTGGGAGACAGGAGTAGAAGGAAGACTTAATTTTCATAGTATACCATTTTTCATTTGATTTTTTAAAATATATAAATGAATAAATAATTTAAAATAAATAAAATATTAAAGATTGCTCTGCTGGGCTGCCTGTTCCTTTTTTGGTGCCTTTTCATTCACTGTAAGAGTTTAATCGTGGACTTTATTGTCAACCATAGGAATGCTGATTAGGGTCCTTCTGCTTGAGGTGGGAGGTTTGCCTTGATCTTCTCCACCCAACTCTAGAATCTGACAATTCTAAGTTTCATCAATTCTTCCTAAGAAGCACCTGTCCCTTCTTCTTCATCCTCATGTTACTTAGGTTAGGTCAGTGGCGACTGACAAGTTCATATACTTGTCTCTTCATTCTTGCACATCGTCTACAGGACAATGAGTTTCCTAAGACAAAATCACACACTCCTGTGCTGATAAGAATCTGTTGCTTCCCTCTGCTTACCGATTCCTTATGCTAGAACATAAGACTCTTAGAACTTGACTCCAACCTATCTTTCCATTTCATTTCCTTTTATTCACTGGATTCAAAGCACAAGTAAGCATCTCACTGTTTTCCAAATATGCACCTTTCAAAACTTTATGCCATTATACCTATTATATCTGTTTATTTGACAAAGCTTTCTTTTATTATCCATTAGGTAAATTACTATCACACCTGAAGACTCAGCTTAAATATCAACTCCTTTGTGAAATCTTCTATGATTCTTCCACACAAAGTTACTGTTCAGTCTCATCTGCTCAGATAGCACTGGATTTATAGCACTGTCAGGCCATTTGTCATACTAGAGGTCCAGTGGACGAAATTCATGCACTCTTTAGGGAGTCCCTCAGCCTGGCCTGTGCCCTCTCATAGTCTGGGAGCCCTCAGGGGATGTCTGACTGATGGCAATTGGACATCCTTAGCACTGCCATAGAGGCAAGAGAGGCTCCCACCACCGCCGCTGCACTCTCCAGCTGTGAGCCCGGCTTCTGGCTGAGCGGCATTCCCCCTGTGAGAGCACACTGACCACCAGGGGGCAGCTCCTGCATTGAGTGTCTTCCCCCTGGTGGTCAGTGTGTATCATAGGATCAGTTGTTCCACCATTCAGTCGATTTGCATATTAGCTTTTTATTATATAGGATACCCTAACTTTTCAGTTTAAGGGTCTGATCCCCCAACTAGACATTGAACTTCTTGAGGACATGGCCCAACCAAGGCTTAAACATTTTTTGTGTATCTAGTAGAGTGCCAGAAACATGAACAATTATTTCTTTCTCCTATTTCTATGTAAATGTGTACATGCAGGTCCTTGTACACACACAGATATAACAGACATATGCACAAATACATACACATGCACTCACACACACATACTCACATTTCTTGAGTGAAATGTGAATGAGGTCCAATGCATACATATGGAAGTTAAGGAAAAAATAGAACTATAGTCAGCCACCAGCTGGCAGCCCCAATCTCTTACCATCCTGGAATGTGTCATTAATGGCAATGACAGCTTGGAAAGGTTTAGTCAGTTCGGCCCCTTGTGCTGAGCTGAGGAAAACCACAAATGTCTCCAGCCCTTCAATTGCTGGATACTGAGTGTCATCTAAGATCGTCAAGGTGCAATACTAGGAGAAAAATCAGGATGTTAACTAGATTTACTGTGGTGATTGAATTCAATATATATAAACATTGAATCATTACATTGTACACCTGAAACTAATATAGTGTTATATGTTAATTACATCTCAATTTAAAAAAAAGATTTTTAATTTAAAAAAAAAGAAAAATTCAAGTAAACCTTACAGAATGCCAAACACATAACACCCATTTATTTTGGGAAATTAGGACACAGGCAACAACTTGTCTTTCTTTGGTGGTCTTAAATGAAGTTTCTTTTTATCCATAAAATCACACTCTTTTTATTACACACCCTTAGGTGTTTTGTTTCTAGATATTTAGATCAAACAAATGTGGTTTTTATCCTAAATCCGTGGTGCTGGATGTAAGATGGTGAAAACATCACTTGAAGAGTTTTGTAGACAATCCCTCTAAGTTTGTTCTCTTGATTGTATGTCTGTGTTTTTGAAGAAAGGGAAGATAGTAATATTGCAAGTGGAGTTTAGTGTCCTCCAGAGAGTCTGGAGAGCAGACTAGATACCACATTAACAGACTCATCCAGCCTTTCACGGCTGTATGCTCACCTGCTCAGTGACACCTGGTCCGAATTCCACCTTCCTAGAGCTGGGAACATAGTCAACTCCTGGAGTGGCAGAAGCTGGGTCTGAGGGACGCGTAGCACACCAGACAGATGTAAAGGTCGAAAGGTCAGTCCCATGGCGGATAACTGGGATCTTCACTGCTCCTGAAATGAGATTCATAGATTCCCAAGGTCAACCTTGACCCAGAAGATCAATGGTACTTTCCCAACATGTTCTCTTTCTCAGCAGCAGCAGTTTTATCCTGCTGGCCTGTCTACTCTAACCTCAGCGATGCTTGGTGCTCCCTCTGAGGAAGGCTGAGGTATCACCCTCCTTCTTTTTGCCAACACTGAGATTAAGAGCAGACCTAGAGGAGGGTCTCATGCAGGTTGTGCTGGAAAGTAGCCCTTAGGGGGAAATGATTCCGTGGCTTCATAAAGGAGACTGCTCACAGAAGAACAATGAACTGTAGGGGGAAGGATCCATTGGAAAACATTTCAAGCCTATATAGGGAGAAGAAATTCAGACGAGCGCCTCAGGGATGAGCTAGAAAATAGTCAATTAAGGAAGAACCAGCTATGGGACTCTATGGGGCCTGAAGCTGAATGTTCCTAATTAAATGTTCCAAACTGGTTTGATTTCCCCATTTTATCTGAGTAGTGCACACATCATTACTTAAACCATATGTGCTTATTGCTTATCTTAGGAATGAAACTCATTTTCTGGTCCATTGTGACATCATACTTCATAGGGTCCTAATGATATACATGTAGATTTTTAGCTGTTTTCACAATCAAGGTGAGAGCAAAGCTACATGAAAACCCATCAGTCACATTTTTCTAGTCAGTTGTGAAATGACATTAGTCATGACTGAGCATTTGGTGTATGGCAAAGGAAGTGGCATTGTAGAAAGGTCTGGGCTCTAAATCCAGCTCTGGCATATTAACTGCTTGATATCTGATGATTTATTTAATCTCTCTGAGTCTCCATTTGCTCTCCTCTATAATGTCACCTTCTCTACAGAAGATTAAGTGAGAATGCATGAAATGCATGTTGCTCAGTACCTGGCATTCCATAAGTACTCAAGAAGATCAGTTCCCACTGTCCCTCAGAATATCACCTTCAAAGAGGTGAAAGACCTTGGTCAAGTGGCTCCTATCAGTAGATACTTCTCACAGCTGCTGCCCCTCTGGTAGTATGTCTGCCAGCAGCATGCGGAGGACCCCTGTGCAGCCAGGAGAGGGAAGGAGCCTGGGTGGAAAAATCTGCCCACTGACTGCTTTGGGCTGTAGTAATATGAATGAGCAAGTTCCACTTGTGAAGACACTGACATTTTAGAATGTATTTGTTTTAGCAGCGAGAAGTATACGAAATCACTTACCTCTATTCTCAACAGATCTCATTCCCCTCCTTTGCAAGCCAAAATATTTAGCACCATGCCTTCCTTCTCGACCACAGAGGTCAACCAATGACTGTAAGCCAGATCCCTCCCTTCCATCAGTAATCAGAGAAAGAAAAGTGATTCTTTACTACTCCCATTCTTGGTTGTAATGCCTAGCATTATATAATGTCTCGGACCAACAGTGATGTCACTGAGGAATGGCATTATCCTCAATTATATCCTTAATTGTCTTAAGGATACTCTCAAACCTGAGAGGAAATCATTCAAGAAAGAGATCAAGAGATGGGTGATGGAACCCCAGAGATGCTCTCTGTTACCTGCATCCTCACTGACAGTGAAAGCCGTGTTGCCCAGGGACACAGTGGAGGCATCATTGGGACCACTGATGAGCACCTTGGCCGATGACACCCTTCCGATGCGGGCATTGTCAGAAGCACCTGCCAGGGCAATCTCAAACACTTCTTCCTCTTCATATTCGCTGTCATCAATGAGCATGACGTCACAGGTGGACATGGTGACACCAGGCCCGAATATCACACGACTGTCAGCAGACCTCCCTCTAGATTTAAAATCAGAGCCCGATTCTAGAGCGTAGAGGCTACTTCCCATAGCTGAGTTAGGGATGGTGTAGCAAATCACAGACACAATGCTGCTTGCATCCCCTGAAATACAAAATGGCAAGAAAACCAAAGCATTTGAATGAGTGCTTCTCAAACTCTAAAATCTCTGATAAATTAGTGAGCTTGATTCCCTCTGACATATTCCATCACTATTCGTGTTCACGCTCTGGCATGAAACCTTCCTGCATTGCAGTCTCTTTTGAGCTTATGAAATAAACCACTTGAGGATTTAATATCCCCCAGATACTTCACCAAATAACTTAAAATGGATTTCCTAGTCTGTGAATTTTGTGCTCTGTTAATTCACAAGACTCATTGCCCACCATCTAAGACCACAGCGGGTGGAAAGATAAGAGACATATTTGGTACTTTAAGTAGCAAAGTAATGGTGTCCTGAAGGTAGTGCTATGGGCACAGTTCACTGCCTTTCTGAATAAACTTCTGTACTTTAACTCCCAGGGAAAAACAAGCTTCTTTTAAAAAGAGAAAGACAAAACAAAATAAAACCCACCTTTCTGTACAAATGCCTTTACTTATTAATGCTGCCACTGCCCTGAGTGACGGCCTATTCTGGGCCCACTTGCTGGTCCAGAGCAATCGGTGGGACTTGCTTGTTTTCCAAGTGGCACCTCCAAGGGTTTGCAATATTTACAGTGTTTGTTACACTAACACCCAGCCAGCACATTCAATAAAAAACCTGACATCAGCCCTAGTTGGTTTGGCTCAGTGGATAGAGCATCAGCCTATGGACTATAGGGTCCCGGGTTTGATTCCAGTCAAGGGCACAAGACTGGGCTGCCTCGATCCCCAGTGGGGGGTATGCAGGAGGCAACCAATCAATGATTCTCTCATCACTGATGTTTCTATCTCCCTCTCCCTCTCCCTTCCTCTCTGAAATCAATAAAAATATATTTTAAAAAATCACAAAGAAAACAAACAAACAAAAAACAAACAACCCTGACATTGTTACTTATAGTTGTTGTGTGGCTTTGAATGAAGATTTAATTCCCATGTATTTTAAAGTCTCAATGTTGCACAATAATAAATCCATATGATCTTTGGTTTGATTTTTAGCCCCTCAAGAACTGACCTTTAGTTTTTACACGCAGTTTACTTCTCATCGGAGCTCTATATGTGACTCTCACGGAAGGAAATCTTTAAACACATATCTTTCAAGAACTAAGATGGGAAATCAGTTTTTACAAACTGTAACTTCCCTTTTTGATCAAGGTTACGAAACATTGTAAGAATCAGTTAAGAATCCCGAGTACATGAATATTTGCAAGACCAAATATAAAGTGTTTTAGTCCCGTTAAAGAATAAATGGGTGTGCTAACAGCCTGAGCTACCAAGAGAAGCCTCTGATAGAACTCACTGGGTAGGATCTTTATCAGGGCTGTGCTGGGGGTTTAAATGAGTTAATACATGTAAAGTACTTGCACATCTGAGTTAATATGGTACATGAGCACTTGGCACGTAAATGGGACTCAATAAACGTTAGCTATTACAAAGCTCCTTGTCACTTTCGGCGCCAACAGACCTTTTCTTTCAATAGGTGCAAACAGAAAACCAGCGCTCTCGTTGACCCGGTAGGTCTTCTTATCAAACTCTAATGTGGGTTCGTCCTCAGTGTCATTGATAATGACCTTCGCCTGGGTGAACTCCCCTAGTAGGGCGTATGCTGGCATGCTGAGCTCCACGGTGAAACTCTCCACCTTCTCAAACACGTCATCATCGTTGATGACAATGGTGCAGGATTTGGTGTCCTCTCGCTCATCAAACTGCACCTGTCACAAAGGAAACAACAAGGAGTTAAGCTGTGCCTCAGCTTCCCCTGCTCTGCTCCCCCAGAAGGCCATGAGCAGAGAGGGCCCAAGTCCGGCGAGCACTGAATGAAGCAGCTGCTTCTTCTAGCCCCAACTTTCTGCTGTATCACCTGGAACGCAAGGCTACCTCTTCCTGTTCTTCATCTACAACTGGACTGATTTATTGTATAGGGACACGGAGGGTGAAGACATCCCCTCCCATTTAGTGACTGTATTAAAACATGTAGGTAACTGTTCATATCCTGTTCTATTAACTCACTTGAGCAAGAGTCATTTGATTACTTAGTCCCCCTTCTATTTGTGGCAAGTTTAACTGGAAAGATCTTTGAACTTGGAATGTGAAGTTCTAGGCTGAAGTTCTGTTTTTTTGTGTTTTTGTTTTTTTAGTTTCAAGCTGGGTCAGGCTTTGAAGCTTTACATACATCAGTTCATTTTAAAACACTGAACAAATGCAAGATATTATCCTATTACCATTATCATATTATTGTACAATTAAAACTGACATAGAATCTCAGCTTACTGTATAATGAAGTTTGAATTCAGAAAAAGTTACATTGAGAATAAGCCAGACTGAATTTTAACTTTATATTTGACTAAATCCTTTGCAAATGAAACCTATAATGTGAGTACATTTAGCCCGGTACAAAGGAGATAAATTATTACATATGCACTGAATTGTAAACTTACAGGGATATATGGTGGTTTTACTTTACCCCAAAATAAAAGAGGAAGATAAAACCTTCAAATGGAATCAGGGCTCCGGATCTGTTCAAAATTGAAAGGGTAGGGAATGGGCTTGGAATATACGTTGTGTAAACAGAAACAAAGGAAACGTGTAAAAATAGTCATAAACCTCTGAAAACACATAATTTTCATCAAAAGTAAATTACCATTACTATCTAATCAGCTAATCAAATTTTTACTAAACTCCACATTTCAAAACACTCCCAACTAAATGAAACACTCCACAAATCTCTATTTAAGATCTAGAACACACTTCCTTTTATCTTTCCCTGAAAAATAGGCGTACATACCTCTTTTTATCATTTTGTTAAGACTCTTCTAGTTCCTCATTTAAATCTGACATAAGCGGCCTTAGCTTAGTTCTGCTGACATGACTCAAAGAGAGCCCACTCCTCTTTATGGCTCCTGTTACTTTATGTTGCCATAAGAATAATGAAGTTACTTTGAAAAAACATTTAATCAATATCTAATAAGTGCCAGGCATTGTGCCATACATAAAAGATGACAAAACCAGGGCATTCTGCCATCAAGGAGCTTACTATTTAAGTCCTCTCCTTTCTCTTTTGCTTTCATTCTCTCCTTTTTCTTTCTCTCACTCCACCCTGACACTGATTAACACCACGGCTCTATATAGAGATGACAAATTTATCTCCCTACCCAGAACTCCTCTCTGTACTCCCTACCGATGTATATAGCTGTCCACTGATGGCTCTAAGGCAACTCACACTCACCATGTTCAAAGCAAAGTCAAGATCACCCCCTTACCGAACCTGCTCCTCTGTGTGTCCCCTCCCAGCAAGGGGCATCATCATCCACTTTCCCTTCTGCCCCACTATCTAATCCACTGCTTAGTCCTCTCGATTGATGGCTTCCTCATCAGTGGAATCCACCCACTTCTCTCCCCCTTCACTTTATAACTGCAGCTTAAGCTCCCATCATCTCTCACCCAGCCCATCCAAAAGCCTCCCAACTGGTCTCCCCACACTCCGTCCCTTCAGGTAAAGAAGATGGAGAGAAAAGGTTAGAATTCTGAAGGCTGAGTGTAGAACATGATGCCTTGGAGACTTTTTTTTGGGTCATGAAGCAAAATGTAGACTGAGAAGCTACACATAACTTAAGCTTCGGCAGTTAGAATGTCAATGGAGTTTAGGCAGGCCATGAAGAACAAAGTACTGTGAGAATCAAAGATAGGAAAATGACTGAGGAAAGCTGCCAATGGAAAGGAAGGGGGGAATAAAAGAAAATTGGAAGGTGCCACAATAGCCTACAACCTCGTCATAGTCCTTGCAGGCAGTTCAGGAATCAGAGGCCCTCTCGCCCACTTACCTGGCCAGCATACTCCACGTAGTCCTGCTGCCCAGGCTGGGAGCTGACCCTGGAGCTGGAGCTGGCGGTGCCTTGTTCCGTGTGACACAGGACTATGGCGTATTGGTTCAGGTTCCCAGTCCTCTGCACTGTGACGCTGACAGACCCCGCCTTCTCACTGACATTGTAGCTACAAACACACAAAATAGTCGTCTCTGAAATTCTGCCCCTGGGTTGTGAAGAATCTGCTAGTTCAATGCCAGTGTCGCCTGGTTACTTATATCCTGGTTTTACTGCTGAGTAGCTATGCGACTTTGGGCAAGTAACCCTCTTTCTGTCTCTACTGCTTTATTGTTGCAGGGACAACAATGGTATTCATCTCATAAATTCAAAGTATTAAGGTGATGTAGGTCAAGTGCTTAGTTCAGTGCCTGATACATACAGTATTGAAGAAATACTTGGTACAATTATTATTTTTATTATTGTTATCACCACCCCCTCATCAGATGACTACCGCTGGCCCACAGAGTGCTTTGCCCAGAATCCTCTGCTTGCCTGACTCCTTTCTCAAGAATGAAGACACAATGACGCTTGTACCTAGTATGTGTAAAGCTGATGAGGGACCACTGGATGTGGAAGACATTGTCTCTGACCACGTTGGGTTTACTGTCTTTCACCAGAAACTGAAAACTATCCATCATCTCATGGATCTTCTCCTCATGCAATATGTAACGAATCAACCCCAAGTTCACATCCTCTGTGAGAAAAAAGACACAGTGCGTTAGCCCGGGGTTACAAAAACAGCCTCATAGCTGTGCACACTGACACACTCAGTCATTCTTCTAATGGGTCATGGACAGAACATGTGTTCCCGAGAAGAAAAAGGGGTAATAGTCTTAGAAATTACTGCTTCCGCCAGATGCAAAAATAAGATCCTGTAACTCCGTGTGACAAAACACTATCTTTATGTACAGGAAATACACTATGCTGTTGTAAATGAGAACTTCCAGGCCTTGGCAAAAAGACACTTCAATAAAGGTCTATGGAATGTTAGCGGCGGATCTGAGAGCTGACAGAGAAAAGTCTTCGACCCCATCCTCTGTGTGCATATGCTCATATCCACACCACTCCCTTCTAATAAGGTTCCTTGGAAGGCATGTGTTACTAAGAAAAGCTAAGGTTAGATTAAAACAGCCCCCACACAAGGCACAGGTAACATGGGCTAGGAGAGCACAGAAGACCGAGGACAGAGAGAAAAAGGAAATACGGCACATGAGTCATAACAGGCAGCTTCTCATAACTGCTCCCAATGAAGCCCTTCCTCAGAAGTCAGCTAGATTCTAGAAGACCCCAAGGGGCGTCTGGGAAACTAAAATACAAAATGGTCTGCTTGATATGATTCAAAGCAGGAAAACATTTCTGTTAAGGAATCTGCCCACATTGATTTTAATTTCTTTGCTGAAGACTTTAAAAAATATCCATAACCCTTAGAGAACAAACCACACAGGATCACGGATCTTTCATAAAGCCTGGGGGCTGTTTTTGTGGTTTGTTTTTAAAGAAAACCGAGCAATGACATGATCCCTTCCAGAAAACCTGGCCAAAACCTAAAGCAATTTGGGAGCTGAGGAAGCATGGTAAAGGTGAATTTTTTTGGGGGGTGGGGGTGGGGGTGGGGGGGAGAGGGAGTGGGGACATAATTCAGAGTAACAGGAAAAAAATCAGAGACGTAAAATTCCAAAGTTGGATGGTTAGACTTTAAAAGACTGTATGTTTGTACGTAGGTTACTTAGGGGTGAGAGGGGTCATAGAACAGATTCCTCCCATTTCCCAGCTCCCCGAGGCCCCACCCTGGGTGAAGGTCACAGCAGCTCGGCCAGGCTGCAGCTTGTTCTCCACGTGGCCATGCCTGGGGCCCGTAGCGATCTCATAGACAAGTTGCAGGTCTTCCGTGTCCGGGTCCAGGGTCAGCAGTTCTTTCTTGGTGATCAAGTTGGTTGCCTGGAATAGAAACCCATTAAATTTAACTCCTGTTGTGGGAATAAAGCAAGAACAAGACCCAGTGACTCAGATTTAATTCAGCTCAACAATGATTGACTGAGTGCATTTACTGCACAGAAAACTCTGTCAGTATTGAAGAGGCTGTACGGATAAAAGCCAGCCGGCCTCTGCCCTCGATGTGTTCACACTATTGGCAAAGAAAGGCTGATAAGCAATGTAGCTGTGGCAAGAGCTATATCGGGAAATAAAAAAAAAAAAAAGAGTGCTATGCACTCTTTTGGGAGTGGGAGAGATAATTCCAGCTGAACTGGGGCAGAAGAGATTTGAGATGGTGGAATTTGAGCTTGGCCTTTAAAGAAGGTTGGGACTTTGAAAGAATGATACAACACAGGAAAGACGGCCACTCCTGAGAATACAGGAGTCAAATGCAATGCTTGCAAGTAAGTAAGATATATATGATACCCCAATTTTGCCCAAATATACTGCCTATATTTTAACTCACTCAAAAAATATTTAGAGAGAATCATTGATCGGCTGCCTCCAGCATGTTCCTACAAGCTCGCAACCCGACCGGGCATGTGCCCTGACTGGGAATCGAACCAGGACCTCCTGGTTCCTAGGTCAATGCTCAACCACTGAGCCACGCCGGCCAGGCCTTAACTCACTCAAAAAATATTTAATGAGAGCAAAGGTTTGAGAGAAAAAAGGGCTGGTCAATAGTATTAAATGTTTTTAACTCTAGGACAGTAAGGACATGTAAGTGACCTTTGGACTTGACAAAATAGAGGTCATTGGTGACTCTGACAAGAGTCCCTGCAGTAGGGTAGGGGTGGGAAGTAGAATTGCAGAGAGTTTAGAAGAGAGTGAGATGGTTCTGAATATGGAAAAAAATAAATGAAATAGGGCAAAAGAATTGATACTAATTTTGTTTGATATATTTTAAAAATTCCGATAAGTTTGGTGGAAAGCTATAGCATAACACCTACATATAAAAGCATACCTTGTTTTAGTGTGCTTCTCAGGTGCTGTGTGTTTCAGAAACTGAAGGCAAGACCCTCCACCCACAAAAAAGGTTATGACTCTCTTTACTGAGATACCTGCTTTATTGCAATGGTCTGGAACTGAACCCACAATATCTCTGAGGGATGCCTATACAACCAACTAATCAGCTCCATAGGGAAGAGAAAATCTACGTCTTAGAGGGAAAACCACAGGCAAAAGAAAGAAACCAGTTCTCAAACTCAACTCAAGAGCTGTGTGTGTTTGGGTGGGGACAGGAATTTAACGCTAGACATGGTTATGGCATATCTTAAAATGACCAAATTGGGCTTTAGGAGAAGGAGAATGAAATTTCTAAAGTATTCCTCTGAGGACATTCACCCACAAAAATACTTCCTTCCCATTAATGGCATATTCCAGATATGTCCCCAAACCTATCTTTCCCTTCTTCTAGTTAACAAACTTTTAGCTGGGCACCTGGCTAATCAGCTAGACACTCTATCTCCCAGCCTCCCATGCAACACATGAGCCCATATGACCCATTTCTTGCCAAAATAATATGAGTGCAAGAGATGTGTTTAATTTCTGTACCACTTGCTTAAAATATATCCCTTGCCCTTGCCATGGGTAATGTTGCTAAGTGGTTAGAGGATCAGCCCGCACACTGAAGGATATTGGGTTTGATTCCTGGTCAAGGGCACATACCTGAGTTTCTGGTTCACTCCCCACCCATTGGGGCACATGCAGGAGGCAACCAGTCAATGTGTCTCTCTCACATCGATGTTACCCTCTCTCTCTCTCCCCCCACTCCCTTCCTTCCTCTTTTCATTCCTCCTTCCCTCCTTCCCTCCTTCCCTCCTCCCACTCTCTCTGAAAAGCAATGGGAAAAATATCTTCAGGTGAGGATTAAAATATCTATATATTCCTTGTTCTCTACTTTTCTATTTTCCTCTTCCCATGGACTAAAATACTGATGACTAACTGAAGAGATTAGGGTAACTCCAGCCAACGGCTACAAGCCAGTAATGGCAGAATGGCAAGAGAGAAGGAACCTGTGCTTCTGAATCATCACGCAGAGCCCTGGACTTCCGCCCTGGATGTGAGGGGGAAAACACCTGCTATTTTGTTTGAGCTACTATATTTTGGGAGCCATTGTATAAGAACATGTTAAACTATATACAATCTGAATCAAACCCATGAAGCTCTCCAATCTCAGGAATATCAGATCACTTAGGGAGGAATAAACATAACTTGAGCTACAGTTCTTAGTCATAATCTATCGTCATGTTCAAGGCTACTGTCCAAGCTGGTTAGTGTGGAACTGGCCGATGGAGGGGCCTTACCTTGCCATCCACACGCTCCAGCCACTGGAGCCCCAGGTTTGTGACAATTCTCGGAGTGCTGTCATCCACTGGGAGGATGTCTACTCGGAACTGCTGAGGCGCTGCTGTGATAATCTGGGGGAGCGGGGGAGCCAAAAAAACTCATCATTCACAGACATCGAACTGTCAGGTCTGGAACCCTGAAATCAGTTGACACTTCAGAGTGGGAGCTAAGCCAGTTTCCACCACTTGCCAGCCCTTGGCCCGAGACTTAGGAAGAATACTGCCTGCTAAAGGGCACTATACGAAGGAAAGCAAGAAACCAGGGGCACAGGGCTGGGACTTCACCTGCCATGGAAGCTGACGTTTACACACCTCTGCATTGAGTAAGTTCAACGTTACCCTGAGGTGAGACAATAAGCAAAACATTTTCCTTTCAATAACTCTTGTTAAATCTTTCCTGAGAGGCAGAAGAAAACCATCATTAAAATGTTAATGTCAAAGTCTCCAGGTGGAACTCTGCCAGATGTAGAAAGAGGTTTCCTGGGAAGAGATTTTTCTCCCCCTCCCCGCCTTTTTTCAGTGAGCTATTCATATGGGGAAAACAGAAGAAGAAATTAAGAATAAAATATTTGTGTCAATGGGGGAAAAAGGAGACTTATGTAATACTTTAAATAAGAATTTAAATAAAAAAGAATAAAATATTTGTGGACATAATGAAAAGAAACTTTGGTTTATAATTTCAATCTTGCTTAGACCGATCCACACAACACAGATGCGGCACCTCCCTGTTCGAGGGGAAAAGGCGGCTGCCACGCAGGGCAGCAGATGCTGGCTTTTCAACCTTCTACCACCCTCCTTGTAAGCAATTTCCATTTGTAAAATAACAGGGTCCCTCTGGAGACCTGCAGTGACCTTTTATGTTTATCGGAGAGGTAGCCCTCTTGCTGATTTATCCTGAAATCTTTGTTCTCTTCTGAAGGTCACACTAACTGGGAGCAGCTGCAGTGCAGGAGGGAGAATAAAAGCGATGAGCTCTCAGGGGGGTGATGCGTCCCAGACCCCGCAGTGGCAGGGGAATCCTGACTCTTCAACCCACTGAGAATGACCTTCTCACAGGCTGTCGGTCTCTAAAGGGTGCAGGAAGACCTTTCTTCCACAAAGGAACCATCTTCATTCATCACCAAAGTCTGAAAGGGACTGTGCAGGATGGAGCTGACCCTGCTGTAATCCTTGAAGGATGGTAGGGTGTGACGATATAGCTCATTCAAACTGCTTCTGCAGAGTCAGAGACAGACGCCTGTGATGTAGGAGTCCGTGCCTACCTTTTTCCTGGGTTGCAGTTATTCCCAGCAGAGGGTGTGGGACTGACTGCAGGACACCAGGCTAAGAAGGAATGAGTAAAAATAGCAGGAAAGGTAGTGCAGGGGCTGTCTTAATGTTTCTTCCAGACGCCTGGATATCAGAAGGGAACAATTCTCTCAAAGAAATAAAGCTGAATGGCTGCATGACCTCAAGACAAAAGTCTTTACCTGTTTCCCTTGCTGACCCTAAAATGATGACACAGATGATGATGACAGCCACAGTTGATTGGATATTCCTGTGTACGGCACTGGGCTAAGTGCTTTACATACATCACGAGGGTGGCATCATCTCCATTTTATAGATAGGGAAGCTGAGGCTTAGAAAGGTTAAATGACTTGCAAAGTCACTCAGCCAGTCGGTGACAGCTAGAATTTAAATCAGTGTCTTTTGGATGAAGAAACCGCACTCTTATCCATTGCTATTCTTCATGAGACTAAGAAACTTTGGCTGACTGAGGGGACATATAAGAGAGCAAGACAATCTAGAACCATATGAAATTAGTAAAAAAAAACAGATGAAAGAAAAATGACAGGAAAGGAGAAATAATAACAGAGTAATAACAATAACTATCAACTTCTATTGAAAGTGCTCATAATTTGCTAACAGTGTTAAGTACATACTATCGATGATCTCTTTGAACCCTCATCTAACTGAAGCTGATGATGATTATTGTATCCATTTTGCAGATGACAAGAGGAGGCTTAGAGGAGCTAAGTGATTTGCTGAAGGCCCACTGATAAGTGACAGAACAAGAACTAAAACAAGGCTATCCTTGGCCTTGAAATGCCATGTTGTGGACAACCTCTGGCATGTTCTGCTATGCCTTCCTCTCTGTTGTTTCCCCTCACCTCTTTCCCTCCTTCCTCAATAATAAAGAAGGGGTTCGTCCCATCAGCAACAGTGAAGGTGAACCAGTCTTTGAGGGAGTTGCTGCCATCGTGGCTGTAGCTGACTCGGTTCTGGTAGACGTCCTCCATGGTGAAGGTGGAGATGAACTGGAAATGCTGCCCATTGGTGGTTCGCTCGATGCTGCCATGACGTGGGGGCTGCACAATGGTGAACGTGACAGACTCAGCCTGTGGAGGAGGCAAAAAGCAAGAGGAGAAGGGACTTCTTAAGAGAAACCAGATGTGTCAGTGATGGCCAACAGGTGGTCAAGTGTAGTCAAACCTAGAGACATTTATAAAATAAGAACTGCATTTTTTATGGCTATCAAAAATAAAACTAAAGAGGTAAATTATATTGGTTACTATAATTGAATGTATATTCTGATGCCTTCAGTTGTAAGACTAAGGCATTTATATTTGTCCTTTGGGGGGGTCAAAAAAAAAAAAGCCTGAATCTTTAACCTCTCCCAGGATGATAGGAACTAGACCTTTAAAAATTATTCATTTCTTTTCCATCCATTTCCCCCCACTTCCCAAAACTCTTATATCCAGAATCCCATATGCATCAGAACAGAAGTTTATTTCCCATTTCTAGTCACTGCTTCTAGGGCGACACATAGAAGCAAAAATAAAGAGGTAGAAAACCCTGCTCAAGACTTTCCAAAGATTTCCCACCAATGGAGAATAAAATGAAAAGGCCTGACCTGGACCAACCAGGCCCGTGTGACCTGGTCCCAGGACTCCTCTCTGGGCCCACCCTTCCCCTCTCCTGCTTGTTTAGGTTCCCACCTCTTGGCCTCTTGTTGTAACTCAAAAGTTCTAAGCACACTTGACCCCAGGGCCTCTGCACTCTGGTTCTTCTGCCCAGGGACTGAGGCTCCCAGATGACTGCATAGCTTGCTCTTCTGCTTCATATCTCTGCTCCTCAGAGAAGCCTTCCCTGCCCACTCTGTCTAACATAGCACAATCTCTATCTTCTTTAGCTTGCTTTAGTTTTATTCATAGCACTTACAATATCTGACATGGTATTACACGTTCTTTCTTTATTGTCTGTCTTCCTCAACAAAGGTTGAAAACTCCCTAAGGCTGGAACTTTATGTGTTTTGTTCACGGCTCTGTCCTTCAGGTCTAGAGCAGAGCCGGCACAGGTGCGTAATGAGTATTTGCTGAAAGAGTGAACAGATGAATGAATGAGCGCTGGCAGAGGGTAGAGTGCACATAGAACTAATTAATAATTGCTGTGGTACTCTTATGGGAGCTAAATTGTGCCAGAAGGTTACATGCTTTTATCTGAAAGCACCATGAGAATGAGAGTTCTGTCTCTACAGGCTCTGTTTTACTGTATAAAGCCTAGTTCTCTGAGGATGCCTAAATTGTAATAATTAGTTGTCATCCAGAGAAGTCTGAATGAAGAAAATTAAAAAAAGGGAAAGATCTATTTTGTCAGTTTCTTTAGTTCATTAGATTCTACATATAAGTGAAATCATGTGATCAATGCAACAGACATGATTCTCAGAGGGAAGTGGGGTTGGTGGAGGAGGGGTGGGAAGAGATTAACCAAAGAACTTATATGCATACTAGAGACTCGGTGCATGAAATTCATGCACTCGGGGGGTTCCCTCAACACAGTCCAGGACCCCTTGGGGATGTCTGACTGACCGCTTAGACCCAGTTTAGCTCCCACAGGGAGTGGGCCTAAGCTGACAGTTGGACATCCTTAGCACTGCCGCAGAGGCAGGAGAGGCTCCCGCCACTTCCACTGCGCTCACCAGCCGTGAGCCCGGCTCAGGACTTCTGGCTGAGCAGTGCTCCCCCTGTGGGAGCACACCAACCACTAGGGGACAGCTCCTGTGTTGTGTGTCTGCCCCCTGGTGGTCAGTGCACGTCATAGCGACCAGCCGTTCCCCAGTTTGGTCAATTTGCATGTTAGCTTTTTATTATATAGGATATGCATAATCCACGGACATAGACAATAGTGCAGTGAAGGCCTGGGAGGGGGCAGGAGCAGGGTGGAGGGGATCAATGGGGGAAAAATGGGACATCTATAATAGTTTCAACAATAAAGAAAATTAAAAAGAAAAGAGGGAAAGATATATAGGTGCCATAAATCCTTGTTCATGCTAATAAGGAATAATTTTCTATAAATCATGATAAAAATTCAGCATGTTAAAAAGATTGTTGCATGTAATCAGGGAAGAGGGTGAACATACTTAGGGTTTCAGAAAGGGTTTAAAAGCAGTTTGATGCAAATGTATTCACTTCCTCTTTTTCAGAGGGCTGTGGTCTCTTCGGGTTTTTAGTCCTTCAAGGATACTTGTTCTAACTTCACCCCCCTGCCCTCCCCTTGGGATGCTCAGTCACAAAGCAACCACTGGACTCACCAGATCAGCTTCTCATTCAGCCAGAGAACCCAGGGGCACGTTCTTACCTCTGTATCTGCATCCACGGCCTTGAGCTCAAATTCCGTGATTGTCTTCCTCACGCCCTCCTGCACCCGCATCCCCATATTCTGTACAATGGGCAGCGAGTCATCCACAGGGCGAATGGTGATGTGGAACGTCTGGGTCACCTAGAATGGCAGACATGTGAAGACGAGAGAGACACAGGGCCCCAGCCCCACCCAAGTAGAAGGTAAGTGCCCTCTACTTTCTCCTTCACACCATCCCTCACATGATGGACTGACCAGGAACCCAAAATGAATTCTCTTGGACAAGACCCCTGGGGGCTGTCAGAAGCCGCCTGACCTTGGCTGAGAGCAGAGGGAAGTGAAGTTCAGACAGCACCAGCCGCTGTGCAGATGCTAAGGGAATCCAGTTCCTCACCTACCTCATGGACTCCATCCGAGAGCGTGAAGCTGAAGGCATCTGAATGGCTCTCGGACTCACTGGAGTGGACATACTGAACGTTTCGTGAAGCCAGGTCAGCCTGAGTAAAAGAAGTGATCAGGATACCTGGCAAAAGGGAAGAAGAGAAACAGAGAAAGGATGAAAAAATGCTCGCCATACTTCTGAGGCTGGGGAAACGTCATATGCTCACTAGATAGAGTCCTTGGCATTTGTCTCCTAGCATTTATGTGCTTCTCCCTGAGACCTGGTGTTAGAGTTGTTTGCCTACTTTTTTTTCTACAACAGCATATGTTCTGTGGGAGCACATGTTAACGTAATTATCCAGGCTTCTACTATGTGCCAAGTCAACAGCAGGTGCTCAATAAATGTTACTCTCCTTTCTCTTGGGGCTTATGCATGCAGGTCAAATCTGTGAAAGGTAGAGACAGTGCCTTATTCTCTAAATTCTTCTCTCTTAAGTTTTATATTCCCCCATAGTCTCATAGCCCTTTCTGAAAAACCTATCCTAATTTTTAATATTGTGCAATGGGAACACTGGACTAATAGGGCTCGGCTAAACCATAGCCTTGTTTCTGTGATTGGTGGGGCTTCCCCAGCCTCCACAGATTCATTGGAAATTCTTCAAGGTCCCTTTCCAGGTCTGTGATTCTAGCTTCTCATATACCATGTCGGCCAGGCTGACAGTAGACTTACTGCATGACTCTGGGCTTTGGGCAATCATTCTATATCAATTCTAAAACGACCTATAAAACCATTATCCTTTAATAACATGATAGAAAACATATTAATTTTTTAAGAGTCATTTTGAAAGTAAAAAAATCTAAAGTGATTTTGAATAATTAATGCCAAAGTATCCCACAAGTGAATAATATCTCTATGTTTTTAAATGTCAAACAACAATTAGCGTAGAATTCTTGCTTCCATCTTAGGGCTCTGGGACTTCCTTCCTGGTCCCAACCAAGATTGAAACAAAATCACATCTTTTAGACCAGTGATGGCGAACCTATGACACGTGTGTCAGAGGTGACATGTGAACTCATTTTTTTGGTTGATTTTTCTTTGTTAAATGGCATTTAAATATATAAAATAAATATCAAAAATATAAATCTTTGTTTTACTATGGTTGCAAATATCAAAAAAATTCTATATGTGACACGGCACCAGAGTTAAGTTAGGGTTTTTCAAAATGCTGATACACCGAGCTCAAAAGGTTCGCCATCACTGTTTTAGACCCTCAGCACCAATTCCCTCTGCCTGATGTGAGTGTTGGGGTATTAATCCATTTAATCTAATCCTTCTGTTTGGTCCTGCAAATCATTTGCTGCTGCCTAGGATTTATTATTTGTCATTGTAAATCCTGGCAAAACCACTGTAGCTTTCCTGTAAAAAAACAAACACAAACACTCACACACACACTCAGAAATTGTACTTTGACTGTGACACAAGTATCACTGCCATCCTAAAAAATTAATAAACCTGCATGGTTTACATTTGCATCTCTCTTTATCATCTGAAATTTGTCGCCCAGATACAATAGCCTCCTGATACTGGGGCATTAATTTTTTGATGAGGCGTTTTATATTTCTGTGCTTGCTACATGAGCTCTTGACAGGCAAGAAAATGTAGCCCCCTGTCTTATAGCTTTGTCTTGTAGTCTGGACAGAAATCCATACCATTCTTTAAAAATTTAATAACTTCAGACTGGCTGCGCTGAGAAATTTAAATCTCTTCCCCTGCGGTGACTCCCTCCTCATAGCTCATGGGGAAATGCTTGTCTGGATTCTCACAATCCACTGGTCACCTAATTCACTCTTCTCTTTATGGGAACCTAGGACTGACTGAGGAAGGTGATAGAATTTTCCTTCCTCTTGGGAAGGAAGCACTGGGATTGATTTTTAAAAAATTTTTGAGAGGAAATGGACATATAATAAATAGCACACATTTAAAATGTACAATTTCATAAGCTTTGGCACATCCATAAAACCACCACCTCAATCAAAATAGTGAACATATCCATCACCCCAAAGTTTCCAGCTGACACTTAATAATTCTTCCATTCTTCCCATCCCCTACCCTATCCCAAAGCAATCAATAAATTGCCTCCTGTCACTCTAGATTAGTTGGCATTTTTTCTGATTTTTTAAAATAGATTCATACAGTATGTACTATTTTATGCATAGTTTCTTTCACTTGGTATAATCATTTTTCAATATTCATCCATATTGTACCATGTGTTAACAGTTCATCCTTTTTATGGCTAGGTACTATTCTATTGTGTGGATATGTCATCATGTGTTTATGCATTCACGTGTTGGTGAATGTTTAGGTTAGTTCCAGTTTGTGGCTATTATAGATAAAGCTGCTACGGTCATTTGTGTACAAGTCTTTGTACCGACCTAAGTTTTCATCGTTTCTGGGCAAATCTCTACGAGTAAAATGGCTGGAATATGTCTTGGGTGCATGCTTAACTTTTTAGAAAACTGAGAAACTATTTTCCAAAGAAGGCAGTACCACTTGCCATTCCCACAGCAGTGCAGGGGGGCTCTGGGCTTCATCTTAGTGGGCCTTTCCCACTTCTATCTAGAAAATGCTGAACACCTACTGTGCAGAATGCTATTGCAGGCTTGCTTATATATTTTAAGTTTTATCTTTTAACAACTCTGGGAGGTCAAGGTTGGTATGTTACCTCGTTTTGATAGATCAGGACACTGCGATCCAATTAGAGTAGCAATGTGGCCTATCCCAGGTCACACATCTAATAGGGGGACAGAGCTGGAACTGGAGATCAGGGTTGTCTAACTCCAAAGTTTATGCCTGCTAGGAGTACGTTTTTATAAAACTCATCTAGACTTTTCAGACTAGACAAGGAGCCTCTTGGATATCACCCTTATCCTTTAATTGTTTTCAATATAAAAGTAATACATGGCTATTAAAAAAAATGTAAAAAGCACAGAAAAGTAGTAAAGGATCACAGAAATCACTCATAGTATAGAATCACAAGAATCACTCATATATCTACCACTAAAATATCACCATTGTAATATTTCTGAATTGAACTGTTTCTTATACTTGATTGGCCATAACCGTTTTTTATCTGAAATATTGATTTTGATGGGGTACTTAATATTATTATTTAAGTGATACCAATGATTAAGTGCCAGAGGGTAATAAGCTGCACCTAGAAGGCAAGCTTCAAGGGGACAAGCATTTTGGTGGTTTCCTCACCAAGGTGCACCTAGAATAGTGCCTCACACACAGTAGGTACTCAAAACATTTTTGGTGAATGAATTTAGCTCACCCACTATAATCAATATCTGAGGCCTTACCCAATGAGCACAGAATTTTCAATCTCTATGTACCTCCCCCCCCCCCAATTTTAGCCTTTGCTAATTGGGCATTGGAAAACTTCAGCTACTTGTTCACCACCAAGATGGTGTTTCCAGTAACATGTTCTCCCTGTTGGCTGTCACAGCAGGTAGTTACTGTTTGAAAGGTTGCAGGCTTTTAATCCCATGGAAGGTATTTGCAGTCACCAACCTACTGAATACACTACGTCTCTGGCAGTATTACAGGGACCCACATTAACCCTGTCAGCTTTTCCAATTCCCTCGAAAGGCCGGCACATTAGAGTGGTGTGGGGAAAAAGCATTTCTGAAGAAACTGCCTTCCTAAGCGGAGGTTAGGCGATTGCCTCGGCATCCTGCTTTCAGCACGGCCGGGATGGCCCTGTGCATGGGAATAGTGCTATGTCGGAACCAGTGCTGAACCACCGCAGGCTCATGCCATGGGAGACTCTCAGCTTTTCTTCAAAGCCTCCAGTTATGGGCTAAATTGTGCTGCTCCCCCCCACCCCCGCCGCCAACTCATATGTTGAAGTCCTAACCCTCAGTGCCTCAGGTGTGACATTACTTGGAAACAGGATCATTACAGAAGTATTGAGGTCACTAGGGTGGGACGTAATCCAATATGACCATTGTCCATATAAAAGGGGAAACTTTGGATATACACATACTAGAGGCCTGGTGCACAAAATTCGTGTATGGGTACGGTCCCTAGGCCTGGCCTGTGATCAGGGCCATCTTCCCTGGCTGCCTGCAGCCAGCCCCGCCCCCGCTGCCACCCACCCTGGTTTCCACTTTGCCATCAGGTGATTGGTGCGTGATGGCCGGGGGAAGGGACCGAGAGGTCGGCTGTTCCCACCTGCTCACCGGCCCCATCCCCGCTGCTGGTCGCCCTCTCTGTGTGGGGTGACCGGTGGGGCAGGGCCTTGGCCTGGTGCCCCCCACATTCCCTGCCACCCATCCCTGGTTCCCTGTTCACCATAAGGCAATCAGAGCCTGCTGGCCAGGGAAAAGGAAGAGGTAGTAAGTGTGCCTCATAGTGACTGGTCCAGCAGCGTTCTGGTTGTTCCGCTGTTAGGGTCAATGTGCATATTACCCTTTTATTATATAGGATAGAGGCCTGGTGCATGGTTGGGGTCCTGGATTGGGGTGGGGGTCCCTGCTGGGGGCAGGCCGGCCTGGGCGAGGGTCTGTGGGCTGTTTGCAGGCCTGCCACACCCCCAATCATTCTGGTCTCTGGTCGTTCTGGTTGTTCTGCTGTTTCAGTCACTGGGCTTTTATTATATAAGACTAGAGGCCTGGTGCACGACATTTTTGCATGGGGGGGAGGGTCCCTCAGCCCAGCCTGCACCATCTCTAATCCGGGACCCCTCAGGGATGTCCAACTGCCAGTTTAGTCCCATGGAAGGTGTTTGCAGTCACCAACCTACTGGCTACACTAGGGGATCAGGCCTAAATTGGCTGGCTCCTAACTGCTCACCTGCCTGCTGGCCTGATCCCCCTAACTGCTCCCCTGCTGGCCTGATCCCCCTAACTGCTCTCCCCTGCAGGCCTGATCACCCCTAACCGCCTCTGCCTTGGCCCTGCCACCATGGCTTTGTCTGGAAGAACGTCCAGAAGGTCGTCCAGAAGACGTCCAATCTAATTAGCATATTACCCTTTTATTAATATAGATAGGGAGAACACCATGTGAACATGAAGATGGCATCTAGAGGCCAGGGAAAGACCCTTCTCTCAGAAGGAACCAACGCTACTGACACCATAATCTGGGATTTCCAGCCTCCAGATCTGTGAGGTAATAAATTCTGTTTAAGCTTCATAGTCTGTGGTACTGAGTATGGCAGGCAGCCCTAGCAGGCTCATACACCCTGCCCTCACGGAGAACCCAAACTAAGACAATTTTGGTTGGGAGTCATAACACTGAGAAAGGCTGACATTAAGAGAAAACCAAAGCATACCTTGGCTTAAGATCACTTCTGGGAAGTCTTTCCTGACTCACCCCACCCCTCTCTCAGTAGCACTGGCTGTCCTTTGGCTCCTACTGTCTTCTGTCTTGCTGCTATCACAGCTACTAACATACACCTGCACCTATTCATTTGCATGCCGACAACTTCTGAAACATAAAGGTGGGAACCAGTGCTGTGCTGGCAATTGCTGGATTCTAATAGACTCCTCCCCTACTTTAAAAATACAACTCCTGACTGCTAGCTAAGCAACTGAATCCCCAGGTAGGGTCTGCATCTCCCAGCCACCTCACAGCTGGGTGTGACTGTTCTTGCCACTAGGCTATGACCAAAAGTGATGCTTTCTTCTAGTAATACCCCTAAAAGGAGATGGAGGTGGGCTCCCTGGCCTTCCCCGCTTACCGCTGGTGTGGGGAGGACACAACTGCAGTAGTTGTTAGAGTAGAAATGGGAGCCTCATGTTGGGGATCACTGAGCCACCTGGGCCACCTGCCTCTCGATTTTTCTGAAAAGGAAAACTTCTTGCTTCAGGCACTGTATTTTGAAGTCTCTTTATTCCAGCAGCCTAGCTTCTGCCCTAATAATTTAATTCCTTTCTCTGATTTACCAGGAAAAAGAGAATCTTTTGTCTCCCTGATGTGAGGTTGTGGCCACCTCAACCTGGACAGAGCACTTGTGGGACTAGACTCCCAGATCCTCGGAGTCTGGTTCTGGTGTCTGTCTTCCACAGTTGGCACAGGCAGATGGCTCGTGACATCGCCTCAGGGGAAGGAAAGAGGCTCTGCACAGCTTTCCCGTCTATCTACAGAGAGCAATCGCTCACCATGGGCGGGCCACGAAAGGCGGCATGAGAATCTGTCCACTTCACAGCGAGCCATCAGGAGGATGTCTGCCACACCAGTGGCAAGTGATCACTGCACGAGGCATGGGTCCCAAGAGAGCTCAGCGCCTGCACTACAGACCCTGGCCTAGACGATGCTCTGCTCCTCTCAGAAAGACCAGGTCCAGCCCAACCCCAACTCCTGGCAGAGACATGCTCACCATCTGAGACAAATGGGGTGAGGTGCTGCTACTCTTTTAAAAAAAGAATTTTTAAATCCTCACCCAAAGACATGTTTACTGATTTTAGAGAAGGAGGTGGGGGGTGGGGGAAGAAAGAGAGAGAGGAAGATAAAGACAGAGAGACATCGATTGCTTGCCTCCTGTACATGCCCTGACTGGGGATTGGACCCACAATCTAGGTATGTGCCTTGACCGGGAATTGAACCCACAACTTCTGGTGTACGAGGTGATGCTCCAACCAACTAAGTCACCTGGTCAGGGCAGGTGCTGCTGCTCTGTAAGCTGTAGTCAGCTGCCTTAAGAGAGGGTGGTAAGTCAGCAACATAGATTTCCTCTGAAGGGAGACTTTTGACATTTAGAAAGAATCAAATGCATGAAAATATTCTCATTTAGGGGAGACAGGGAAGGAGAGGATGCTGATGAAATGGGATTTGTAATGAGGGAGGGACAGGGAAATCCTGCCCTATTAGCAATGGTGTGAGCCCCCAAGAATAGCAGGGAGGGGACTGCATCCAGTATCTGGTTTACTTAAGAGTTACCAGAAACAGGTGAATTAAGAAAAACTGGTTGGGTTGGGAGACTACCTGGACTAGGAAATCAAACCTGGAGGAAAAGGGCAGGTGAAGGAAGAGTCCCAGGTAGAGCACGACATCTCCCTCCTTTTGAGAAGAGGAGGGAGAAGTGTGTTCACCTACGGGCCGCTCCCTGAGCCATACTGGCGTGGTCTTTGCGGACAGAATTCAAGCTCAGTGACGGTGATACTGTAAACACCAAAAAGGTGAATCTGGAGCAGCCTCACACAGGACTCAGCAGAGCCTGGGGGCAGAGAAGAGCGAGGCTGTGATTACCAGCCCTGGGCACTGGCAGTGACTTGCAGGAGGCTCAGAGCCTTTCAAAGCCCCGCGCAGTGAGCATGCAGTTGCCCAACACAACAGCCAAGAGTCTGCCCTTTCATCTTTGGAGAGAAACAATCAGCAACCTGACAGGATTCTGGCAGAAGCAATTAGCTCCTGAATTAGTTATCCAATATCTCATGCAGCCAAAGTCTTAGAAGTGCTGATCTGCATACTCCCTGGGGAATTAGGCCACAAAGGGTAGGCCACCTGCTTCAATTTGCATTAGGGTTTTGGCCAGTCTGTCCACCCCTCCCCAAGCCCTCCCACCAGACACAGATGACACCCCTTCCTCTAGCATCACTGTGGACCCCGACATGGTCTGCCACATCAGCCTCTAGCTCTGGGAACTCATCTCCCACCGCCCTCACCCTCACTCACTGCCACAGGCACACTGGTATCCTTGCTGTGTCTGGAACCTGGTGTGCCAAGCTGATCCTGACTTTCTGTTCACACTCGCTGATGCCTCTGTCTGGGGTGCTCTTTCCTTATCTGCCAGCTTGGCTGGCACCCTCACTTTCTGTTCCAATACCATCTTCTTATTAGAGGGCCCTCCCTCACCCCTTGCTCCCTGTGCATCCTGGTGATGCCCTTGTTTTCCCCCCAGCACGCATCACCAGTGATATATGATGTATTCTCTTGCTTGACTGCTTACTCTCTGGTTCCCTGCATTAGATGGTCAGCACCATCAGGGCAAGTAATTCCCCCGTTTTGCTATTTCCCTGGTTGAGTGAAGACTCTGTAGCCTAAAATACAAAGAAAAGCAATGAGGATCTAAATATCCTGCCAGCTGCCTCTATCCTGTATGACGTACAGAATAAAGACAATTCAACCTTTAGATTGTTTATTTGGCAAGTGTCTCTTGTCCTTCACCTTCCTTCCACTGGCATGTTCCATCGGTTCTCTCCCTGAAATCCCTTCCTTCTCTCCTTCCTTCCCCAGCTGTTGCTCAGTGAATACTTAGTAGGTACCAGGTACTCCCTCATACAGTAATCTCCTCTTCCCTGGTCCTACTACTGTCCCCTGGGTGAAGCTTCACTAGCTCCCACCTGGTCAAATGTGAATCTCCTACCCACGGTCACTGCCTCCTTTTCCCTTCTTTTGTTCATCCTGTTGGACTCCAGATAAATTTCACTTCCTTTCCTGCCTCAAAATTCTGCAGTGACTTCCTATTGCCTATTTAATTAAATAGGAATTATCTCAGATTTAAAAACCCTCCATAAAATGTCAGTTTACCCATGAGCACCATCTATTTCTATTTTCAGAGCATATGCTTTAGCTAAACTAGCCCAGTCATTTTTTTTAATGTGTCCACATGCTGTCCCCATCTCTGGAAATAGCACAATTTCTGTCCGCCCAAACTCTGTCTTCCAAATGCCACCGCCAGGCACCTTATCACCCCATGTAGCCTCTCCCACTTTTGAACTCTTATGACAACAGGTTTATGCAGTTCTTTAAACACCTGCCATAGTCTTCCCTGAGTTATGGTTATCTGCAGGGAAGAAGTTCCTTATCTCACCCAGTAGAAAACTCTGGAAGGGGAGAATTGTATTTTATTTACCTTTTTTTTTCTTTACCACCAGCAGCTAAACTAGAATCTTGCTCAATACACATGCTCACTTGCTCTTTGCTGAATTAAAATTCTAAGCACAATGCATCCACACCAGGCCAGGTGCTCAAAGACTTTAAAAGAAGAACAGGGTGCAGTGTTTGCCCTAAGAAATTGACAATCTAGTTATAAAGACAAGTTTGCTTTATAAGATTGCAAATGTTTATTCAACTTTCAGTGAGCACCTACCGTTTGCTAAATATAATGCAAGGCAGTATATAATGGTCAAGATTAGTGATGCAGAAAATAAATACTCATAGATTCTAGGGATATGTATCCTAGGGGTATGTCATGGGTAAACGGGCATTTTAGGGAGGGTCTTCAAATCTGAGATAATTCCTATTTAATTGAATAGGCAATCGGAAGTCACTGCAGAATTTTGAGGCAGTGAATACATTCTTTAGTCCACCCCAACACGGACTAAATGCCAACTCTGGCTTAATGAAGCATCGACAGGCCTACCTGGTGACCCTGCATGCTCCAGGTGGCCCAGCTGGGGCTGTCTGGTGATTCTGTAGGTTAGTGCTGCTGGCTCGCTCTCCTGGTCAGTGGCAGAGAGCTGCAGGGTGGTGATTTTCGTGGCAGAGAGCTGCAGGGTGGTGATTTTCTTCACTGAGTTTTCATCTAAGACCATTCCTTTATTGGTGGTGATGACCGGTGGGGATTTGTCTTCTGAAAATATTAGAAATAATGATTGAAATGGGATATTTTTAGCCTCCTTTCTTCAATTCTGGATCTGGTGCCCGGGGGTAAGATCAGAATAGCTCTGAGAGAGAGAAAGAGATAGAGATAGAGATAGAGATAGAGATAGAGATAGAGATAGAGAGAGATAGAGAGAGAGAGAGAGAGAGTCCCAAGGAGCCAGAGCTTCACACAGCAGTAGGGACATGATCTCAGATTTCCTTACTGGTTGGGTAAAGGAAAGGCTCAGCCTCAAGGTAATCACAGTATAGATTCTTTAACTTCAGAACCACTGATGTATTTTTAGAGACCCGATGCCCCCTTACCCAAAACAATGATGGAAAATGACTGGCTGATCAATTTGTTGCCTTCTCCATCAACCACATCAAACTTAAAGTCAAAGTTCCCACCAGATTCTCCTTTTCTGTGACTGTATTCTACTTGGCCTGTAAAAAGAACAACAACAACAAAAATCAAGATTTGCTATTAATGCTTTCTGCTCTTATTTCTGAAGTGTGAGGTGGTAATTCGATTGGTATCCATACCAATTAACACTCTCCTGACTTGGACATTATTTTTGACATTTTAACCTAAAGTTTTCATTTCCTCTCCCACTCTGGGCTTCCTCCTGTTAAAATCACCTGAAATAGCACTGCTTATAGCTGGGGCTCGGCTTTTGGGAAAGAGTCTGAGGAAGTCTCATGTATAACTCGATCAGCAAAACTGCCCATGTGGAAAATGTGCGCTGATCACACCCACGTCACTGGTGTGACCCTGTATATACCCATGTCACTGGTGTGACCCTGTATATGCCCATGTCACTGGTGTGACCCTGTATATACCCATGTCACTGGTGTGACCCAGTAATACACCCATGTCACTGGTGTGACCCTGTATATACCCATGTCACTGGTGTGACCCAGTAATACACCCATGTCACTGATGTGACCCTGTATATACCTATGTCACTGGTGTGACCCTGTATATACCCATGTCACTGGTGTGACCCTGTTATACACCCATGTCACTGGTGTGACCCTGTATATACCCATGTCACTGGTGTGACCCTGTATATACCCATGTCACTGGTGTGACCCTGTATATACCCATGTCACTGGTGTGACCCTGTATATACCCATGTCACGGGAGAAGAGGCTGCAGCGCTCAGCCCACATTCTCTTAGAAAGCATCACTTCCACTTCCCAATACAGCCTTACATCATTTTTGGAACAACATGAAATATAACCAACCAACAAGTAAATAGGTAAACAAAACAAATAAACTCTACACAGAAGTCAAATGGATCCAAAGGGGGAAGTGCAATGTGTCATACTGTTGTGAACCCGCAACTTCACTTCTAAGTACCCAGCAATGCAAGTATAACCAGATCTCTGGGAAGAGGGGCCTCGTCTCATTTTTAAAGAGACACTGATGCAAGGAGTAATTAAGGAATGACATCCCTTTGCTTATTCTGCCCCCTTTATAAAAGTACAGACAGGTCCAATGAGAATTAGGCTGCTACCACTTACGTGTGAGTACATGGACAGGACCCTTATTTTATGCTCCTTGGGGGCATATTTCCACCTCGAAATGGAATTGCACATCACCACAAGATGTTGGATTACTTTCCCCCACAATATGTAACACCCCCCCCTTTTTTTTTTTTTACCCCTGAAAGCACTGTGCAGTAACTGCGTAGCATTTAACATTTATGCTTTTACATGACATCAGCATTTCCTGGAGGAGGGATGAGCTATGTAATCTCCCCTAGGCACCTCGATTTATGCCCTTCCATTTTGCTTAGTTCATTAACTTGCGCTCTTCGGGGAGCTGAAAAGAGATATAAATTGTTCACCTAAGGCAGGCATAATTTTCACCCAAATCCATCCCAATTCACTTCTTTTTCCTTTCCCTCTCTCTCATACACTTTTTAGCACTACAGACGGTCAAATGATTTTTCCCCCTCCACAACAGCCCCAAATTTCATCAATGCTATGTCAAAGGATGAACACATTTTAGCCAAGAATGATAGTTTTAAAAAAATTGAGGAGTCAAGAAAGAATAAATGGAGCTATAACTCAGTTCTTATTCAAAACAAAGAGTGTACAGTTGCCTGCCATAGGCTACCAGGCATTTAACTCCCACTCGCTATTGTGGGTGGAGTCTGAGGAAGCCTGGGTAGGCTGAGGACCCCTGGCTGACCTTGGCTGATGTCAGCCTGCGTGAAACTCCGGATGGGGCCTTTGACGGAGATTTGCTCCAGGTTGCCGTGCTTCACTGTCTGCAGGCGCCCAGCACCAGGATCTTCCTTCATAATGAACATCACCTGACTTTCATCTGAGTCCGTGTCTGTCACTTTCAAGTGCTGTTCTGTGATGCGTGCTGCAGACCCTGGGCGAGAACAGGAGACGCAGGTCATTCCCCATCATTGCCTTTGAATAGGACGTCAAATGATTTCAGGAGATGGCTCTGGGTCTAGGCAATAGAATATGCTTGCCCTTCTGTTTCCATCTCAATAAATGTTAATTTTCCAACCTCCCCATTTGCTGTCAGCCGTTGAGTGTAAGTCTGAGCCCCCTTTCTCTCCTGATCCATTCTCACTCTCTATGTTTGCTCTAGTTCCACAACCTATTAGTTGACCCTATAATAAAACCTGCTTGGACCTAATTTATTTACTGCCTTGAGGATCACCAAATCATAAACTCACAAACATATCTGGTTGCCATCTCAGACCAAATAGTCAAAAGCATTGCTCCTCAAGACAGAAGATACGGTGAGGTGACAGAGCAGGGGGAGCCGAGCGCTGGGCCCTGTGAGGCTGCACAGCTGTTGGGGATGAAGGCAAGGCACTGGCTCCTGGGAAACACCTCTTCTGAGGGCCTCGCCCTTGCTTTTCTGTTCAGCTGATTTCTCATATTACAAACAGTAAATTCTGGTAAAGTAGATCCTAGTCACCCAGGTGTTGGAGAGACAGTCCACCATGGGCCCCAAGTGCCCCTGCATTTCCTGCTGGGGAATGCAAAGAATGCAAGGCCTGACCACTGTTACCCAGGCCATTCTCAGAGATGAGGTGATGCCTTCCCCTGGGACAATGATCAGGCTTGCATATTGCTCAGTGCTCCTCTACTGAAATGCATCCCACTGCGCGTGAAGGTGTCCATCTGGGTGCTCTGCACCATCACAAGACGTGGAGGGCAGAGAGAACCAAAGCAAACTTCCGATGGCAATGCTGCCTGCTGTGCTGTGAGTAACAGAGCACTCTGTCTCAGACCCAGGAATCTTGTGTCTTCCACTAGCACCCATGAAATAGAAGCAGGCTAACTAAACTGCTTGTAAATGGGGTAAAGTTAAATCCCAGACCTAATACTTGGGACCTTTGGGAATCTCCAAATTTTATTTCTTAAAATGTGTTGTTTTTTAAAAATTGATTTTTAGAAAGAGAAGAAGGGAGAGGGATAGAGAGATAGAAACATCGATGAGAGAGAAACATCCATCGGCTGCTTCCTGCATGCCCCCTACTGTGGATGGAGTTCACAATCCAGGCATGTGCCCTGACTAGGAATCGAACCAGTGACCTCTTGTTTCATGGGCTGACACTCAACCACTGAGCAACACCGGCCAGCTCTCCAAATTTTCAAGTACTATTATATTATTTTTACTACAGAATACATGGGAAACTAAGAAGAGACTAACAGAACTCCAGTGGAATGTAGCTGCTCTGAGGGTAAAAGGCCCACTCCCTAATTAACATGCTAATGCAAACTGACTCTAAGACCGACAAGTGAAACAGGTTCTTCGGGGTTGCTTATATATGTATACACAAAACTGTATGTATAAAAATTACCATAGCAAATGAGTCTCAATTATTTGCACAATCTTTTTAGTGAATGACAGCTTCCCAATTGCCCCACCATTCCATTTTTTTTTAAATAAGCATGTTGAAAATCCTACTGGATTTCTTTTGTTGTTTCTATGTGGGATTGGTTGGGCAGTGGCAATGTTCGCCTTTAGAAATACTATAAACTCTTCTCAATCTTTTCTCAAATTCTGAAAAGGCTTCTGGCCCAAAGAATTTCAGAGATTCACATTTGTCACAACTGTCAGCGTCCCTAAAGCAACAGTTCTCCCCAACTCCAGTCTCCCTGAGTTCTGAACCCTTAGCTCATAACCTCCTACAGAGCTAACGTGGAAGAAAGACTTGCACTCTGACAAAGAACCATACCACTCTCTTCCATCCCTCTGGTACCTGCTGAGAGCTGTAGGCCTCGGTTAACAGCCATGTGGGGGGCATCACCCGTAGGCAGCTCAATGTATATCTCCATCCTCCCTGTGTCCATGTGGAGTCCATCAGAGAGAGAGAACCAGAACTCATCCACCTCCACACCGGGCCCACCAGGCGTGTACCCCACCAGCCCGCCCAGGATGTCCTGGTAAGTGAAGGAGGAGCCTTGGTCTAAAATCTTCCCATTCTCCAGAAGCTCAGAAGCAGTCTGCCTCTGGCGTAGGTGACCTGAGGAAGGAAGAAAAACAAAGAGGCAAAGGTAAGAATATATATGGCACCAAAACACTGCCTGATTGTGTCAACCAGAATGACCCTGGAAGAATGTCAATCACCTCAGAGGCTCTTGGTGACACATACCTAAGTGACCAAAAACTTAGCATCTTATAAATAAGCACAGGGTGCTTCCCTGTGGCCTTTTCTACAAATAAAAAAGATAAAGCCCCACTTTTCCTTAAAATCTCTTAAGGAGACACAAATGGATGTGGTAATCTAATGGCTTAGAAATCAAATCCCACTCCATGAATTCAAACTCATTTCATTATCTAAACCTTATTTTCCCCTTATGCAAAGTGAAAATAGCACTCTTCACTCACTGCCTTCCTCCCAGGGCATCTGGGATAGGAGATAAGGATGTGTTTTGAATTCCTTTTAAATTCAGAAAGGCGCCAAGCATCTTTGGGTTGAGACATAATTTGCTGTTTTCGTGGGTCATGTGTACCACAATGAAACAGTTAACATGCTTCATTAAAGAAAGTAAAAATGAATGAAGGCAAGATAAAATGCAGCGACGAACAGCCTCTTCAAGTAACCCTCCATCAACAACAACAGTTTCATCTTTAAGAGACCAACGGATGTTAGGATGGACCCTTGGGAGATGAAAATTCCAGCGTTAGCTAATACAGGGGGATGGCGCTTAGGAAAGAATTAGGTAGAAGACTGACTTAAACCTCTGGTTTAATCAGGAAAAGTGACTTTTTGTGTGTGCAAAAGTTCATAAAGACATCTACCATGCCTTTAACCTGAAATGAACACCATTTGCAATTAATAACAAGGCTGTTCCTTGCATAAGATGGCCTCAGATTACCAAGCGATGGTGCTTTCTCTGAGAAGAGAATATGCAGCTTCTGAAACCTGTTTTGTCTGAGGTTACATAGAAAAGTGAGAAAACAGCTGAAACTGAATTTCAGAAACACCAATTACCCAGGATTCAGGCTTTTAGAGCAACTGGTGTCTTCTGTGAGTCCAAAGAATATCAGTTAGCTGTCAGCTAGCTGTGATGTTGATTTGTATTTAGATGCAAAGAATGAATGATATACAGGCAAGGCAGAGAAACAATCAGCTGGAATCTATGTGTTTATTCTAATAACCCATAGGGCACCTCAATTAAGGAACTTTATACAGCAGTTGTGTCCTACCGTGGTCAGGCTTTTTTGTCAATACAAAAATCAGCTCATTATCTGGGGTGTCCAGGTCTTGCAAGCTCAAAGAAAAATTGCTTATCACCACTCCCGAGCTCAGCTGCACGCGCAGGGGCTGCAAAGTCATCCTGGGAGGCTCATCATTCTTCCTCTGATTAAAGCACAGAATATTAGGTCTCATACAGATGCCGGTTTAAGAAGGGAAAATGCACATTATTCAGAGGAAGTAATATTGGTGCACCAACTTTCACTACCAAAATAGCATTTAATGTGTCACTATGTTTAATTCCCAATCAAAATGGCTAGTTTCCAAGGAGAGCAAGTCACACAAACAAAATGTCCCCTTTAAAAGAAACAGAAACAGGAGGACATTCTACCCAAATCTTCTCAGATCTTTTCCATATGTACAATGATCATATTTTCCAGACCAAAAAAAAAATGGACATGTGGTTAGGCAAGTACAAGTAGATTTGGGGGATAAAAGGACACACTATTTGAAATCAGAACTGTCTTAGAAAACCCTAAGCATATCATAGTGTCTGTAGGAAGACACCACATTTGAAAGTGTGGGTTTTTAAAGTTGTCTCCTTGCTCTTATGCCGGCGCCACCCCCATCACTGTCCCTGAAGGGTACTAAGGGTAGCATCTGTTTTATTTGCTCAAGGTAGAGGGTATTCCATTCTGTTTTTATCTTTTTTCTCTCTCTCCCTGCTAGAGTAAGCCTATGGAGTGCTCCAGTGAAAATAAATGCAGTATCAAGGAACATAGTTCTTTGATGCTATAATTTAATGAATAAATGCATTAAAAACTTAAGAGAAAGCAAATATGCACATAGAACAATTTCAGGGGGAAATTGGCATATGTTAGTTTTCATCTAAATATGAGATTAGCCAGGTTTATCTGTCTGACCCCCACAAACTGTTTTCACACAGAACGAATAGATTTTACCCTGAAATGGAAGTTTAGATTTCTAGGTCAGACCATCCCCAAATGCCAGCCTTAATTCTATAAATTTCAGTAGGTTAGGGTTATTTTTTCAAATTAACCTCTAAAACTGAAGGTCAAATTCAATCTCCCTTGCTTTTCAGTTTATATAAAGCTATTTCACGGTGGGATATTATGGTCAAAGGCCCAACTTCTCCAAAGTCCTTACCTCGATGGTGATATTGATGCTGTGGATTTCCGAACGACTATTTCCATTACTTACATAAAAACTAAAGATATCATGAGTGGGCTCAATGCTTTCATGAACACTCTGAAAATAGTAAATGTAGTTTTCCAGAATATCTTGAATTGGGAAGGATGCCTCTGGGTCACTAGTAGTTCCAGGGCCAAAACGATCACCTGCATCAACAAGAGAGAACTTTTACCTTGCTCCACCAATCCCCGATTCCCAGGCTGAACTGGAAAACATGACAGCATTATCAGCAAAAGATGAAAGCATGGGTGAGGATAAAGGCTGGGGTATGGAAGGAACACAAGACCAGAAACTGGAAGACTTGGGGTTGGATCACCATTTCCCCACTATTTCTCATCTATAAATGGATACAGCTGCCCTGCAGTTTCCACAGGGAATCAAATGGGGTAATATGCATGAAAGCACTCAGAACGTCACTATTTTATATAGCACAGAATTCATGGCTGTTTTGTTAGAAATCTTTGATAAAATAAGTGCTGGGGCAAGTAATGACACAATAGCAAATGTTCTACCTTAAGCTTTAGTCCATTTTAAGACCACTCTATTTGGCATATCCTGCAAGAGGAACTCTCTTTCTCTACATAAGGAAAGGTTGACTATATACCTTTATATGTAAGGAACATCTCCTTAAGCATGTTTTCATTTGACCTCTCAGTTCCTTAAGGAAACCTCAGTATGGATCAGAGTTCAGTCTTTGGGATGGTCCACCAGGGCTGCTGTGATGCTCAAAGGACCATCCAGAGTCCAGGTGCCATTCAGATACTGTGAGGCTCAAAGGACCATCCGGAGTCCAGGTGCCATTCAGGTACTGAGATGCTCAAGGACCATCCGGAGCTCCATAGGAAGTGCTGGCTCTAGCTAACTCTTCCTTTCATCCCAACCGCACAGACCGTAAAAGACCCAGGGGAAGAGTAAGCACTGTCTACATGATGGATGACTTGCCTCTTACTTGTCTGAGTCTCTCTGATTGATTTCAAATTGTTATCACATTTTCTTCTAAAAAACAAACAAAAAAAGGAAACCCTTGTGTCTTCAAACATTCCCTAGACATATCAACAAAGGAAAGTAGAGACAGGAGATCTGAAAGCAGCAAGGCCTTCTCTTTCCTTCTTTCATAGCCCTTTGCAAAGGCCAGGCCATATATTAAAAGGCCACTGACTTTCTGAATTGTAGACAGTGTCATTTTTGTTGACCTCCCAACAGAAAGACTAGGAATTAAAAAGTTTTATTTATCATTTGTTTGAATTAAGAACTCAAGACAAATATTTTTTTCTTCAATGACATAAGTTTTCTTTAATTTACCCCTCAAATCTGATAGCTCTTTTCACCAGATGCATAGAGGAGTCTAATCCCCAGGACACACAGTTTAGGGTTTCCAGAAGAAATGGCCATACGTCCTTCCAGTTCTTATTTTCTCTTCTCACTGATTACCAGTAATGTGATAAATATGGCTTCATTATTTAGGTCAGAAATAATATGAATAAAGTAAATAATGCCTATAAATATATGCAAACCAAATAATGACTTATTTTCTGTCACTGGAAAACAAGCCACTCAAGTGAATCTGTCACGGAAGCTCTCAGCATCAACCCTTCCGATTTTTAAAACTACACCTTTTATTTTTTTTCCACAGAAATTGTTCTTCTGTGCTTCCTTTCCTTCTTAAAACAAATAGACGGTATGCAAATTAACAAGCTGTCAGTGCGGGCAGGCTATCACCATGAACATCTATTCCTGCATTGCACTGGAGCACAGTGGTGCCTAGAGGTAATCAAGGTGGATTCCTGTCCTGGTTGTGCTGGTACTGAATGAATGTAGACTCCAGGCTGTTAGAGTTTATATTTAACAATATAATTATTCTGTTCCTTCCAGTCTTGCTGGTAAGAAGTTTAAGCTGCTCCTTCTAATGTTTTTATAAAAACATTCTTCTGATCAGCTGCATTCTAAACCTAGGTAGCCAGTTTCATATGCATAAGACAGACTCGGTTCTTAATACCCATAGAGCAAAGGGAAGAGTCCTTAAATGTTGTGCCTTGGGACAGTAATTCGCCCCCTGACCATCTCTTTCTTACTTCCAGCTTCACACTAACGTAGAGCAGCAGTTTTCCAGGTGTGGCCCCTGGCCCAGCATCAGTGGCATCGCCTGTGAGCTAGTGAGAAATGCGAAGACACGGCCTCACCAGCCTCCTCCAGCAGGACCTCTGGTGGCTGCCCAGGAAGCTGTGCTTTCACAAGCCCTCCCCGTGAGTCTATGGACATTAAAGTTTGAGAACCATCTTTAGAGAGGCTGAGGCTTGCCAGAAATTCGACTTCTGGACCAGTGAAACACTCCTCTGCATGCATTCCAGGTTAACATGAAACCATGGCAATGGTTTGGCTCAGTGGATAGAGCGTCGGCCTGCGGACTCAAGGGTCCCAGGTTCGATTCCGGTCAAGGGCATGTAACTTGGTTGCAGGCACATCCCCAGCAGGGAATGTGCAGGAGGCAGCTGATCGATATTTCTCTCTCATCGATGTTTCTAACTCTCTATCCCTCTCCCTTCCTCTCTGTAAAAAATCAATAAAATATATTTTTAAAAAAAACCATGGCAGGAAGGCTTAATAAGAAACCATCTAGAGAGAAGAGAAGGCCAGAGGCAACCACCCTTGGCTGCTTCCCACCCTTTGTCCATGCTCTTCCCTCTGCGAGAAATGCCATTTTCCCTCTTCTCACAGCAACTCTTACTAACCCTTCAAGTTCCAACTCCAACGTCACTCCCTTAGACTTTTTCCTGCCTCCCCAGGCACAGGTAACTGTTTTGTTCTATGTACTTTCTCAGTGCTTTGCTCCCTTCCCTGTACTGGCATTTTATGTGTTGTGTAACGTATCAGTCGTCCTATCTGTCTCCCACTCAGGGCAGTGGCTGTGTCCTATTCATCTTTACATCCATTGTGTCAAGTATAAGCATTTGTGGAGATAAATCAAATTCAGTGATAAACAAAGCGAAGTGCACACACTGAAAGGTGGGGGAAAAGACCCAAGGTTTTCTACACGAACGCATGGTCACTGCAAAATCAGTTTCCTGTAACCAGCCTCAAATCTCAGGCACCATGCTGGCCACAGACACCTTCAGTCAATGGCCTCTCTGTGGGAGCTGCTAGCTGCATGCCAATTAGAGCCAAGTGCTGCCGCATTCCGGAATCTCACTGTAACCTGACAGGGGCTATCTCAGCTGCCAGTCACTGAGGTCTCAGGGGGCCTGTGCATGGTACACATCTCACTTCTCCTCTGTGATAACCACCAAGGGTGGTGGATCCAACCAGATGGTGGCGGGGAGGGATGCTGAGAAGGGTCACAGATAGCCATGCACACATTTTAATTCATGTCATATCTTTAGAAGGAGTCGAGACATAAGCTATGGTTCTTCTAAACTGCTGCTGCCTCACAATAAAAGGGCAGAAATTTCATTTCCTTGACACTCAGTTCTGAGTGTAATCCACAAGGCCCTCTACCCCTACTGCTAGGACCCTGCTCTATTCTCCTCCCATAGCACTGATTTACCTCCTAACATCTTATAGGATTTTCTCATTTGTTAGGTTTCTTATTTGACTCCTCCCCTTTTCTCCCAGGATCTAAGGCACCATGAAGGGAGTGGTTTCTGGCTGTTTTGTTTCTTGATATGTCCCTAGTGCTTAAAAAGTGCCCGGCCCACAGAAAATGCTCAGTAAATTTCTGATGAGTGGATGAAAACTTCCTGCCTTCCATTTCTTTGAAATGGTTCCATTCCTCTTTAGTTGCCCATGTCCAGGTTTAATCAGAGGTGGTTACCCCTCCACCCCCCCTTCTTTCAATTCTACAGCAAAGCTCCCGCGGTACCTGTTCCTGTGTTCTCAATGCAGCCGTACTTGGGCAGAGCACTTAGTCGAATGACGGCATCGCCCTGGAGGTTGTCCTGATCTTCAGCAGCAAAGAAATGGTGAAATGAGAGTGGAGTTCTCCCTCCCTCGTCAACCTGAGAAAGAAGAAAAGATTGCAGAGAGAGTCCTTGGGCGGATGCAGGCAACTGCACTGCGGTAAAAAGAACTGAATTGCAAAGTGCCGCCTGGGGTGACCTTCTGGCACCAATTTCACTTCATTGAGGAGGCAGATCCTCCATAGACGAGATGAGGAATGTGCACGCTGCTGAGGCCAGGCAATCTCTCAGCACCTCGCAAAGCGACACTCAGACACAATGACTCGAGTGTCTCCCTTCAAAGCTGTGCTTCCTTCTATGATGGATCTGGTTATAAAGCGGCTCTGGCCCACTCCAATCACCCACCTTGCACACCTACACACAGGACGCTGCCTTCCTCCCATATCGACATTCAAAAGCCCACAGCTAGAGAGTGATCATCCAGTCCTCCCCGGACACCGTCAGGGGGACTGTCCTACACATGTTCCCACACAGAAAAAAGTCCTGTTTATCCCTTTACAGTACATATTTGCCAGGCTCAAGATATCTCAAAGCTAGTGCTTATCTTAATGTCAATGAGGACAATAAATCAGTGGAAGTAAAAGCAGTTGCTCACACTAACTTTCGCCTTTGGGGCCCTGCTTTGAGTGCTCACGCTGCAAGCCCAGTCTGGTGTGTTTTGCTAGCCTGCTGGTATGACCCTGGCTCTGGGAATGGGGAAAGTCCAAATGGCTGCCCCAGGTGTGGAAATGGGAAAATGGGTGGAACATCAGAATCATTTAGAAACAGCTCAGTTTGATCAATTTTGAGTCGCTCAATAGAAAACAGAAAAGCTCCTGAGTTTTTGGCATGACGGTACGTACAGAGAGCAGGATGAGGAAAGTGAATTAACTTTTATGGAATTCCTACACCATGCCAGTACTGCACTGTTTTTTTAAAAAAATGCTATTTTATTAATCATCAAAGCAACCTTCTAGAATTACTCATATTTTAAAGATGGGGAAGTTGAGCCCTAACCGGTTTGGCTCAGTGGATAGAGTATTGGCCTGCAGACTGAAGGGTCCCAGGTTCGATTCCGGTCAAGGGCATGTACCTTGGTTGCGGGTGCATCCCCAGTGGCGGGTGTGCAGGAGGCAGCTGATCGATGTATCTCTCTCATCGATGTTTCTAACTCTCTATCCCTCTCCCTTCCTCTCTGTAAAAAATCAATAAAATATATTTTTTAAAAAATGGGGAAGTTGAAGCTAAGAAAGATTACATAACTGGCCCAAGGTCACTCAGCTAATAAGAAACAGGACAGGCACTTAAACTCATGTCTGTGTAACTTCATGATTAGGATTTATTATCTAACTGCCTCCCATAGCCTCCCCACTCCATGGAACTGTTAACACGGTATAAACAGTGATAAGTATCAACTTAATTTAAGGAGTGACTTGGGGGAACATTTTCCATATCCCCATGTTTTAGTTGCTGCAAACATTAGATTATAGACTCCTTAAAGATATATCCCAGTTTTAATTTTGCTCCTCTTCTATACACAGCTAGGATTTATGTCTGGCACATAAATATGTGTTGACTAAATAATGTCGATATAATGATTTGATTTTCTGCATACAATTATTTTCTTACTTTTTGATGATTGAAAAGAATGCATATCTTGATACTATTGCCTGGAAACCTGTCGGGAAGAAGTTGGCAGCCAATTTATCAGAAAGAAATCCTTCATTTACATTCCCACATATTCCAGCTCTCTGTAGCACTCGATGTCTATTGATCTGAGAATTGTTTACCGTGATAAGGTCAGCAAAGGCAATGACTGGAGGTGGATTCTTGACAGGAGTGATCATGATGGTAAACATCTGATTTTCCAGTCGGTTGTGGTCCATATCAGACACAGAGAAATGGAAGCTATCCGTAACCAGCTGACCCTCGGTCTCAAACACGGCTGAGTACCTACAGAGGCCAAAAGAAGAATCAAACGAATGAGCTACACTGAGAAGCCAAGTAAATGAGTGCATCTTTGTTTGAAAATGGGGCCAGGTCCTAGCTGGTTTGGCTCAGTGGATAGAGCATCGGCCCATGAACTAAAGGGTCTTGGGTTTGATTCTGGTCAAGGACATATACCTCAGTTGCAGGCTTGGTCCCCAGCCCTGATCGGGGCAGGTGCAGGAGGCAACTAATCGATATGTCTCTCTTACATTGATGTGTGCGTGTGTGTCTCTCTCTCCCTCCCTTTCACTCTCTCTAAAAACCAATGGAAAAATATCTTAAAGTGGGGATTAACAACAACAAAAAAATGGGGCCAGAAGCAATATAATCTTTCAAGGGAGTTACTGTTTAGTTATTAACTTTTAAAAATTTTGTTCCACATCTTAAAAAAAAGTATTGAATTTATTGGGGTGACATTGGCTAATAAAATTATATGGGTTTCAAGTGTACAGTTCTATAATACATCATCTGTATATTGTACTGTGTGCTCACCATCCAAAGTCAAGGTTAACTTTTTTATATTAAAAATTTTTAATGTTGACATTATTGCAGGTGTCGCCCTTTATACAATTTTAAAAAATCCTGTCAGGTAATACAAAGTGGTTACATACCTAATTTTCTGGTTGTTGATATCTCCCATCGTGAAATTGGCAACCTCTGAGATTTCTTCCACTTCAAGTCCTGAGGTTCTTAAAAGAGTCCCATACATGGGCAGAGAACTTAATTGAATCCAGATCTCGGAGTCGGGGGAAGAATCATCCTAATCAGGCAAATATGAGGGAAGACAGGAATGCACATTTGCAGAAATAAATACTCCAGTAGTTAAAGATCAGGGTGATTCCTGCTCTGCTAATTGGATGTCTCTTTCTCTTTGTGACAAAGCAACACCATTTCAAACGGCAGGAAAACCCCAGTACTCATTCCTCCTAAATGCCTCTTTGATAATCTCTTTTTTCAAGAGTAGCTCAAGATATCAGTGGGGAAATGCCCGTTAGCATGGGGCATAAAACTCTATTGTTACTAGAAGAGCCACACAAGCATCTAGAGAAGAACAAAACAGGGTCAGAGATAAAAGTCCTCTTTCTGAAAACACAGTTGTAGGCTTCTTCTAGAGTTTCTAAGGATGATTTCCTTTTTAGAAACAGGTAAAATTCTCTTATAACGTTAATACAATGATAAAGAAAATTCTGCAAAACAGAGAGAATGGAAGTTACTTAGCACCGCCAATGACTCACTTTAATGTTCAACATGATAAAATTTTGAGTTAAATAGAATTTAGGGAATGTTATGGGTTTCGTCCTATCAGGACTGAAAAGACCATTTCCTTTTTCCTTCTTTATTGCTTATCAGGAAATAAAATTGGCTTTCTGTGTTTCTACATGGACAACAATTGAATGTCTTAATGAACAATTTCCTCTTTCTTCAAGGATATTTTTGGGAATATCTAGAAGATAGGCAACATCTTCTTGAAAGGTTTTCTTGGAAGTCACTCATCTTTCAGAGCACTTGATGTGAACACGGGGGCACTTTACACTCTACCATAGCAACAGTGAAGGTCAATATTGCATAGCTGGGTGTACTCTCAAGTGCAAATGTTCACAGCTATGTTGTACAGTTAGCTGAGGTCCTGGGCAGAAATGTGAGCACGGGTAGGTGGTGATCTGGTGGTTTTAATCAGTTCTCATTTCTAGCCTCAGAGGCCTTTTTAAGTTGGCTGTTCAGAGCCTCAAGGCAAGATCACAGAACTTTCCAGATTTCCTCACATCTTTTGACACTAGCAAGAGAGGAAACTCAAATTCATTGAGACTGCAACACTTCAGAAAATTTTCCCTAAATTTATGCTTTAAAAGTTTCTCTATTTTTCCACATGGGGTGTCAAATACAATATGCAGACTTCCAAAAGACTACCTCTTAATTACTGTGAGTACTCCCTGAAAGTGAATTTTAAAAAGGCAGCTGAGAGTTCTAAATATTGTCTTCCAGAATGGCAATGGAGTACAAGGACAGAGCTCCTGACTTTAAATTCCTCACTGGCAAATTTGGCAAAGAAATACTTTTTTCATGTCTGGTACACCTTATTATAATGTTTCCAATCTCAAGCAGCTGCTGGGTTTGAAAAAGTGTGAAGTCAGCTAGATTTTTTTTTTCTGAAAATACTGTCATAATTTAAAGAAATTACTATTTTGGGATATCCACGACACTGTATGTGCAAAAATTTCTAACTCCTGCAGGCATGGCTCAGTGATTGAGCATCAAGGTATGAACTAGGAGGTCATGGTTCAATACCCAGTAGGTGGCGTGCAGGAGGCAGCTGATCAATGATTCTCTCTCATCATTGACATTTCTATCCTCTCTCCTCTCCCTCTCTGAAATCAATAAAAAAAAATACATTTAAAAATTTTATAAGAATATAGAGTTTGTTCTCATGTAACTTTTCTACTTGAAGACCTTCTTACCCCTTCTGTATTAATTCATTTTGTCATTTTCTTTTTATTATTTATAAATCTATTATCTCCCGTCGATTCAACACTAGGACTAGTACTTTGATGATTAATATTTGTCTATGTGTTTTTCCTCTATCCTGTCATTGGGTCTACCATTACCCTGAATCTTGTTTCTTATTTCTTAGAATTTTGCAATATAGTTTGATATATTACTACAAAATATTTTAGTGGTTTTTTAATATTTATGAAAGGCAGTTAGACTCTCCTTTTGTGGGATTTATTTTTCTTTTTATTTAATAGTGGAGTGTTAAGAGCCATCAATTTTGTTTTGTGTAGCAATAGTTCATTTGTTTAAGAAATAATTCATCTGTTTTGAGTGTTCTTTAATATTCCATTGAGTAAATATACTGCAAGTTATCTGTTATCCGGGCGATAGGCATTTGGCTTGTAATAGATAATATTGCTATGAACATTCTTGTGCATATTCTTTAGTATAAATGTGTAAGTTTCTCTTGCATAGGAATCTAGGAGTGAAAGGGTTAAGCTATATATTCACCCCAAAATGGTCATTCCAGTTTATACTTCCATGAGCAAAGTCAAAAACCTTCCTTAGACCAATTTTCTAACAGTTGGTGTTGTCAGATTTTTAAATTTCTGCCAATTGAGTTGGTATAAAATGATATGTAGTCTGAACTTGCTTTCCCTAATGACAAGAAGGTGAATATCCCTTCTGAGATTTACTGGCCCTATGATTCATCTTCTGAAATTCCTGTTAATGTCTCTTGTTCATTTTCTATTGGATTAGCTTTGCTTTTGCTTTTTGACTTGCAGGTATTGTTTATCTTTTCTGTGTTATTTTTGGTTATATGTGTTACAAATACCTTTTCCGAATTTTTAACTTGTCAGTTTTTTATAATTATAGTGTGTTTTAGGAAACATAAATTTAATTTTAATATAGTCAAATTTATCAATCTTATCTTTATAGTTTCTAGTTTAAGAAATTCTTTCCCAATATCATAAATATATTCACCTATATCCTAAAAAGAATTATAAAATTTTGCTTATGATACTTAAGTATGTGATTTGTCTGGAGTTAATATCCGTGTAGGGTGTGAGTACAAGTTCTTTTGTTTTTCCACATGAGTACTCATTTTCTGCAGATCCATGTCTTAATCAGTTTCTCGTTTCCACAGAACTAGCTTGCTGCATCCGTATTATATTGTCTCATGTGTGGGTCTGTTTCTGGACTCTTCAGCATATTCCTGTGCTACACTGCTTTAAATAGTGCAGTTTCATAATAAAGCCTGATATCAGATAGGGCAAATGCCTACCCTCCTATCATTCTTTTTCAGAATTTGGCCCTTTGTTCTTCCTTATATATTGAAGAATCAGCTTATCAAAAGCCATAAAAAGGCTACTGGGCTTTTGATTGGATCTCAGCTGAATAGAAAGATCATTTTGTGGGAAAACTGATAACCTTTTTGATACAAAATCTTCTTATTCATGAAAATGGAAAACACATAATTTATTTAGTGCTTTTTAAAATGTCTGTCAGTGAAGTGATAAATTTTCCCTGTGGAAGAACGGCCTGGTTTTTGTTAGATTTTGTCCAATGGACATGATTTTTGTAATGCTATTATAAGCTATTTTTAGTTACATTTACTGGCTATTGTTTGCTTATGTATAGCAATGCTATTGTTTTATTGATCTTCTATCTGTCTTCTTGGTAAATTCTTTTATTTCTAATACTTTGTCAAGAGATTCTTTTGGATTTTCTTTATAATCAGTCATAGCATTAATTATCCCTAGAATTATGCACCTTTTGTTACATTTATCCCTAGACATGTATTATACAATATTATTATAGATGGTATCATATTTTGAATTATTGTAGTTTTTAATGTGTTTTTATTAGGTTGTTGTTTTTTACAGAGAGTGGAAGGGAGAGGGAGAGAAACATCGATAAGAGAGAAACAGCTTGGCTGCCTCCTGCACGCCCCCTACTGGGGATCAAGCCCAAAACCCTGTCATGTGCCCTGACTGGAAATCCAACCAGCAACCTCTCTGCGCATGGGATGGCAACCAACTGAGACACACTGGCCAGGGCTGAATTATTGTAGTTTTGGCTGGTACATATAAACACCATTAACTTTTTAAGATCAATCTTATATCACCCTCCCCATATTACAGATGAAAAATACTGCGCTCTAGAGAGTTAAGTAACTTGCTAAGGATGACTATGCCAGTAAGTGGTGAGCTTAGATTAAAACCCATCTGTTCTAACTACAAAATCCATAGCAGCCCTCCCCTACTTGTTTACTTGCAGTGCATATAAACGGTGCAAAAGAACCATTAATAAGCAAATCACATAGAATCCCATTTCTGCCTTTTGTCTCTCCCGACATCCCATTAATGAACTCTAATTAAGAATAGGCTCACCTGCTCCTCTCCCTTTATATTCTGCTTCATTAATGATCAGATTCCATATGGCTTTTCCAACCTTTCTGAATGTTCACTGCAAACTTACTAACTATGCCTATCTAGAAAAAATTTTCCCATTATACTAAGTATAAAATTCTTCTACAGCCCTCAGAGAAAGTTAGTTTATGCTTTAGCAAAGTCTTTAAAATATGCTATGCTTTCGGCAGGCTAGGACAGTTCTTTAGGAGTCTTTCTGCTCTAATGGGTAAATTCGCATTCAATCAATTTCTGAAAATACACGTTCAGTTGCCAATGGGCTTGCATTTTTGATATGCAGCTTATAATACGCAGTTAATGGGCAGGAACTGCTCCTGGAGTGCAATTTTGGTCTGTCAAACATTTTTCAAGCCTTAGTGATCTATTGATTAAATCTGTATTCATACATTTTTTATGAATTCATGAGTTTCATACAATTTAAGACCATAACCTATGGTAAAAATCACCTGTCAATTAAAAAACAAAACAAAATCAAAACTGTTCTGAAACTGTACTAGACCCAAGAGAAGAATAGGATGGAATACAGTTTCCCATCATTTCAGAAAAGACAATCTGAGGGGGGAAATCTGTGCTAAAGCAATTGAAGAAATTGTTCCCAGGCCAATGCTTTATCTTTCATACAACTACTTAGGACTAGCTTTTATAGCCAGACTCTTCAGCCCAGTAAAGGATCACTTAAAACTACTTTTTTTTTTTTTAAAGGTTGCCATGGCCGGGTGGCTCAGTTGGTTGGGAGGCGTCTCATACACCATAAGGTGGCAGGTTCGATTCTAGGTCAGGCCACATACCCAGTTTTCTGATTTGATCCCCTGCTGGGGCAACCAATCGATGTTTCTCTCTCATCTCTCTCTCTCTCTCTCTCTCTCTCGCTTTTCCCCTTTCCTCTCTCTAAAAAGATCAATTGAAAAAAGAAAAAAAGGCCAGATCATTGCTTGGAATTTTAAGATTAGTAGAGGAAAAATTCAATACTAAGAATGACTACCACTCAGATAATCATTCTTATTGTCAAGACATTTGTCAAAACTTCTCATTATTATGTTTATATTGAGAGTTCATATCTGTTGAGAGTTCATATCTGTTTACAACATAATTGAAAAATAAAATGAATGATCCTCATTCCTTAACACTAGAGGTAAAATCAAAGAAAGAAGATGAGTTTTAATTAACAAGAATTATTACCAAGTTAAGGTCAGATGAGGAAAAAAACAAACTAGAGTTCCTGAGCTTACCCTTGTCCCCCAACCACCCTGCTTCTCTCGGGGCATGGACTGGAGGCGGAGTCCGGAACCTTGCCCAGGAGGCCTGGCAGAGGGGCACTGCCAAGGGGTGAGCCAGTGCTCTGTCTAGAGCTGGACCTGAGACCAAAGCTGGTGAAGAGTGGGCTTTCTCTTAGAAAAGTGGGCCATGAAATATCATTACCTATTAGTCACTGACCAGGTAAGTTCTTCTGACATGCTCTTTCCATAACATTCTCATTTGAAACATTATGGATGGAGCTTAAAATGTGGGGACTTGGGCTTTTCTGACATTGGTAATGTTTCCTGTTGACAAGCACCTGTCCTTACACATACACATTGTGTGATCATCAAGCTTTGCCCATTCACTTGTCTGTGCCTGAGACACCGAGAGCTGTTGGAATAAAGAGTGTAACTATTCCAAAGAGCAGAGCTATAGGAAAGTTGAGAAAAAGTTCTTCATATGGCCATCTGCCTGAAGCCCCAGATACTCAGTCATGGCACTGCTCACTAGTCAGCCCAGTCAGAGGGCACAGAAGAGGAAGGCAGTGTAAGCACTTACGATGTAAGCAAGGTGAGATCTAGTGATTACAGCTGTGCTTTCACTAGCAACAGTCATGCTCAGAGAGGCACCGGCAGCCAGCTGAGGCGCTGGGGCCCCTGACAGGGACACCTCCACTCTCACGTCCACGGTCATCGCCGAGAGGCCGTCTGTGACCGAGATCTCCAGGCTGTCCTCCCGTGCAGAGGAGCCGTCGTGGAGATACTGCAGCACATTTTTCTCAATATCCTCATATGTGAAAGTGTCACCTTTCAAGAATAAAACAAATTACAGAACCAATTACTTCTGGGAATGACGCTTTTCATTTATATAACACCTTTGATCTCAGTATTTCAAAGCACATATAGGATCACAAACTGGGAGATGGAGGCTAATTAGTCCAGCCACCCACCCAATATAGAATTCCCTTTACACTACCCTTGAAAAAGGAATTTAGCCTGTCCTTCAACACTTCTCAAGGTGAAAGGCTCACTATTTGACAAGGTGGCTCATTCTACGGGAGGAAGCACTACTGTTTGTTTTGTGTGTGTTTTATTAAAAATCTGCCTCTATAAGATCCATTCATCACTCTCAGGTCTAGAGAATAAAGGACAAGCCTTTATTCTTTATGACAGTCCTTCTAGTACCTAATCTTGATATGGAAAATTTCTTGAACAATAAAATAAATTATGCTTAATGAACCTGTAAGAGGTCTTTGTTTTCATTGAGAGTATAAGATTTTTTTTAATTAAAAAATATCTAAAAATTAAAAAATGAACTTGAAGTTAGAAACAGTCTGGAGCACTAATTCATGATAGCTTTGATATGTGCTGTGTGGAAAAGGTCATATTAGTTTAGGAAAAATAGATTTAAACAAAATTTAAAATTAAAAACGTTTTTTCCTGATTTTATCTATTTATCCATTCATTTATTATTTTTTCCCATCACTATTTATCCTCTTCCACTCCCCCGCCCCTGCAATCACCACACTGTTGTCCATGTCCATGAATTTATCTCTCCTCTTTCTTTTTTGCTCAACCCCCCTCACATAAATTCCTCTAGCCATAAGTTTGTCCCTATTTTGCTTGGTAGTTCAGTTTGTTCATTAAATTCCACATATGAGTGAAATCAATATGGTGCTTGCCTTTCTCTGACTTTTAAACTGCAGGATTTATTAGAATTTTAGAATCTATAATGTACAATATTAAAGCTTCTCAAAACTGTTTGGTCAAGGATCCCTTTTTTATGAGAAATGCCACTTAGTGTCCTGGGTCCCAACCATTCCACAGAGCACAGTCAGGGTACCGGTCTTCTTGGATGTTATATTCAACTCCAGTTCCTGATAGATTATTGACTCTCATAACTGGTGTGGTGTAATTAAACTAAAGAATTTATTCATGCTCTGTATTAGTCTTCTAAGCCTTCTCTTTCAACACTGTGTTACGGTGATTTACTGGTGCTAGTGGTGGTGTGCTTAAAAAAGTAATAAAACTGATAAGTTTATTGTAACACATTAAAAAGAACATTTTACTAACATCTTTGGATCTCTATGTTAATTACACAAATATAGGTGAAATATAATGTTCACAAAACTGGGCTATGACTATTATGCTCCTAAAGTAGTTCCCTTAGGATACTAGGAATCTATTCTAATATCCTTTTTTGTTGTTGTTCAGTAAATTGGTAAAAAATCTGCCTTTGTGACTCCCAAGTGCCTACTGCTTGTTCTCACAAATTCAATCTACCTTCAAGGTCAAACACATGCCCCCTGCCTCTGCAGGGATATTCAGAATAATGCATCTTTACACGACAACTAGAAATTCTATGAAGGTTTTGAGAAAGTACAGATTGTCAGAATAAGCACAGAGCATCCCAAGGTGACAGCTTTCAAGGGGATAATATCTAAGGGATGACTATTAAAAATTAGATTTAGTTATATTCTTTGTGCTTTTCTATACTTTCTAAACAATACATGTTATTTTTTATAGCTGGAGAAAGTGCAGTAAATATTATTTTGGAAAGCTGGTCACATCACCACACTGTTATACTGCGTAAATACTATTTTAAAAATGTGTTCCCTTTTTTTATGAAGATACATGTAGTTGACACTATCGGAATCGCAGTGCTATAAATACCGTGAAGATTTACATATCATAGTAAGGAAACAAATTCATGCCCATGAACAACCTATAGGAGAGTGGCAGCTGACAACTCCTATGAGGTTGTTCTGAATGCATTTACTCCAGGTTTCAAAAATCAACCAATTGCACCTACAATTTGAGGGAACAGCTTCATAGTTTTGGGCATGGGAGGTGGCACAGAGAAGTCCCAAATATTTCAGCTGATGAACTAAACACTAATTTCCCCCCTTTCTAAGTTATCTTCTCATAGTTTGTTTCACAAAATTGCTGACTTATTGTCTGAGACACATAAAACTGACTGCAGAGCCAGAAATCCCTCGATGACAGAGTGAGCAGCTACCTGGGGCCATGGGGCCTGGGAACTCAGCTGTGTCCTTAAGGAGTACGCCGTGCTCGGGCGGTTTCCGAAGCTCAAAGAGGAGTTCTTCAGGCGCTGTCTCAGTGTCTCTTATTACCACCTGCAGCCCTGCGGTCAGGAGAATAAAGCCTGGTGAGAAGGTGTGTACATTAAAAACTGTATTCTCTGTGTGCACTGAAGCCACAGGCCAGGCTGGAAGCCATGTTGTGGGTAATCTGATAGTTATAAGAAAGCACTGTTTAACCCCAATCAACCACAAAGGAGTGAAAACTGATAATACAGTCAATTCCCAAATTACAAGTAGATTCTTCCACAAGTTAACTTATAAGTAGGTAGTTCTGAATGCAGACACCGTTTTTATTTCCACACAAATGAAGGTATGGAAGCCCACAAAAAGGTCAGGTTTACCTGACTAGCTCGGGTAGGTTTTCTTCCAAAAAATACTCCCAGAAACTAACTTTGTTTTTCATTGTTTCTTCCCTTCTTCTTTCTCTGAATCTACATAAGAGCCAAGTTATTTTAACAATAGTTGCTCCTGTCCTCACTGGAGTGAGAAGTAGGGTGAAAGTGACAGTTGTTTATAAGTTGGATGATAATTTTAGGCCAATACCCACATGTAGAAACTGGATAAGAATCTGCACTTAGGATGTTCTTGGCAAAAGAATACACTTCTAAAGAGTGAGTATAGTAATAGATAAATCACATACAAAAGAACTGGGCCAACACTAACTCTTCACAGCTTCCCAAGGTTACTGTGATCTGTCATTTCTCCCGTTACTCTTTACTTTCTAAATAGGAAATGAAGGAAGTCATTGAAAAGGCTCCCCCTATTCTCTCTGCTCTCTGTTACTTTATATTTTAGTGATGGCCACAAATCAGTCTCCTGGAGGCTGGACAATAAATTCTGTGTTGTATTCCATCCCCGAGCATTGGCCTCTGAAGGGTTTATTGCCTTCTCTCTGTGCTGTTTCTATTTTCATGGAAATGGGCAGAGGGAAGGATATAGAAGAGGAGCAAGTACCTTCTAGAAGAGGAGGTCATTACTTTTTGGTGAGCATCAAGAGGTTTGAACAGGAACCACTGCCAAAGTATGGTTCCATTTTCAGAGCCATGCTTCTTTCGGGCTCCCAGTTCTTACCTATGGAAGTTCTGCCTCCTGGGCTGACCTTGAGCAGTGGAGCTGTGACCTGGAACACTGGGGGGTGCCGATCAGAGTGAAGTAAGTGAATGGTGAGGGCCATCTCCGGACTCGTGTGTTCTCCATCCGAAACTGGAAAGGTACACACACATAAATCTGCTGTAGGCTGGTCACCTTCAAGCTATTTCCATAAATGGGTAGCCAGGGTTTTTTAGATTACCATAGCACTTTGAAGAGATGCTGACAAATGGGAAAAGTGAGTAAGCAAGATACTGTGAGCTATTCTAACAAAACCTTTTCTAGGGGATAACAAAAAGGGTAAAGGGCCATAACAACAAGTTTATTCTAAGAAGCAAGTTTCACAACAAAATGATATTGATAAATGTTAGTGGAAAGAAAATAATACAAAACTTGTACCCTTATATGATGTTGGTAAAGGCTTTTATTTATGGGATTATTTTTTTAATTAAATTCATTCTTCCAATGTTCCAGGGAAAGATTTTTTTTTTCAAGAAATCTCTTTTAGAAAGGACATGTCCATGTCTCCTTAGAAAATAGCTTTTGAACAGGACAGAAAATGTCCATACAAACATCTTAAATGGCATTTGTTTGGAAGTAAGCAGACCCATTTTTACCTGGCTGTTATGCACAACACAATAAATGGAAGACACCTTTGTGAACAAAACAGTGACCTTAAGATTTATTTCCCTGGATTACCTGACAGCCAAGTGAATACTGATCACCTGAGGGAAATGAAAGCAGAATTGCCTGATCCTTGATTCGTATTTCTACTTCCCCATAACTTAACACACCGTCGCTTCTCGAAAAGCCAGGAGGACTGCCTGCTCTACCAGCTCACTGATGTGTTTATTTGTAGTGGCAATTGAGAAAACTGCACTGTTGATTACTTTATTTTTATTTATTTTTTAACTTTATTTACTATGGATTATTTTAAATGTGTGCTATGTTTTTAGAGGGGTTGGTTATAAGAAACTGGTTTCCTTCTTCACTTTCTTCTGAACTTAAAAACAGTCAATAGGAATCTGATCTGTATTTTTCCAAAGAAGACATACATATGACAAACAGCTACATGAGAAGGTGTTCACATCACTAATCATCAGGAAAATGCAAATCAAAACCACAATGAGATATTACCTCACACCTGTGAGAATGGCTATCATCAAAAGCACAATAATTAACAAGTGTTGGTGAGGATGTAAGACAAAGAAAACCTTTGTGCACTGTTTGTGAGAATATATATTGTTGCAGCCACAATGAAAAACAGTGTGAAGGTTCCTCACAAATTAAAAATAGAATTACGATATGACTCAGCAATCCCAATTCTGGGTATTTATCTAAAGAAAAAATACAAAAACCAAAACATTAACTTGAAAAGATATCTGCATCCCCGTGTTTACTGCAGCATTATTTATAATTGGCAAGACATCAAAACAATCTAAGTGTCCATTAATGGATAAGTGGATAAAGAAAACATCATATATATGTGATGGAATGTTATTCAGCCATAAAAAAGAATGAAATCTTGTCATTTGTGACAGACAACACGATGGACCTTGAAGACACACCATATGATTTCACTTACTATATATGTGGACCCTAAAAAATGAACAGATTAGTGGTTGCCAGAGGTAAGGGATGGGAGGTGGGTGAAATGAGTGAAGGTGGTCAAAAGGTACAAATTTCCAGTTATAAGATAAATAAGCCCTGAGGATGTAATGCACAACATGGTGACTATCCTATATAATAAAAGACTAATATGCAAATTGTCCCCTCAACTGGGAGTTTGACTGGGAGTTCGTTCAGGGGGTGGGGCGGCCAGCCAACAGCCTGCGGCCCCTCCCCCTGGCCGGCCTACCCCAATTGTCCCTATTGGGCAGGCCGCCTGGACCCCACCCATGCACGATTTCGTGCACTCGCCCTCTAGTAGTAAATAATACCGTATTGCATATTTGAAAGTTGTTAAGAGAATAGATCTTAAAGGTTATGCATGAGACATCACACAAACAAAATGATGGATAAAATCCACATAATCATATCAATAGATGCAGAAATGGCATTTTAAAAAAATACAGCATCCATTTACGACAAAAACTCTCAGCAAGATGGGAATACAGGGAACATGCCTCAACATAATAAAGGCCATATATGACAAACCCACAGCCATACTCAATGGGCAAAAGCTACAAGCATCTCCTATAAGATCAGTAACAAGACAGGAATATATTCTTTCATCACTCTTATTCAATATAGTACTGAAAAACTTAGACACAGCAATCAGATAAGAAGAAGAAATAGAAGGCATCTAACTGTAAAAGAAGAAGTAAAACTGTCATTATTTGCAGATTATGAGAATCCTAAAGATTCCACCAAAGAATTACTAGAACTGATCAATGAATTCAGTAAAGTAGCAGGATGCAAAATAAATCAGTTGCATTTCTATACAACAACAATTAACTATCAAAAAGAAAAACTAAGAAAGCAATCCCATTCACAATTGCATCAAAGAAAATAGACAGGACTAAATTTAACCAAAGATGTAAAAAACCTATACTCATAAAATTATGAAACACTGAAGAAAGAAAATGAAGGAGATACAAATAAGTGGAAGCATATACTGTGTTAATGGATAGGAAGAATTAACATCATTAAAATGTCCACACAACCCAAAACAATCTATAGATTCAGGACAACTCCTATCAAGAGACCAATGGTGTATTTCATAGAACTAGAACAAATATTTCAAAAATTTATAAGAAACCAAAAAAAAAAGACCCTAAATATCACAGCAATCTTGAGAAGGAAGAACAAAGTTGGAAGAATCACACTATCTGATATCAAACTATACAACAAAACCACAGTAATCAAAACAGCATGGTACAACCATAAAAAACATACATACAGTTCAATGGAACAGAATAGAGAACCCAGAAATAAACCAGGGCCTTTATGGCTAATTAATATTTGACAAAGGAGGCAAAAACATATAATGGAGTAAAGACAGTCTATTCACTAAATTGTATTGGGAAAATTAGACAAATATATGCAAAAAAATAAACGAGGCTACCTTCTTACACCATACACAAAATAGATTAAAGACTTACATGGAAGACTCAAAAACCATAAAAATACTAGAAGAAAACATAGGCAGTAAAATCTAAGACATTTTTGGTAACAATATTTTTTTCTAATATATCTTCTCAGGCAAGAGAAACAAACAAACAAAAAAACAAGTGGGACTACATCAAACTAAAAAGTTTTTGCACAACTAAATGAAAAGACAACACATTGAATGGGAGAACATATTCACTAATGATATATCTGATAAGGGGTTGACATCCAAAATTTTTAAAGAACTTATAAAATTCAACACCAATAAAAACAAATAATCCAATTAGAAAATGGGCAAAGACCTAAATAGATACTTCTCCAAAGAGGACATACAGATGGCCAATAGACATATGAAAAGATGATCAATGTCATTAATCATTAGAGAAAGTCACAATGAGATACCATGTTACACCTGTCAAAATGGCTATCATAAATAAATCAACAAACAGCCCTAACGGGTTTGGCTCAGTGGATAGAGCATCGGCCTGTGGACTCAAGGGTCCCAGGTTCGATTCCGGTCAAGGGCATGTACCTGGGTTGCGGGCACATCCCCAGTGGGGAGTGTGCAGGAGGCAGCTGATCGATGTTTCTCATAGATGTTTCTAACTCTCTATCCCTCACCCTTCCTCTCTGTAAAAAATCAATTAAAAAAAATAAATCAACAAACAACAAGTGTTGGCTAGGATGTAGAGAAAAGAGAACCCTTGTTTCCTGTTGGTAGAAATGCAAATTGCTACAGCCACTGTAGAAAGCAGGATGGAGTTATTTCAAAAAATTAAAAATGGAACTGCCTTATGACCCATTGATTCCACTTCTAGGAATACTAGTATATCCAAAGAAACCCAAAACACTAATTTGAAAGAATATATGCACCCCTATACTCATTGCAGCATTAATTACAGTAGCCAAGATTTGGAAGCAGTCCAAGTGTCCATCAGTAGATGAGTGGATTAAAAAAGCTGTGGTACATTTACACAATGGATACTACTTGGCCATAAAAAAGAAGGAAATCTTACTCTTTACAACTGCATGGTTGGACCTGGAGAGTATTATTCTAAGTGAAACAAGCCAGTGAAATAAGACAATACTATACATTGCTTTGGCTTGTGACAGGACATATGGATGGTTGATTCTAATGAAATAGTCAATCCTAACTAGACAGCTATTTAAGGATGCCATTTATAATCAACCATCCTCACTTTAGATCTAAACAAGAATGCTTGTCTCTGTTTTGCCCAGCATAGATGTCAGATCCAACTCTGTTTTTGCTTGTTGGCACTCAGCTTCTAATGGACTGTGAACTAAAGCTGGGATGCTGAGGTCTCCTACACACAGCTTTCACAACTCACTCTCTGGGCCATAACACTTCTCCCTCCGGTAAACAAGGTATTCAACGAAAGGCTCTATTTAAGATTATATACAACCACTTTCACTAGGTCACATAGAGATGATTATGTGCCAATAATTGTCCTGGGAACTTTACATAAATATAATCATGACTTATTTTCCCCACTGATGGATGAGGCATTTAGGCACAGAGAGGTTAAGAAACTTTCCCAGAGTAGACTGAACCCCAGACAGCCTATATCCAGAGTCTATCATCTTAACCATTATTACCTCTTTTTAATAGTATTTGAACAAGTTGAAATGGGACTCAAACAACACTAACCTTTGGTATCCTTGGTGGATTGTTTTTCCTATGAATACAAAGTTAAGGTGTGACTATTTAACTAGCCATGTGATTATTTTAGAAGAAACTTGTCTCATGTAACTTTTAAGCAGTTCTTAGAAAATAGTTAAAAGTGATGATGAGCCCTAACCGGTTTGGCTCAGTGGATAGAGCATCAGCCTGCGGACTCAAGGGTCCTGGGTTCGATTCCGGTCAAGGGCATGTACCTTGGTTGCGGGCACATCCCCAGTGGGGAGTGTGCAGGAGGCAGCTGAAGGTGTGACTATTTAACTAGCCATGTGATTATTTTAGAAGAAACTTGTCTCATGTAACTTTTAAGCAGCTCTTAGAAAATAGTTAAAAGTGATGATGAATAGAGCAAAAAAAAGAAAGGACTAATAAGGAAAGGAAAAATCCCATTTTCTAATAAAATTGAGTTTAAAATCTTCACCTGTGAAGTGGAATTTCACCGATTCTGGGAGACCTGCAAGAACAGAAGAGAGAAAATCAGTGTACTAAACATTTTGAGGTCAGAAATAGATGGGGAAGGTATAAAATATGTGGCAGAGGTTAGAAAAGTAAAGGATGTTTTCATCTAAATTATTATAGTTTAAGGAAAGGCTACCAGGCCATTAGATAATGTTATGTTGAATTTAAAATTAGTGTCACCACTAATTTTAAGTAACCAAAAGAACCACAAAGTGGTATAATTTTATATCACAGCAGTCAGAGTGATTTATAATACATTCATTCAGATCCCATTTTATCAGTACATAAAACCTTACAAATCCGTGAGTGTGGGTGATGTCATATATCACTGACAAGGCTGTCTGGTGGGTCAATTCCATTGTAGAATTGAGTGATGCCTGGGACAATGAGTTACACACTGTAACAGTGTGAGAGATTTATCTCATGGCATTTACCCCATAGATTATACAGGACAGGATTCTGCTTTCTCTAAAAAGGCTTTAGGAACTCAGGCGAGTATAATGGATATGGAAATAACTTCAACCATGGCTGACATGTTTTCTTTTTCTCTAATCCCAGGATATCCTGAGTTTCTTGTAAAGTAGGTCTTACAAAGTAGGGGTTAGGGAACCATGAACATTTTCATGGGCTATTGGTTACCCAGTTACTAAATACTAGGGATACTCCTTAGAGAAGTGGCCTACCCCTATCCTTAGAGATTTTTAATCTAATTGAGTAGTTAATCATGTCCCAGACAATTACAGTTATATAAATAATGACAATTATTACTTAAATGTTGCCCATAATTTAAAACAGAACTCTAAAATTATTTTATCCATGTTCAACTCATCATAAGAAATTAAAGGCTTTTCCATATTATCAAAGTTACCATATAAAAATAATACTGTATATTAGTTGTATTATGTAATACACATACCTTAACGATCATAAAGAAATAGCTTCAAGATTTTTAGAATCATTTTGAGGCACAAAAATATTTAGGATAGGGACTCAACCTCCTGCTTTCTCGGGAGTAGCTCTGATTACTGGGTCAAGGGGAGACATAAGGGGGGCGGGGGGCAGTAAGGATTAAGGCTATCTTGGCGTAGTGGCAGGGCACATACTGGCTTGATTTAAAAATTCAGTTATTCTTTTACTTAGCCTTCTCTTCCTTTAAAAAGGTACCTCCTGACAAATCCGTGTTTTAATCCCAAAAGGTCACCTGCACTCTCCACTCCTATATGGGATCTTCCCTGAAGCACTGTGGGATCCTTCTCACTGTATTCCTTTCACCCACATGTCCATCCACCCTGGCTTCCTCCTCAAATCCATTCATATCACTGCAGTTGAAGAGTTCCTTATGAAAAGACATCGTCCTTGATCCTAAACCCTCCACTGGGTTCTTGTTGTTGGGATAAAGATCCAAATCTCTATAAGTGTACAGAGCCTCTAAGGTCTGGCCTCCATCTCCCCCCAGACCCATCCCGCTCTGCTCAACCATCCACATTCCAGACACACTGGACTTTTGTTCAATCCCAAGAATACCACATTCGCTCCCTCGCCAGGGACTCTGCACAAGGGGTGTGTGTCCTTTCTTCAGGAATGTTCTATAACTAAACAACCCCAATATGCACACTTAGCCTAGTTAGCTTTTCCCTATTTATCCCAGGTCCATACCACACTGGGTAGCCTCCACTGAGCCTCCAGTCTAGGTCAGTGTTGTTACATCTAATTCCACCACTTATCAGAGCTCTTATCTCAGCCTGCAATTAAACATTCATTACTGAGATTATTTACCAAATCCTGTCTCTGTATAGCACTTAGTACCCCAAAGTCGCCAAGAACAGGATTCATGCCTCTTTTTGCTTATCACTAGATATTCAAGGCCTCACTCAGTGATTGCCACATCGTAGGCATAAAATAAATATTTATTGAAGGTATTTCTGCATGCATGAATAAATTAAGAAAAGGGATGAACTGAGCCCAAGGTACATATTAGCCTGCAAGTCTCGAGCTATTTGAACAGCTATAAAGCAGCATCACCTAACTACCTAGGAGGACAACAGGAAGAGTTAGGGTGAGCCTGCCATGAAGAGCCACAGAGGATGGTTTAGGTGCCTGAAAACAGAAAAGAAAGCATTACCAGCGAAGGAGAAGGCCATGATTTCCTGGAGGTGGGGGGCTGCCGTGGGAGGGCGGTACATGATTTTGCCCTGGTTAATATCTTCCTGTGTGAAATACCGGATGGGAGAGTGGGGCTGGTCCCTACGTTCGATGATACCTGGGGAGAAGGAGACTGGGCATGAGCATCAGCAGTAGTTCTGGATGACTAACCGAATCACCAGAGACATCAGCTGCCTTTCCCACTGGCGAGAGCCTTTTATCCTTCAGGAACTACTGCTCTCAGGTTGTTCTTGGTATACTATTCTCCTGTTATTCAACAAAATGCAAATCTGAAACCCAAATAGACTCTTGACAAGGAATCGTTGACTATAAACAATAGAAAGACACAAACTGCCCCTACTGTAGCTGAGCCCAGGTAATTCTGCAGAAGTCATAGACACTGTACCGTAATTATGAGATTCTCTCAATTGAGTTTAAGTTCAAAGGTCAAGGTGACTGGGGAATGGCACAGACTGGTCTCCTGGTGAGCTGCAGAGAGCTTTTTATCCATCTACCCTCTTTCTTTCAGGAACTCCTTAGTCTCTGTGATGATCTCTGGCAATAGTAACATGGGTCTTGACTATTCTAAGACCTGGATTTACAATGATCACTTTGCTTGTGATAAATGCTTAGGAGCTGTCTATTTGCCTGTCATTTCTAAATTTTTCAGGTACAGAACTGTGATCATCTTTCATGTCCTATTACCTCTTCCAAAGGAGGACATGAGTGAGGCTTAGTGTTGGACTAGTTCAACTTCTGAAGGGCTGAGAGACAGTCCATCAGGACGCAAGTCTGAAAGTACTTCATCTCTCCCCAGCAACACAGGGAGAACGAGTCTAGCTATGACTTAGCAGAGTAAAACTGGTGGATGGAGACTTTTAGACTTTTAATTTATTTGGATTTTATCAAAAGGGTAATGGAATTTTTAGGCTTTGACTTCTCCCTGGGAATTTGATCATCTGAAAGGCTTACATTTAGGGCAGGGACTGGTCTTGGGAGAGCAGCTTGAGAGACGGAAGCAGAATTATCTTAATAGAAGCTGATCTCCTCTTCACCACCTCTCTTTGGGCATAGGCCTATTAGTTAAACCCAGTGTTCAGAGATCTTCAGGCTGAGGACTGATGGTAGGGGCCCACCTCTTCTCTGACTGTAGTTCCACATTCCCATGATCCCCTATGGGAGGAGGAGAGACTTATCCAATTGGGAAAGGGACTGAGTATGGGTGGCTCAGTCCCCTCTCAACTCTCTGGCAGAGCTCCTTGTCCTTAGCACATTCTCTGGTCTGCTCACCTCTAACCACACCAGGGCAGGCTCTGTCCACACAGACAGTGCCTGTGTCTGTCCAATTCTGCCTATGCACAGGCGGGGGAGCTCAATCCAGTGAATGAAGTTATATGCACACTATGTTCTCCAGTACAACTCTGTTGATACCAAAGTTGACACATTCATCTCCATAGGTCTGACCACAATGTCTCTCTCTTTCTCAATTGGTTCTAAACTCACAGGATGGGAACAAGGGGTATCAATAATTGTTACTTCTGCAAATTCAACAAGTATAAGCGGACAAAACTCCAGAGCTTTTAAGACTCATCGACAGCTAGAAGACATCATTTAAGAGATCATTCACTGCACATCTTACCTTGACTTGGATGCAGAGGTAACGTGACATTGTATATAATCTTTCCACTTGGCTTCTCAGAGTTGACAAAAGAGAGAGAATGAGGCTGAATCACAGTCAGGTCATCTTCCCGAGCCTAAACAAAGTTTAAGAAGGAAGAATGGTCAGGGGCAAAAACAAACCTTATTAAAACAAACAAACTCACTCTGGGCTTTCAAATGAGTCACACATAACAAAGTTTTCTCTGAGAGTTCAACAGAAGGGGCTGGTCTCTTGCACCACAGACTGGTCCCAGCCTTAGGAATCTCGCAGGATTATAGAGTCCTCTCCAGGTCCTCTTGCACCCTGACTCTTCTCCCCCCTGCCCTCTGCCCCAGGTTTATGCCGGTGCATGCTCTGGGAATCCTAATATGATCACTTTCCCTAGGTGGAGCTCCCAGTGCTGCAGGTTTGAAAATGAGCCACCACAGCTGGATATTCTAATATTCACAGCTAGATTGCTACATCTTTGCTCCTCCAACTTAACGAGCTAAGGTTCATCTGGTAAAAAGTTCCTTCTTACCTGCCCTCCCCCCTCCCCAGCCTTGCTGACAGGAACTTTGATTCTTTCTGCTTTGGTTTGTGTGTTTTTTGAAACTGTGATGGATTCAAGGACTAAAGATGAACTAAAAAACCAACAGAGGCTCATCATTTGAATTCAGAGATTTAAGAATTATTTGTTTATTAAAGTAAATCATGAAAAAGTCAATATTTCTTTGTCTCCATGCTACTACTCAAATGAACTAGATATTGCTTTTCTCTTCTAGTTTTCAGAACCCAATGAAGACTCAAGCAAAATTAATCAGAAGGCCAATGTGTACGTAGCTTTTACTATTCATTCACCTGTGAACATCCATCACCGACTAACAGTGACAACACTCAAAAAAGGGGGCAGGGGGAGAGACTCAGAATCCCTTGACCAGGCATAACAGTGAGTTGGGGACAGCAGCAAAAACACAGTGGAGGGAAGAGAGGGGAAAGTAAGGTGAGCACGGGCCCTTTGACTGGGTCACACAAGCTGTCAATAAGTCAGAACGAAAATATCAGGCTCTTTGCAGGCTCTTCCTAACCCCCGAAGGATTAGAGTTTGATAGCCTCTCCTGCTCTTTGAAGCTTTCCTTCTTTCAGAAGAAGTTTCCCTCTTTAGGAAAGTAGGGCTCAGTAATTCTCATGGAGGAGGGCGTGGTATTCTTCCTTATAATCACAAAAAGATTGAAGGTTACAGTTGCTCTTTTAATTGTCCCCAAGGCATACTTGTCTTGGGGAGAGGCAGCAGTAGCAGGTTAGGACAATCCTCCTGTCGTAAAGAGTCATATTTCAGGCCATTGCTCGGCTCTGGAATGTACAGAGCAAGGAAAATCAGGATTGCAAAATAGTACCTGGTGTCTCACCCTAAAATAAAACAAGTAAGGGCAACAAATTAAAAACATATGCCCTATATAAGGTGTTTACAGCCCATGAATGTGTGCACACAGCTATAAATGTGGACGTGTGTGTGCACAGATACATGGACAAAAAGGTGCAGGCTCAATATGTTGTTCGGTCTGTTTGCCTCCTTCGTAATCTCAAAACCATCAGAATGACTGCAAATCCTGAGTATTATGAGATATTTTTAAAAATCTAGATGTTCCTAAAACAATAAAGTGATAAGAAGAGAGAATTAGCATGGACATAGGACTATGGAAAAGAGAAATATGTACCAGCCAAGGCAACCGATATTTCATATCCATGAAATTTATGGATACTATTTCTCTACTAATAGAAATATACAGTAGGTAGAAAAAGGACTTAATTTTCCAAAGAATGCAATATAAAGGTTGAGATGTATCAAAGTATAATCAATTTTAATATTGTCTATTTGGAATGTTTAATACTCATCAATTAACCATAGTAAGAAATGAGAAATTAAATTTCATAGAAATCATTACAGAAGACACTTTTTATTAAAATATCTGTCAACAAGAGAATCTTACAGAATAATGAGTTTATAATACTCATATTGCTTCTGCATATATCCAGAATCCAACCACTTCTCCCCACGGCCACTGCCACCACCTTGCTGGGTGACCAGGATGACCTCCCAGCTGCTCTCCTGCCCCACCCCACAGCCCCCAGGTTATTTCAGCACAGCAGTCAGCATGATCCCTTTAACAAGGACAGTAGCCCTCTGCTCAACACCCTGATTGGCTCACGATTTTACTCAGAATAGAAGCGAAATCCCTATAATGGCAAGGCCAGACGTGACCTGTCCCCTTCGCTCCCCCACACACTTAGCACATCTGTGAATTCATGTCAATTACACTTGCTTTCACTCACTCTGCTCCAGCCCTACTGGCTTCCTTGCTGTTCCTTGAACATCTGAGCAAGCTCTCAACTGGATGCCTGTAAACGCATGGTTCCCTGGGCCTGGAATGCTCTTTTCTGAGTATGTGCGTGGCCATCTCCCTCACTTCCTGCAAGTCTTTCTTTAAATGTCATTATCTTAATAAAGTCCACCCTGGCCACATTATTCATTTATTTATTTTTTAAAACATTTTTATTGATTTCAGAGAAGGGAAGAGGGAGAGAGAGACAGAAACATCAATGATGAGAGAGACTCATTGATCAGCTGCCTCCTGCCCGCCCCACACTGGGGATCAAGCCTACAACTGGGACATATGCCCTGACAGGGAATTGAACCATGACCTCCTGGTTCATAGGTTGACACTCAATCACTGAGCCATGCCAACCACCTTATTTAAAATTACAACATAGGTCTCCTCTGCTCCCACCACTGCATTTCTAACACCCTTGTCCCTGACCTACATTTTGTTTTACCATAATACTTCTCACTAACATGCTATAAGTGAATTATTTATTTTATTACTTATACCTAAGAGAATGTAAACTCCATAAGAACAAGGATTGTGTTCATTTATGGGTGGATCCCAACCATCTAACATATGGCACATATCATTACTTGATAAAAATTTGTTGAGTGAATGAAACATATCTGTTCCATGCCAGCACAGCCAAGGGTTCGGTGAGCCTGAGGAGGGGCAGTGAAGGATTAAAGAAAAGACAGACAAAGAGAATACAGCTGGGGCTGGTGGATCTCCTGTGCCTGGATGAGGCCACAGAGAAGGATCCAGCCAGCAAGTTGAGGCTTTATTTTATAGCCAGAGAAAAACAAGGTAGTGATAAACATAGTTACAATGTTCTTGTGAGTGTCACTTGTTTTGGCAGCACTTGCTGCATCTCCCACAGCCCATTAGCTACCCAGGAAGGATCAGGGGTTGGCCATAGGTCAGGCTTAATTATGCTAAGAGGGTTCTGCTCTCTAACCTGGGACTTGTTTGTGGCTCTGCCACAGGTCAATCCGAGGCTTAACTCTAGAGCCGCTCCCTACACATATCATCACAAAAAGATTAAGCTAAGAAATAAAATAATAAAATACTTTGTATAATAACATAATCAGTAACTTTTTTAGAATACTTTCCATTGCATTTCAATGTCATCTGAGGAACTGGATGGGGGATAGGGACACAAACATTTTAACACTTAAGCCTTAGCAAAGTGTGCATAACTTAAACTTCTAGGTCAGGATTTACAAACATTATCATTTCACCCTCTATTAAAAAGATCAATTTCACATGTTGACTGCCATTCTATTAAAGACCAAAGCCCACAGTGGGCCTGAGAAATCAGGCACCCATGAATAATGAGATGAGATAAATAAAATGGAGGTCCTACAAGAAATTATCTTCTCCCATAGTTTATTAGTTAGGACAGCAAATTAATTCATTCATATATTCATGTAGCAAATTATTAAGAACCTACTATGTGCAAGGTACCAAGCAAAGAGCTGTGGGGCATACAAGATAAATCAGAGATAGACCCTTTCTTCAAGGAATTCTAGTTTTTTGTAGGGGAAAATCATAAATAAATCTAAGGTAGGAAATTCTGAGTGGTGTGAAAGGCTCAGATAAAGCACAGCAAGAATTCCAAGGGTAAACAAACATTTCCAGAGATTGCAGATAATAATCCTATTAGTTTTTGACAGGTCTCAAGTATAAACATGGACACAGAAGCTGGCTGCCACACAATAAATAGAGCAAGCCCAGACTTGAGTCTGCATCACAAAAGAGATCATCTAACTGGATGCCTGCTGGGCCCAATAGAGTGATCTTAAGAGAACTCTGCTACAGCAATCACTCTGAAAACAAAGGAAACCAGGAAAGAAAAGCTTATTCAAGGCCTTTCCCACAAGTGGTGACTTTGGCCAACCCAACCCTGAGTATTGCAACCATTTGAAAAAGGAAATAATAAATAATATGTCTTTCACATTAAGAGATAATAGAGTTTATTTGCCCTTTAAGAAAGGAATGGGAAATATGATATTCAAATTGTGTGTGAGTATGCCTATATGATTAATTTATTTGAATTTGAAGGGGATACAGTTTAGGGAGTTATTAATTATGAGAAAATAGGTCTGAAAATATTCATTTAATCAGCAAATATTTACTAAGCAATTACTTTGTATATGGCATTGTGTGAGATGCTGAGGAAAATACCAAGATTAATTAATCAAAGGTTTTGCCCTTAAGGATTTTCCAAGTCAAATAGGGATGATTACTTGGAAAACTCTGAGTTGATGTGAATCTATTAACTCATTTGCATAATCTTATACTATCTAGGCTATGATATTTATTGATAAATATGCATGTTTTTGGATCTCCTTGCCCATATATACTATGTATCCTAAATGTATATGTATCATATATACTTATATAGCTCTGTATCTTATAATATTATACATATGTATATACATATCTTATATATGTGTGTTACATATAATTCTGATGAACACTGCAAATTAAACCATAAGATCCCATTTAGAGGATCTTAAATTTGATGAATAACATAATTACAGAAAGGCCACAGAACCAATTTCAATTTAGATAGGTATTTGATTATGTTGCTTTTTACTCTACTCAATCTTTCTTAGTTATGTTCCAGTTATGTTTGTAGTTAACCACTACGAACCAATAGTGATTCTTAATAGTTTATCTCTCACCCAGAATATCTACTGATCTCCTTACCACTCTTAATAGACACACCCCAAATGGAACTCATCATGATTTCCACCCTTCCCCCTAAAGTCCTCGTACATTTCTATCTTGATGAATGGCATATTTTTTTTTGGAAAAAAAAAGTTTATAATTTACAGATTCTTCAAAATGCTTTTGTGGATGATAAGTTGATTTCTTTTTTATTTCCCTCTGATATTCCACAGTATGTCCCATGTTTCTATGTCTCTCAATCTATTTTGTTAAACAGTTTATTTTGTTCATTAGATTCCATATATGAGTGAGATCTTGTAATATTTATCTTTCTCTGACTGGCTTATTTTGCTCAGCATAATATTCTCTAGGTCCCTCATTGCTGTCTCAAAGGGTAAGAAAGCCTTCTTTTTTACTGCTTCATAGTATTCCATGGTGAAAATGTACCACAACTTTTTTGTTCACTCATCTACTGATGGACACTTGGGGTGCTTCCAGATGCTATAAACATGGAGGTACATACATTCTTTCTGATTGGAGTTTGGGGTTTCTTAGGATATATTCCTAAAAGTGGGACCAATGGATCAAATGGCAATTCCATATGTAATTTTTTAGGAAACTCCATACTGTTTTCCATAATGGCTGCACCAGTCTGCATTCCCACCAGCCGTGTACTAGGGTTCCCTTTTCTCCACTTCCTCACCAGCACTTGTCATTTTGTTGATTTGTTGATTGTAGCCATTCTGAGAGGTATGAGGTGATTGCCTCTTTATATATTCAGAAATTGGGGGTTTTCACCTTCCTGTCACATCTAATTGACCAGGATATCTGTAAATATATCTTAATCTTTCTCTAATGTCCCCCCTGACCTTAAATACTTTTAAGTGTATAATACAGTACTGTTAACTATATTGTTATGCAACTGATTTCTAGAAAGTTTTTCCACTTGCAAAACTGAAACTCTGTATGGATTGAACAAAACTCCCCTTTTTCCTCTCCCCACCTCCACCCCTGCCCTCACAGGGGCAACCACCATTCTCCTTGCTGTTTCTAAGAGTCCGATTATTTTAGATAGCCCACATAAGTAGAATCAATCATCAGACTCTGTCTTTTTGTGACTGGATTATTTCACTTCGTACAATGTCCTTAAGGTTCAATCATATTGTAGCATATGACCGGATTTACTTTTTGAAGGTTGAATAATACTCCATTGTTGTGTATACCACATTTTTTCTACCCATCTATCTGCCAAAGGACATTTAGGCTGCTTCCACCTCTTAGCCAGTGTGAATAATGTGGCAGTGAGCATGGGTGTACAAGTATCTCTTCAAGATCTCACTAACTTTGAATCTTCATTGCCACTGCATGGTATCATGCCACTAACCTTTCTTGTTCTAGGTGACTGCAGTGGTGCATTTCCGTGCTCCCTATCTGGTCCCCATCTAGAGTATTCTCTACCCTGCAGCCACAATGACCTTCCTAAATTGAAAATCGGATCAGGTTGCCTGTCTGCTACATAGTATTTGTCCCAAGAGCCTTTCAGGACACAGTGGAAATCCCTTCATTTTATCTTAAGGTCCTCCATGATGTGACTTTCATATATTGTTTCTTCTTCACCTAGGAATTTATGCTCCGGCCACATGAATTCTCATTGCTCAATATGTCATGTTCTCCCACATCCCCATCTTTTTTCACCTGCTGTTCCTCTGTCTACAATGAATGTCCCCCTATTTCTTGAACTGGTTCTTCAAGCAGAGCAGCAGCAATAGAACCACCTGGGAACTCGTTAGAAACTCAAATTCTCAGCCCTACAGCAGATGGACTGAATTAGAAAACTTTGGGGTAGGCTTCAGCCATCTGTGATGTAACAAACGCTATAGGTGATCTTAATGCAGGCTGAAGTTTGAGACCCTGCTTTAGAGACAATCTTTCACTTCAACCAGCTTTGTTCACCCCCCCAGAGGAAGCCTTCCATGACCTTGCCACCTCCCCACTGGGTCAGGTGTCTCTTATTTGCTTCCATATCATGTCCCTGTCAGGGCATGTATCATTATATTGTCAGTGTTTGTTAATTCGCTCCTCTCCCATTTTAGACCCTAAGTTCCTTAAGAATAGAGACTGTATTTTATGGTCATCAAACCACCAATGTCTTCTCTAGCACTTGGCACAAATTAGGGGCTAAAAAATGTATGACTGAAGCCCAGTCTGTGTGGCTCAGTGGTTAAGTGTCAACTATGAACCAGGAGGTCATGGTTCAATTCCCAGTCAGGCACATGCCTAGGTTGTGGGCTTGATCCCCAGGAGGGGGCATGCAAGATTCAATGATTCTCTGTCATCACTGGTGTTTCTATCTCTCCCTCTCCCTTCCTCTCTGAAATCAATAAACAAATATATTTTAAAAATTTTAAAAATAAAAGAAATACAAACTATGTATATTTTATGGCACTAAAGATTAGGCTAATTGCATTTTATGGTAAACTAACCTTTGTGACACCATAAATTAGACAGATCTAGTTTGAAAACTAGCAATCTAAGACCGTAAAGGTCAAGAAGCTTGAAAAGTCTAGAGGTCCATAGCAATGGAGTGGGAACAGCGCCATCTTTGTGCCTCCTGGCCCATTTTTTCCCCTCTAAAGTCAAAATAACAGTGCATTAGCATTTGGCAAAAAACATGCATGCACATTTTTCTTCACATTTTAAAGGAAATTCTGATCCAAGTTCCTCCAGTCAGAATGATGAATTATAGACTTTATAGTGCTACTGAATTATGATTTCTTTAAATTATGGTTTACAGTGGAAATGCCGATATCAGCTATTCATTAAAAACCTCCTATTTCCCCTTTTATGTCTCTGTTGTGCCCCAGACCCATAATTTCTAAAACTACAGGTGATTTCTTTGTCATGGCTCAAGGCTGATACACTTTGGAGTGTAATTATGTGGGCGCTAACTAAAATGCAGGTCCGTAATGATTCATTTGCAGGCTTAGATGCTGTGGCTCTGACTTAAAGAGGGGTCCTGGCATCACCCCTGCCCCTAGATACAGGGTTGCAGTGAGGCAGCTAATTGTCTGAACTAATATAGCTGTCACCTCACTTCACACCTTTCCATGAGCCCGTGCTCTTCCCACACAGCAGGCAGGTCCCCTTGCGATGGAGCTCACGGCCTCCCCATCCTCACCATTTCTCCTCTGCTGGCCTCATTTCTCCAGTCTTATCAAACTATTTACAATTTTCCCCAACAATCATATTCTCGCTGGCCTCTGGGTCTTTGCATGTGCTGTTTTTATGTTTTATGTCTTTTAGTGCCCTTTGCCATCACCTGCCCCCAAAACTTTCACTTGGATAATTGCTACTTATCTCTCTGGACTCAGCATAGATATCCGCTTCTTTGGGAAACGTTGATAACAGAAAGGAAACTTCTAATGGGGCTCTAAGAAATGGAATGACAGTTTCTCCAGCTATATGGAGCTATAACTAGCTGAGTAATTATACCCAAAAGGTACTGATTAAACAGATATAGGCCTGAAATCCCTTCTAACTACTCAAGGAGGAGTCCTGTGACTGTCTGGGATGCTGAAAAGAGGACACCAGAAATGGATAAGAGTTTGAGGTGAATTCCATCTATGTTTCCTGTCACTCTGGGAATTGAAGTTTCTTTTTCAAGTCAAGGAGAAATGTGTTTACAGGGTGGTATGGTCTGGGTTCTGGGCCAGGCATTCACCAGATACCAAAAAACAGGTCATTCTGTCAGATCCCGTCAACATGTCAGAAACCTCGAGCCCTCCCACCCAACTCACAGTCATATGGAGAGACGCTCCCAGAGAGAGCTGAGGCGCTTCAGGCGTCTGCGGTAAGATCGCGATGTTGAACATGCGGCTCTCCAGGTGGGTGTGGGCATCGGTGGCACTGGAAACCTGGAAAGAAACATCCTACTGGTGAGCCTCGGTCAGGCAGAGCGTGTTGCGTGTGTTTATCCCCCTGCCCCACCTTTAAATCATCTGTCTTTGAATTCCATCTGCTCCTGCATTACAAAGGTAGACATAATCCTTTTAGGCAATCCTGAAAATGCAGGAAAGTATAAATATGACATAAATAAATCATCTAGAAGTACAATACCTACAAATAGTGGTTATTAACACATTGATGCATTTCAGTTTAATCTTTTTCCTATGCATATGTCAAACTCTATATTCATTTGTGTCCTATACATTTTTACTGAACATAATACATTAAACATTCTTCAAAACACAATTTTTGATAGCTGCATAATGCTTCACTGTAAGCACACACAACACATGTTAGATATGTGATTTTTATTCCATTTTTAAAATTTGTATCCAAGCACAGACACATCAGGTTATAAATGACACATCATAGCCTAATCACTGCAAGGCAAGAGTCATAATAATTAGTGATCACAAAATCAAATTTTTCTTGCTTCAAAAATGCTGAAAACAGTGATGATTTTCCTAATGCAGCTTCTCCCCTCCTTCAGGGCTACTGAGCTGCTCCCTCACACTCTCTTCTCTGTGGTCTGCTCCAGCTGAGGCTTGTTACAAGAATTGCTCAGGTCTGTGTGGCCATGTGTAGTTGCATTAATTTCATATGAGAGGGAGCAGGGTACCATACATTCTAAGAAAAAGGCAGAAATAGCAGCCCTTTCTTATGTCTTCTACAGTTAGGCCAACAACAACAACAAAACTGTCTTCTCTGCCCTGGCAATGTGGCTTAGTTGGCTGGGTGTTGTTCCATGCACCAGGAGTTTGAAGGTTCAATCCCCTGTCAGGGCACATGGCTGGGTTGTGGGCTTCATTCCTGGTAGGGAGCGTGCTGGAGGCAGCCAATTGATGTCCACTCTCATATCGATGTTTCTCTCTCTCCCTCTGCCTTCTTCTCTCTATAAGAAAATCAATAAACTATTTTTTTTAAAAAGAAATTTTAAAAACTGTCCTCCCTGTATCTTAATCACATCCAATGCCTGGAGCTTAAATTCAGAATATCTACAGGTTGTCAAGGTGCCATCTTACAGTATCACTATATATAATATGAGTAACAACAGCTATAATTCACTAAATGTCTATCATGGGCTACCTACTTCTCAAAAGTCATCATATATAATACCCACAGAGTGGATATTATCTCCTTTTCTACAGATGAGGAAACTGACGCTCAAAAAAGTTAAGCAAAATGTCAAAAATCACACAAAAACAAAAGGGTTGGTATTTAACAGGTTAGCGGACCATGGTCTTCCTACCGACCAAGATGACTCAGTCTCAAAGCTCTAGGAAAACATGTTCTCCCATCTCTTGAAGAACGCTATGCAGGTAATAAAATGTGAGCATATTGCCAAGCAAGGGAATCTGTTCTTGATTCCTTAGTCAAGATAATGGTGTGAACCATGTTGGTCTTTTTAAAACCACATCCCCTGAGGCTATGTCAACATGATCTGAATATATCAAGACCAGGGCCCCTGCCCAGGCCAAAAGTGACATAAGTGTGCGTGCTTTCTTCTCCCTCTGCCATGCTTTATTTTGAAAAGCCACAAGCATTACATAAATCCCACGTCTTACAGGCAAAGTAACAGATGGAATGCATTGATGGCTCATGACAGCACATAAACATTAAAATGAAATGAAATGGATGCAACTCATTGTATTGCAAGTTTTGCTTGAAAGGAAAAAGGGAAGAAAAAGAAGAATCATGAAAACAGCATCTTCTTTTAGTTTAAAATCCTTGAGGGACATTAAAATGAATGGGAAAAGTTGCTGTTTATTTTGGCACATAGTTAAAGTGTCTGCGTCATTTCAAATCAGAATATGAGGTAAGTCCATAAAACAATGAGACTTTAAAAACAAGCACACCAAACCTTTTACATCCAGGAGAACAGGATCTCAGAGAGCTGTTTCATACGTGCAATAAAGACGCTGTGAGTGTTCAAAATGCACTTTTGAAATGCCTTCCAAGCGAGTTCAAAAATCACTTTGAACTTGTTACTTCATAATTACTCCCTGTTTTGACCCAAAGTAATTACTGCTCTCTTCTTCATACCAGACATGATTCTGAATGACTGGCTATATGGTTACATTTTAAAATCTACTTCCAAAGGATGCCATACCGTCACTATTGAGGATATTCTTCAGAATATCCCATGGGTTTGGAAGTAGATTTCCAATAGGAGTTCTAAACACATTTTGAGCAAAATGTGTGAAGACTCTTCAAAGGGAACCACTTACTAAGTAATGATGTTCAACAGAATGTCTTAAACTCAAGTGAGTTTGTTTAAAAAAATCAGTAAATTTAGCTATTTTATAATTACCCACTTAGTAACCAACTTGCAAAAGCAATCAAATATCATTATGAGCAGGTGCTGAGAATCCCTTTCTGGGGAAATGCTCCATGTTGATAATGTTCTTCCTCAGGCCTAGGACGGCAAAGGCAGAGCTGAGGATTCTAGTTTGCTGAGGTGACTTCTTTGATTGAGGTCTTTGCCTCCATTCTGACTCATTCTTTGAGGACTGCTGAGTCCCCAGGTGCTAAAAATGAAAAGTTAATTCCAGTAAAGGGCAAATGTTTGCTCTCATTCATTGGACATTAATGTGCTAGTAAAATCTCCTTTTAATGGTTCCCAAGTTTATTTCAACCTGCTCTCTGGAAAAGCACATCTTTTATATCATATAAATTAGTCAAGCAATAGGATGTGCACCCCAGGCCTCGGAGGCAGAATGTATGATAATTTTAACAAGGTGAGCTATTGGGGTAGTTTACCTCCAGCTGGATTCGAGACAAAAGAAGAGCCCCAGACTCAGAGGGGCTTTGGCTGATCATCATGAACGCATCTCTATATTTTCTCTACATTTTCCCAAATTCTCTTCTGCATCTATGTTTAAATGCTCTTTCTCATTCATACTCCCTCATTCCTTTGTACTTCTGTTCAGTTCTTTATTTCCAATTTGTCCATGACAGAGGTTTGTCTAATTTATTGGTCTTTCCAAAGAATGAGGTTTTGTACTCATTTATCAATTCTAGCATTTTATAATTAGTTGTGTGCTTATCTCTATTAATTTCTTCCTTTTTTTCTTTCCTTAGGTTTCCTTTGTAGTTCTCTAGCTTCTTGAGCTAAATATTTAGTTGATTTATTTTCATGATCTTCTGCTCAATAATAAGAGCTTAAGACCATCAATTTACTTGAGTGTTATTTTATCCAGATCATTGAAGTACTAATAATTTATTTCCTCTTCATCATTATTTCTTAATAGTTTGCTATTTTGATTTCCTTTAAGAAGTATAATTATTTGAGAGACTATTTTAAAAATTCCAAATGGTTTGAACTTTTTTACCTTTTTTAAATGGATTTCTAATTATCCTATATAATAAAAGGCTAATATGCAAATTGATCAAAAGGCAGAACAACCGGTTGCTATGACATGCACTGACCACCAGGGGGCAGACGTTCCATGCAGGAGCTGCCCTTTGGTGGTCAGTGCACTCCCACAGGGGGAGTACCGCTCAGCCAGAAGCCAGGCTCACGGCTGGCAAGCGCAATGGCAGTGGCGGAAGCCTCTCCTGCCTCCACAGCAGCACTAAGAAAGTCCAACTGATGGCTCCGTCAGTTGGACATCCCCCAAGGGTTCCCAGACAGTGAGAGGGCACAGGCCAGGCTGAGGGATCCCCCCACCCAAGTGCACGAATTTCGTGCACTGGGCCTCTAGTATTTCATAATAACCAGAGAATATCCCCAGTATCATTTCTTGTTCTTTCATTTATTGACAGTCTTCTTATGATCTGGTTGTTTTAGCTGGCTTAGACTATTATAACAAAAATGCCACAGACTGGGTGGCTCATAAACAACAGAAATGTATTTCTCCTACTTCTGGAGGCTGGAAGTCTGAGGTCAGGGTGCCAGCAGGATTGGGTTTGGGGTTGTAGACTGCTATCTTTTCACTGTAGCCCAATGGTGGGGAGTAGAGAGGGGAGCAGCTCCCCTGTGACTCTTGTAAGTGTACTAATCCCACTCATCTAATGCTAATCACCTACCACATGGGGAGGGGCGGATATGAAGATATTAATTATTTCAGGACACAAACATTCAGTTGACAGTACTGGTATCTGACCAATCTTTATAGGTGGTAGTAACAATCCTTACCTAGTGACAGGCAGTATTCTAAATGCTTTCTATGTATTAACTCATTAAATCCTTACAATAATTCTATTCTACAGGTGAGGAATCTGAAGGACAAGTATTTTTCCAAGTAATTTCCCCCAAAATTAGTTAATACGTGGCAGAACTGAAATATGAACCCACTGGGTTTGGCTATCAAGTCTATGATCTTATCAGAAGATGGTAAATGTCCAAAAACATTTGAAAAAAAGAAAATAAGACTATATTAAAATAAGTATTTTAATATTCTGGAAACATTATTTTCCTAAACACTCTAGCCATTATCTATTATAAATCTCCTTGCTGTAAAATGACTCTGCTTTTAGAGATATTTATAAGATTGAATTAGCAGATTAAAAATATCTCTCAATACTATTAGTTACATTTCCTCTTCCCCCAAATATGATTTCTAGGCAATCACAGAAAATTTCCCAAGTTGCTTATAAATAACGATGATGGTTTTCATCAGACCATTCAGACATCAGAAAA